TATTTGTGCATGTGATTCAGTGTTTGTGTGTGTCAGTGTATGTATCTGTACATGTGTGTCATTGTTTGTGGATCTGTGTGTGTGAATCTGTTTATGTATGTCAGCATGTGTCAATGTAACTGTGTATATGTGTCAATATGTGTGTTTATGTCTCAGAGTTAATTTGTGCGTATATGTGTCTTTGGGCATCTTTGCCTGGCAGTGTATGTGTGTTTTTGCAGCTGGCATCCACTATATACATATTACATTTCATATGAACACTGAATCCACTATACACAAACACACATATACACATTGAATCCCCTACACACAGAAATCCCAATGCACACATACACTACATTCCATAAATAGTGATGTCGCGAACCGTTCGCGAACTTCCCGCGAACGGCTCGCCGCGGTTCGCCACTAACCGTTCGCGGCGAGCTCCAGTCAGCTGACACATCCCGGCCAATCTCCAGCAGACCCTCCCTCCCAGACCCTCCCACCTCCTGGACAGCATCCATGTTGAAGGCAGCTTCAACATGGATGCTGTCCAGGAGGTGGGAGAGTCTGGGAGGGAGGGTCTGCTGGAGATTGGCCGGGATGTGTCAGCTGACCGGAGCTCGCCGTTCGCGGGAAGTTCGCGAACGGTTCGCAACATCACTATCCATAAACACAATAATTGTAATAGTTATACAACGATACACAATTCATTTTATTGTAGACCTGACAAATAGTCACAAATGATGATGCATTTCCTGTCAGTGACAGGAATAATAATAATAATAATAATAATAAAGTCAGTTTCATTTTAATTTCTGAAACAGTCTGAAGACAGGGGAGCCTAAATGACAAATTCATTTTTGGCACATTTCAATAGAAAATATTTTGAATGAGTTCACAAAACAGTAAATTGTGTTGTCTGAAAATGATGGTCAAAGTAGCAAAGTTCACTAAAGCGGTGATACATAACAAAATTCAACCTTAAGCTACTGTTATTAATCGACAAATAATTCACGACAGACGTAGTTACCCAGCTTGTATCTAGCTTGCATTATTAACCAAAAAAATGTGCGTTTTCTCTAATGCTGTTCAGCAGTTAGCGAATAAGTGCTTGTAAACTGTTTGTGAATGCTGTTGTGGCATTACTGATATACGAATGTTAAACCATGCACAGCAAAAAAAAAAAAAAAAAAAAAAAAGTAGCAAAGTTAGAAAAAATCTGGGATTGATAATTTCTCCAACTCGGAAATTTAGACTAAATGATGCAGCTAATTTCATAGTTGAAAACAATTACTGTTAATAAAAAAAAATAATATAAATCCCTTAAAAGAGGATTCAAACACAATCAAGACCTTTATAGGATATTTTCTAAATAATACAATTATCACCAAGGTAACTGTGACAAACGCCCTGTGGTCTGGTCGTTTCCCACAAGCTCCTGGAGGAGCCTGCTGGCCAACCTCCTGCCTTAGTACTATAGGCCCTGCAATATACCTTGCCCAATGCACTTTAAAAGGCTCTGTCCATGTGAGTTATGTACCCTGGAACTGTTTTGGGCATAGGACCATGTGCACGGTCGGTCAAATAATTGACTTCCATAAAAATCCCGAACCCCTCAACCGATCTGGGTGATTTTTGGATATGTTGGCCACGCAGATCGGGGCTATCAGGGGATGTAACGTTTGTGGAGTTTTTTTTATGTGTTTTTAAGATATTTTTGTAAAAATGTATGTTTTCTGTGCTGGAGATAATTGAGTTCAATACAGTGCTTTACTCACTTATCTCCCAGGCACAAGCATTGATGCATTGTGTGTTTCTGTGTATATGTGCAAAGGATGCACTGTCTTTATGTGTAAGGGTTGCATTGTGTGTTTCTCTGTGTGTAAGGGAAGCATGTTGTGTTTATGTGTGTATAGGGATGCATTGTGTGTATAGGGATGCATTGTGTGTGTGCGCGTGGTGTGAAAGAGTTCCCTGTCCTGCCCCCTGTCCTATAGAGCTCTCCCTTCCATTCCTTAGAGATCTCCCCTGCCCCTTAGTGGTCTCTCCTCTCCCCCCACCTCCCTTAGTGGTCTCCTTTTCTCCCCGACTTTCCATTAGTGGTCTCTCCTCTCCCCCCACCCTCCCCTAGTGGTCTATCCTCCACCCCCCTCCCTTAGCGGTCTCTCCTCACACCCCTCCCCTAGTGGTCTCTCCACCGCCCCCTCCCTCCTTTAGTGGTCTCTCCCTCCCCTACGTTCTCATCTCCCACCCCTTGTGTTCTCCTCTTATTCCCCCCTCCCCGTGTTCTCCTCTTCTTCTCCCCCTCCCTGTAATCTCTTCTCTTCTTCTCTTCTTCTCCCTCCCTGTAATCTTCTCCCCTCCCCCTGTAATTTCTCTTCTTTCCCCCCTTCCCTCCCTGTAATCTCTTCTTCTCCGGTAATCTTCTCTTCTTCTCCCCCCTCCACCCTGTCATCTTCTTCTTCTCCCTCTCCCTCCCTGTAATCTTCTTCTTCTCCCCCCTCAATCTTCTCCACTCCTCCTCCCTCAATATTCTTCTTCTCCCCCCTCCCTCCCTGTAATCTTCCCCCCCTCCCTATCTTCTTCCCCTCACCTCCCCTATAATCTTCTCCCCCTATAATCATCTTCCCCTCCCTATAATCTCCCCCCCCCTCCCTGTAATCATCTCCTCACCTCCCCTTCCCTGTAGCGTGGCCGAGCTCCTATCCGGTCCGTGACCCGGCGGGACTGACAGGAAGTGCACACTGAGTTTGCACTTCCCGTCAGTCCGGCCGGGTCGCCGACCGGAAAGGAGCTCGGCCACGCTACAGGGAAGGGGAGGTGAGGCAGTACAGCAGCCGTCTGAGCGCTCTCTATAGAGCGCTCAGGCGGCTGTTGCATTTAAAGGGCCTGCGATGGGGGCGCAGGGTGCCCCCTCCTATATGGCGCCCTAGGCGGCTGCCTAGTTCGCCTTATAGGAAGCGCCGGCCCTGGCGATACCCCAACCAAGCCGCGGCGGTTTGTGGGGTTTGCCGTGGTTATGTTGTCCGGTGCGGTACTTATGGTACTCAAGGATTACTAGGAAGCAGCGATTGACGGAGGTACCCATCACAGTAGCTATATCTTCTGATATATTCCTTTAGAAATATTTGTGAGATGCCTTCAGCAAACCTGTCAAAAAACAACCGTGTACAATTGGCCAAAGAGCTGGTACTTCTTATCAAGGACTTCATTTTATTGCCAGTGAATTGCGATAAAACCTCTAATAAGGAGAAAACGCCGTGATCATGCAATTTTATTGCCAGCGCTAAGAGTATTTATCGGATATGAAAAATATTTATTGTCCAGAATGATTTTCTGCATAGGGAACTTTAGAACCTCCAAAAAATGTGTCGCTACTTGTGAAATTGTCAGATGTTAAAAGGTCACTACTTGCCAAATGTAATGACATGTATAGATATATGCTAGTCCCACAGCTGGCACTTGATTTCCAGCGTAAATGTATCCAATTTCCCATTGTAAGTTGTATAGTCTATCTAATAAATACCATAACTATCACTATTTTTATCAGGGGTATTCACTATAGTTCAAAGTGAATTTCAAATTTGAAGCTGAAATAGGCGAACTGGAAAATAAGTCTTCCAAGCTATCAGATCAGCTACTTTAGCCTTAGTTTGAAATTCACTTTGAATTCTCACTTTACTGAATAACCCTGTGTGTGTCTCCATAGGAGTTTTTCATGTCACTCAGAGTGATCTATGCTGACGTAACTCATTAGATACAAAGATTAGTTAATAACTTTCCCATGAAACTTTTTTTTTTCAAATAGTTTTTATCAAAGATTTTTCGAACATTTTTATAAAAACCACAATTATAATAATAAAATAAAAAATAAAAGAAGGGAAGGGAAGGGAAATAAGATTATATAAGTGTACATTTTATTTATGCTTTTGATTATAACATATGTTACCAATAGACAAGACACATCCATTACAAAAAGTAACATTTTAACACTGGCACTAGAAATTTTTACTGTCAACCTCTAATAAAAATCGAGAATATGAACTATCTTTGATCGGCTGTGAATTTGATATTTGTGCCACTAATATACAAGTTCCACATTTTTGTACACACATTTTCCCCACCATTACTTAAGTGATACTTTCTGTACAAAAACCTGTTTGTTAAAAAATCATGAGAAGAATAAAACAGAAACAGGTAAAGTTAAGCACAAACTACAGTTAAAGAGTAAGCTCTATCAAGATTTCTTTCATTGCTGAGTCCCCAGCGTGGGAACCCACGTCATATGACATACTTTCCACTTAAACGGAGAAGGTAAATGTGAGAGAGTGGTCCTACTGCAGATAGAGAGAGAGAGAGAGATAATGGTGTAGATTGGATTAGCTATATTAGTCCAGCAGTCTGGTATTTTGGCATATATATATATATATATATATATATATATGTTATAAAATTACTTACATTTCTGTACTGTTCTATCTGTCTATCTATCTATCTATCTATCTATCTTTCTATCTATCTGTTTGTCTGTCTGTGTCAGTCTGCCTGTCTATGTCTGTCTGTCTCCCTGCCTGTCTGTCTGTCTACAGACATAGACATCTAAGTAACATATTACCAACATTAATCAGTTTACATTTTTATTTATCTATATATCATCTATAAATCTACTTTTTTTGTTCATTATAATCTATCTGATATATGTATTTATCTGTCTCTTAAAAGATCAATCAGTCTTCTAATCTACCTGCCTATCTCTCTTGCACTATCAAGAATTAAAAATGAAATAGTTATAGAGAAATATATATATATCACTTTCACGCTACATTTGTATATATGTAGTTGTGTATGTGTGCTTCAGTTTTTATTTACTACAATGCACTATAAAAATTGAGTTCGACACGGAGTATAGTCATTGTATTAGATGTGACATCATATCCTTATTTAACACTAGGGCTGCTGTAAGCCTCTGAGTTTTTTAGCAGCTGCTGCACTGAGAGAGGAACGCTGGCCAAGCCCTGATGAGAGACACAATGAGAAGTATCATTTCTCTAACACTTTTCCTAAAGCTCATTTCATGTAAGTAACTAATCACCAATGGCGAGCACAGACTAACTTTGTACACTTTCATTGAGTGTCTGCTTTACTGCCACAATGTGGCAGAATATAATTTAATAATTAGAATTAATTAAATGCAAATTGAAATGTCAACCATTCTACCGGATGTGCTGTATTGTAATGCTCTCACCTTTATTAAAACGAGCCTTACAACAAACATTTATTGTTTTTTGGTACAATAGTAAAGACAGTATAAAGATAGACAATAGTAAAGAATATTTATTTTTATTCATTTTAGTGTGTTTTCTGCAAGTCTCCATTCGTGAGGGCTGTTGTGCTTCTATTGCATTGTGATGACATACAGCGGTCACAGCTATTTTTTATATTTGCTATAGAATACATATTTTTGTTTGCCAGCAGAGTTCTGTGGTTGGAATCTGAGACCAGCTTATGACAGCTAAATAAAGAACAATTTGCCCTAGAAATCAACAAGAGAGTTAGATTTTTATCTAGATATAGAATTAAAACAAAATAGTCCTTTAGGGACTAATGAAAGTATTTAGAAAATTGGACAGACTAGATGGGCCGAATGGTTCTTATCTGCCGTCACATTCTATGTTTCTATGTTTCTTTACTAAATGCCTTTTTAAAACTGAAAATGCATTAGAGGAAGTATAGACTTTCAAATTAAGCTTGCATACATACCATCAGTTATTTTTTCTGATACTGACTAATTAGGATGGGTTGACAATGAATCGATGATACTGACCCAGGTAAAAGGCATATTGCCCAGTATTTCCTAGTCTTTACTGGACCAAGGCACACTTTAATAAGAAGATTGGCAAAGCACATCTCATTTTTTCATTTTACCTTCAGCAGCAGCATATAAATGTCAATTATACCTGCAGCCTTTCTAGATACAGAAGTACTTGTAGACAAACTGACATTAGTTTTAATGAATTGCCAGATGCAAATTCTCATTTTAATGCTCATTTATATTTTTAAAAACCACCAAAACAAAAAAAGAAAAAACATAATTTTAGGACTGCTCCCAAACACCGTCCCGAAGTTAATGTGTTCATGGTAAATTTCGAGGAGACTTGAGACACACTGGTTAATATTGTAAAGCGCTATGGAACTTAGCGCTATGGAATTTACTCCATAGAATAAATGTTTTAATGCAGGACACCTCAAGCTTGTTGCCTTTGATAAATAACATAAAATAATTATGAGAGAGTATACTTCGTTTGCAATGTTTTGTTTAATTATTCATATTTTTATTTTTTACTTGGTTTTCAAATTAAGATGTGAAACCCATAACCTGGCATTTGTTATTTATAACATAATGTATGGGGTTATTCTACTTTTTTTTAAACTAAAATTGAATGTTTAAAACTAAAATTAAATGTCTAACTCACATTTGATTGACTAAGCTCCTGACGTGAGATTGCATATAATATTAGCATTTTATAACCTCCTGTGTGTGATAGATCTATGTCTCTTCTCTGTCCGTACTCCCACATCTGATGCTCGCCTTCAAGACTTCTCCAGGGCTGCACCTTTTCTGTGGAACTCCCTTCCCTTCTCTGTTACTTCACTTTCACCCAGTCCCCACTCCTTCAAAAAAATCTTTGAATACACACTTCTTCAGGAAAGCATATTACTTAAACTGTTAGCGGGTTTTCATTCTCTACCCACTCCCCCCCCCTCCCCCCCATGACTCCTCTCCTGCAACTGTAAAAAATAACCTACTAAGTTCCCAGTGAATACTTTTCTAGCAACCTATTTTATTACCCCTACTTATACCCTTTGTGTCACTGTACCCCACTCCCTCTAGCATGTAAGCCCATTGAGCAGGGCTCTCAGGTCCTCTGTTTCTGCGCATCCATTTGTCTGGTTACAATTACGTGTCTGTTAGTCCACCCATTGTAAATTATAAAATAATAATAATACATTTACAGCTATTATTGATGGAGAGGAGTAAGCTTAGCACTAAAAATAGTCATATCTACTATATGGTTTACAACATTTAGTATTACATCCATTTGGAAGGGATTGTTAGGTACTTTAAGGCTATTTATTATTTGTGATGCGTAAATGGAATGTGAAGGTTCATTAACTGCCATTTTTTACCTCTCTCCTCTAGTTTCAGATTCACAGCAATTAAAGCTCACTCAGACCCCCGGGAAGCTCCAGTCTGGGAGGACTGGGCCAGTGAAGTTGGAATGCCAACCTATTGGGACTGGTTTCATGGATTATGGGGTGTTCTGGTTCAGACAGAGGAAAGGCGCATCATCTCCAGAATCAATACTGTATCAATCCAACATGGCCAACAAAGTAACACAAAGCAATATACCAAACAAAGACAGTTTCAAGTCAACTAAAGGGGGGACTAGCTACAACTTGGAAATCAATCCATTTGGAGAGAAGGACCAAGGGATCTATTATTGTCTGGTTAATAGTAAATTGGTCCTGTATATCAGCCCTGGGGTCTCCCTCTACTATCCTACAGGTACAGCATGGTCTTCATGAAATGCACAACATTGACTAGGCCTGTATAATGAAAACATGACCCACCTGTATCACCAGCACATCGGTGAATTCAAGGTGAATTTTAATTTTAAGACCAATATAGTCTAACTGGAAAAATTATCCAAGTCAGCTATGATTCCAGTTCAGCTACTTCGGTCTTAAATTTAAAATTGTTACGTTAGTGAATGACCCCGTTAATATGTGTGTATTAGGATAGATCTGGATACAATTTTCAGTTGAGTTTTTAATGCTCTGTTGTGTTTAAATCCCGTAGACAGCTCATTACTGATAACAACTCACCTGACATATATAATAAACATACAGACAGAACCTATCTAATAACACGTAGAATTACGTATGATATAAACACATAGACAAGACCTTCCTTATAATACATTGATTGCCACTGTCTATAACAGGGGTCCTCAAACTCCGGCCCCCAGATGTTGCTGAACTACAAATCCCATGATTCTCTCGCTATCTATGTAATTCAAAGAATCATGGGAGTTGTAGTTCAGCAACATCTGGAGGGCCGGAGTTTGAGGACTCCTGGTCTATAATAAACCCACATGTAGCACCAATCAAATAACACAAAATATAACAGAGACGTCACCTGTCTCATAACATGGAGGGACTGTGTACTGTTCAAACCCACATAGGACATCTATTTAATAACAAATGTATAGACTGGTTATTACACAATAAACACATAGGCATATACAATGCTTTTTTTAAATGGACAGACATCGTCCATGACAAACTTACGGAGAGATTTGATAGACATTTTGTATGATAAACAGGCTGATGTGTTATTCAATAAACACACAGATCGCAAGTAACCAAACAAGGCCTAGACATTGAATACAATGAATGAACATATATATATATATTGGACATCTCACTAAAATCATGTAGATAGATATGAAATAAACATTTCAATGGCACCTGCCTGATAACAGGTGGAGAAATATTTTATACTTTGATATAATAAACCAGAGATAAACATTGTTTGCAATGTGAATGTGTGAATAGAAAATGTAATGTTCTACAATATATCGAGAGCTTCCAAGTAATAAACAAATGGGTACACAGTATATACAATAAACATATAAACAACACCCAACTGGTAACATGTGGATAAACATTGTGTACAATAATCACACGGACACAGAGCCTAATTCTAAACATCTTCACACACAGCTTGTGCAAAGAAATTGCAAGCATCTTATACATTATGTTACCTTGTAGTGCGTAAACTCTCAGTGCGTGCACCTGCCAACAACACGTTAACATTCTTTAGAAATGTCTAGTACCGTAGCAATATTGAAAATGTTTTTATAGCATAAACTTGAGAACAAAACTTGTATCACAGACACATGGACAACAAGTGTCCCTTAAACATTAACAAATTAACCGGAACATACAGACAAGACAAACAGCCATTACATAAATACTTGGATGATAATGATCAATAAAATATTTGCTAGGTGCTACATACAGGTTTATTGTATACGATTTCTACCTATGTGTTATATAAGAGATGCTGACTATGTGTCTACTGTATAATGTGCATATCCACGTGTTATTGTCCACCATGTGTTATTCAATAGGAGCTATTTGTGGGTATAATATAACCAATGTCTATCAACGTACTGTTCAATAGTGACGACCTGTTGGTTTACTGTTTAATGTCTCTGTCCATTTGTTATGTATTTGTCATGTCATTGTAAATGGATGTATGCATATGTCCTGTTGTTTCCATCTAAAATATCGGTATTATGGAAATTTGGTGTACGTCGTGTTTTGGGGTTTTTTGTGGTTTCTTCAAGTTCAAATTACAACAAGCAGATGTGATATATATATAAATGACTTAGATTAAAAAAAAGCCTGTGGATTGAAAAAGTATGTTGTAATGGAGCAAATGCGTTAAGATCTAGAAAGATCTAGAATTCTATTGTAGATATTTCTTTTCATTAAGACAAAGTAAAAAAAAAATTACAAAAAAAATTAAAACAATTATAAAATTAATAGACACCTGATATTCATATTAAAATATTTCATATTCATATTAAAATATTTCCAGAGTAGAATGCCTAATTGTAGGGCTTTATAAAAGCATGGGTGATTTAAATTACCTAGACGATGGTGAGAATTTATTAGAGGCCATTTATAGAAATTCAACTGAAGGGGATTATATCTATATCGGAAAAGGGTTAGTATAACATAGACTGCCAAACAACAAGCTGATGTTAAAAAAAACTTGGACCTAATTTTTAAACAAAACAGAATTCACAGGGTAATAAAAGTTATAAAGGCAACGTTAATAATACTTTGTTGATCCAAGGAGAAATGTGACCGCTGTATTTAGGCATCAGGAGTTGTACCCCGTATTGGAAATGATTTTTTTTATGTCATCTCATTTGAGATGTATGAGAGACTGAACTTAATGGACTGGGAACTTTTTCAACCTTTAGCGCATATTCACAAATCTATAATGCAAATTTTTATGTATTTAATTGCATTATAAAGTATTTATCAAACACACTCCTTATTCCGCACAAATTTATGTTTGCATCAGTATGTCATAAAAATTTAATTTCCCATGACAATATAATAATAGCTTTGCTGATTCTCATGTATGGGCAGGGAAACTCTGAAAAAATTACTGAATAATACAGTTAAAGATGAGAAAACACATTTTAAAGTTAGTTTTGGGATATCCAGCCTATTGCAATTTTCTGCGCTCCTAATGTAGGTAACAGGTCTACCGAAGTGACCCATGCTTCTATGCATGCCATCATTCTCTCCTATATGCTCTAATTCCCTCAAATAATCTCATTTGCCAAACCTTTCATATTATCCCACATCCATGTAGATGTGTAATCACATTGGCATTGACCATCATGTGTATGTTCCCCAACTTTGAATCATTGCGCCCATAGCTAGTCACTTTGCCGCCCTAAATACTTTCTATAATATGTTGTCACAGCGCAGCTGGCTACAGTTGTGAGAATGTAAAATCAAGCGAATAAAATAAAATTTAGTTTGTTTGTTTCTGCTTTCTCTTCAAGTTACGACTCCAAAACCAACAACCAAGGCACGTGTAACAGCTAAAGCTCCAAATAAACAGGATCCACCACCTAAAGATCCATGCAATTGCGAAACAAGTGAGTATAAAAAAATAATATGTATAGTTAATCAAAGGCACAGGAAAATGTGATTATTATTATAACTGTAGCCCACGTGCCAACACTCCCAAATTTACTTATACTGTCCTATTGATTTATCCCCTGAATATACCTTCTCGTGTTTTTTTTTCCTAATGTCCTTTCCTCGGGCTATCAGAGAAAGGTGCCCATTTAATGCTTCATGTGTATGTTTAAAGATGCTCACAGCTTCACCTGCCATTTTAAGGGCATTACCACCCTGGTGGGTCACCTGCTGGGAGCCTGTAGACCAGGTGTACATGTATGTCCATGTATGTGGGAATGACAGTTATCCTGAATGTATGTGTCCTCACAGGCCCTCACCTGGCCCTCTTCTATTAGCAAGGATGTCATAGTAATATAGGAAATATGGTCACCCTATATCAAATTCATATGTGTATCATGGGAACGTAGATTATATATACCTGGGGTGCAATACTTTGCCATCACTGCTCTCTATATTGTGAAGTAGGTGTACCCTGATAGTTCACAGAGTTAACCCATACTCTCTTGCTTTTTTATAGCCAACAAATCCTTCCCCCATTGTAACTCTTTTCTGAGCTCCCTCATATCAGGGATGTTCCCAACTCTGTATCTTTAATGAAATTCCAAAACACAAAATTGTTTATGATAAATATACAAACACGATGAAAGAGAATCTAACACCGAGTCCGTAATGGTTGTGGGGTAATTACGACATAACCCAACATAGAAATCAATAAGAAGATTAGTACAGACTAGTAAGAAACAAGCCCAATACCAATCCTATAACCATTATTAAAGTACTAGTCCAACATTGGAATGAGAGAACCTTAAAAATATATAATTCACAACTTTATTAAATCCCTATCAGGATGATACAAAAACACACACACAAAAAAAAACAGCGCCAGAAAAATGTGATGAAGTGAAAAAATAGAAAATAAATAAAATTGCACAAAGACTCCTTGATAAGATTGTGGAGCTCTAGACTCCTTGCAAAGATGGTGGGGCTCTAGACTCCTTACTAAGATGGTGGGGCTGTAGACTCCTTACTAAGATGGTGGGGCTGTAGACTCCTTGTTAAGATGGGGGAGCTCTAGACTCCTTGCTAAGATGGTGGAGCTCTAGACTCCTTGTTAAGATGGTGGAGCTCTAGACTCCTTGCTAAGATGGTGGAGCTCTAGACTCCTTGTTAAGATGGTGGGGCTGTAGACTCCTTGTTAAGATGGGGGAGCTCTAGACTCCTTGCAAAGATGGTGGGGCTCTAGACTCCTTACTAAGATGGTGGGGCTGTAGACTCCTTACTAAGATGGTGGGGCTCTAGACTCTTTACTAAGATGGTGGGGCTGTAGACTCCTTGTTAAGATGGGGGAGCTCTAGACTCCTTGTTAAGATGGTGGAGCTCTAGACTCCTTGCTAAGATGGTGGAGCTCTAGACTCCTTGCTAAGATGGTGGAGCTCTAGACTCCTTGTTAAGATGGTGGAGCTCTAGACTCCTTGCTAAGATGGTGGAGCTCTAGACTCCTTGCTAAGATGGTGGAGCTCTAGACTCCTTGTTAAGATGGTGGAGCTCTAGACTCCTTGCTAAGATGGTGGAGCTCTAGACTCCTTGTTAAGATGGTGGGGCTGTAGACTCCTTGTTAAGATGGGGGAGCTCTAGACTCCTTACTAAGATGGTGGGGCTGTAGACTCCTTACTAAGATGGTGGGGCTCTAGACTCTTTACTAAGATGGTGGGGCTGTAGACTCCTTGTTAAGATGGGGGAGCTCTAGACTCCTTGTTAAGATGGTGGAGCTCTAGACTCCTTGCTAAGATGGTGGAGCTCTAGACTCCTTGTTAAGATGGTGGAGCTCTAGACTCCTTGCTAAGATGGTGGAGCTCTAGACTCCTTGCTAAGGGGGTGGAGCTGTAGACTCCTTACTAAGATGGTGGAGCTCTAGACTCCTTACTAAGATGGTGGAGCTCTAGACTCCTTGTTAAGATGGTGGAGCTCTAGACTCCTTGTTAAGATGGTGGGGCTCTAGACTCCTTGCTAAGATGGTGGAGCTCTAGACTCCTTGCTAAGATGGTGGAGCTCTAGACTCCTTACTAAGATGGTGGAGCTCTAGACTCCTTACTAAGATGGTGGAGCTCTAGACTCCTTGTTAAGATGGTGGAGCTCTAGACTCCTTACTAAGATGGTGGAGCTCTAGACTCCTTACTAAGATGGTGGAGCTCTAGACTCCTTGCTAAGATGGTGGAGCTCTAGACTCCTTGCTAAGATGGTGGAGCTCTAGACTCCTTACTAAGATGGTGGAGCTCTAGACTCCTTGCTAAGGGGGTGGGGCTCTAGACTTCTTACTGTTACTCAATGACAGATGTACAACATAGGACAATACACAGGCCTATCTTTTAAGGCATTCAGGATTTGATGAACCAATGCAATTCTAGCTAGATAAGGATAAGAATGTCTGAATAATGTGTTCCCATAAACTGTGTACCCCTGGTATGCTGGGAATAAAGTTGAACATATAGAGGGCTATTCACTAAAGTGAGAATTCAAAGTGAATTTCAAATTTAAGGCCCAGGGAACTGAGCTGGAAGCAGAGAATCTTTCCAGTTTTTATGTTTACTTTGATATTGAAATTCAATTTGAATTCACTTTGAATAACCCTGCAATACATAAAAAAGTAAAAATAAGCTCTTTGTGCAACACTCCAGAAATATCAATGTTATAAAGAATAAAAAATGTTCCTAGTAAAATAAAAAAATAAAAAACTATGAACACGTCTCTACTAAACCCCATCATTGATTCTGTTCTACAGGATAGAGACCACCATCTCCAGTGTTGTGGGGAGAATAGGAGGTTTCACAGTAAAATATCAAGATGTAAACAATTAGAATCTGTTAATTTTGGTATTCCAATTCGTCTGAAATTAGGAAATGATCGATTTGGAACAAAACATAACTTGAAAAAAAATGTGAAACCGAAATGAAATTCGGATGCAATTATTCCCATTATTCCAAGGGATACCAATCTAGATAGCTCCCTTATTTGGTATGCTTAAAAATAGTAACCCTAATTTTGACCTTTCAGCTGTTTAGGAGATAACTCGTTAATTTTGTACCTTTATGTCGGACTGCCATATTGAAGGATATCAAATAATCGAGCTATCTGCCTATGATTTAATATCCTTAAATATGGCAATCCCACATAAGGATACCAAATTAGGGATCTATCTACTAAACAGCTGAAAGATCAAAAAGAAGAATATGTCTTTTTCTTTAAGCTGTTTAGAAGACAGCTCCTTAATTAGCTATCCTGTGTATATGGCATTCTATACACGTGCAGCATATAAATTCTATGTACATGTAGCATATACATTCTATATGCATATAAAATAAACATTCCATATGCTGCATGTATACAGAATGTATGTGATGAATATATATAGAATGTATGCGTTACATGTATATGGAATATAATGTATGTGGTTGTAAAATACACAGATACTAAACTAAGGTCCTGTTTACTAAACAAAAATCTCTGTTTACTAAAGCAAAAATCAGAATAGCCCTTTTTTTAAATGTGCTCTTTCAGTTGCTTAATAGATAAGTCCCTAACTTGTTATCCTTAATTATGGCTATCCCAAACAAATTAGGGAGCTATTGACTAAACAGCTGAAACAGCTTTCTTTTGGACCAACAGCAAAAAATAAATGTGAGGATGGCTGAACTTGATGGACACATACCTCTTTTCAGCTCTGTAACTATGTAACTATGAAAGAAAAAAATTAAAGCGAAAAAAACTTTTCTTAATTTTGCTGTTTCAGCTGCTTAAAGGAAAATTATAGTCACCAAAACAACTTTACCTTAATGAAGCAGTTTTAGTGTATAGATTATGCCTCTGAAGTTCCACTGCTCAATTCACTGCCAATTAGGAGTTAAATCACTTTTGTTTCTGTTTATGCAGCCCTAGCCACACCTCCCCTAGCTGTGACTGACACAGCATGCATGGAAAGAAAATGGTTTCATTTTCATCAGATATTAACTTACTTTAAAAGTTTTTATCTTTTTTCTGTAAACTGAACTTTAATCACATGCAGAAGGCTTCTGCAGGGTCTAGCAAGCAAATAACAGAGCAAGAGATAAAAGATTCTAAATTAAACCGAATTTCCAATAAATAAAGTGTAAACATTAGATGACTCTTTACAGGAAGTGTTTAGGAAGGCTGAGTAAGTCACATGCAGGGAGGTGCAACCTATGGCTGCCTAAACAAAGTGACTTAACTCCCAAATGGCAGAGAATTGAGTGAGACTGCAGGGGCATGATCTCTACACCAAAACTGCTTCATTAAGCTAAAGTTGTTATGGTGAATATAGTGTCCCTAAATCTCATTGCTATCCTTAATAGCAAATGGCTGCCGTCATAACACTGCCCATTTAGGTTTCTCTTCCTCTTTTTGTGTCCAAATCATCCCAACCTGTGTTTGAAATAGATTGGGACATTCTTTGCAAGGTCTACCCACTCCCTTGCCATGGCTGTGTGTGTTCAAGGATGGAACACCATATTTCTTGGGTGAATTAAAAAATGATTTGTTAAATGTATCACAAAATTGGTCTAGCACAAATGTTATGCTTCCTTTTAGTTTGATGCCCCCCTTATATCACATGGACCCACCAAATTTCGATTCTTTAATTCATCCTTTAGTATGCAGGGTTTGAGTCGAGTGTAGGATTTTACTGGCTTCCATTGCCCATCCAACAGTATTTTATTTACCACAGTTACTCTTCATCTATCATTTCTTTATTTGTGTTCCTAATTCCCAATCCTTTCTGATCTTTTTTTTTTTTATTTGTAGAAATAAATATTTTCCCATTTTTCTTGTGATCTTAAATGTTTTTAAATAACGTTTTGCATTCCCATTCTGTTTTTTTGTTTTGTTTTATTAAATATGTTTGTATGTATAACTACTTCAAAGAATTTACAACATGATTTTCAAAAATTGTGAACGTGAGTTGCCATCTCTAATTCAAGTGGAAATGTTTGTTATTGTTATAACAGTTGACATTTAACGCCGTTGATTTTCCTTTACACAAAATACATTATCAAAAAAAGAAACTTAAAAAAAGTGTTTTGCTCACGTTTGGCACCTGCTTGACACCTTCAGCCCCTACAATAACATAATAAGTCAGTTGCAAAATATAGGGCAAAGCGGCACAAAATTACACTGTAAATTCTACCCTGGATTTCCTGCTCAACAAGAAAACGGGGCACTTAACCCCTTAGGGACACATGACATGTGTGACATGTCATGATTCCCTTTTATTCCAGAAGTTTGGTCCTTAAGGGGTTAAAAGCTTAACAGAACTATTTTCTGTGATGAAATTAAAAAGACCTGCCATGACTATGTCAAAGTACAGTAAATACTTACTGCAATCTACAAGCAGCAACCAGAAATGAAACGTGTGTCTAAAAACCATTTCAACACGGCTGAGCAACACTTGAGGAAGTTAAAGTTGATTATTTACATTAATATTTACACATTATCAACAAATTGAGTATCACTGTCAGCATTCTGTGACAGTAGAAATACCTACATCCCAGCATTTCAAATGTACAAAGAGGGACGCATTCATGTTAGGGTTATAAGTGGGGTTATGGCCAGGGGCAGGGCTGTTCTGAGAAATTTTATGTAATTTACTAATAACTAATTATGGAAGTAAAATGTAATTTAGAACAAGAACAATGTTGTTTACACAGACTGATTTCTGAACACATTTATTGTAGTTTAAAGACACATTACTGAGAGTATTATTGCTATAGAGCTCCGTCATACTCTCAGACACACCAACACTATAGAGCGTCTAGTGACAGAGTGACAGAGGGATTTGGGTCCAAAATAGGGCCTGTCCCTTCTTCTAGGGCCAGTTGGGAGGTATGCAAATAAACTCATATAGTTGTGTTTTAGAGCCCTTCCTGCGTGAAAAGATACTTCCTCGTCTGCACTGTATATACCCTCGCTATCCTTTAACTCACAATTATATTTCTACTAATGGAGAAAATCTAACACTTAAAGACAAGCCATCTCTATTTGTTTAATATCTCAGCACAACCTCTGGAGGTTATACTTCTGGTTCTAGAAGGCTATATATTTCTGACTCAGCACCTTCATCTCCATTAACTCTACATCACTATCTCTTTTAACTCTACAACACTACCTCTTCATCCTCTGCATTCTTCCACTGACTGCTTGCTACCGCTAGTGTCCCCATACAAATGTCTCCTGTATAGATCTCTTGGAGAAGAATATACTCTAAGTTTAGTTGTAATCCTCTTGTCAATCACCCACAGTTCTAGATTTTGTGAATAACTCTGTTGCAAAATCCATCTTGCTAACTATTTCTCTGGTTCTAGATGCTTCAAAGAAAGATGCTTTCAAAGAACCTTTCTGTGAATTGTTAATCTGGGCTCCTCTCGCAGGATTGTGTGGACTTCTTCTTATCGCTCTCCTAACTACTTCTATATTGCTCTGTAAACGTAAGAGACGAAAATTTAATTCTTTAGCTGGCTCTGCATTTTATGCAATATTCAACGACACTATTAGGTGATTTATAAATGCATAATGGTCAATTTTGTATATTAAATGTTACAAGTTCAGAAGTATAAAACATTGTTAATAAAATATGCATTCAATTAATTAGATTACTGTTCTGCTTTACGCTGATGAAATTCACATTTAACCCCTTTAATTCTAAGTGGTTTTTTTTTGATGAATAAATTGGGTATCACTTAAAGGAACACTCCAGAGTTTTAGTAAATTACATTTTTTTTATAATGCTGGAGTGTTCTATAGATTTCTGAGACCCCTATTCCTGTAAAAAACAAAAGCTTTTACTTCTAATACAGCGTGATCTCCCCATTGCAGCTTCATTCTGCCACTGGTGTTCCATCACTAAAGATTGGTTCCTGGCAAATCAAATGGTTCTCATAGAGAAACCTCATATTAGCTTTTTAGTAAGTGATCAAAGTATAATTGAATGAGCACCACCGGCTGTCTGATTGACAGCAGGGAGGGGACAACTTATGAGCTTTAAAAAAGTGCTGATTTATCTTGAAATCGACACTTTTATATAATAAGAGAGAGGGGCTGCGGTGTTTCGAGTGTTCCTTTAACTGAAACTTGGAATGAATGCTAGTACATACATTTTTGACAAAACAGTGGGGTTGTGTATAGGTTAGTATTCAGGAAAATCAAAAATATAATTTTAAAATCAATGAATCATACAGTTTATTCTTAGGTAGTAAAATGTATACAGGGTTTTATCGTTTTCTGGGTTATGACACATTAGCCTACAAACACAAATACCATTTTAGTCACGTACAGTATTTGTGAAAACAAATAATGTTAACAGTTATTTTTAAACACTCTGATGGCATCCTGTGTGAAGACAGATTTCCATAAATGTTACTAGTATACAATGCAAAAAACACACTGAGGTTTTCCTGCACCCAGCAACCCCTATCCCCCCTCCCCCCATCCTACCCTCCGTCGCCTGCTCTACTGATGAACTTTGTAAGTTCTAGTACAAGCATAAGTTTAAGGGTCAACGTCTACAGAATCTCTGCCCAATACAAAGGTATATTCTAACCCCCCATATGTGCCATACTTCGACTGAACAATATGCTATCTTTTTGCTCTGTGCGCCTATATATACACACACACACAGCATAACGGCGAGCAGTGTATTATCGTAAAATAATACCATCCATGTGCAAAAAAAAAAAATTGGGGCAAATTTTTAGGATTTATTTTATTTTGGTGTCAAGCCCACATCAGGGTACCAAATTAGGATCCATGTACTAAACAGCATCCTAATTTTATATCCTAAGTTTAGTTGAGCCGTCTACGAAAAACATTGAGAGATAACGAAAAAATGAAAAGTCTATTTTTTTTTTTTTTTAAATTTGCTCTTTCAGTTGCTTAGTAAATAAGTCCCTAATTTGATACCCTTAATCATGGCAATCCCATGTAGGATATTATATAGTTACATAGTTACATGAAAAGAGACTTGCGTCCATCAAGTTCAGCCTTCCTCACATGTTTTTGCTGTTGATTCAAAAGAAGGCAAAAAACCCAGTTTGAAATGCTTCCAAATTTGCAACAAACTAGGAAAAAATTCCTTCTTGACCCTAAAACAGCAGTCAGATGTCTCCTTGGATCAAGTAGCTATTACCCCACTAATTAGAAATTATATCCCTGTATGTTATGTTTTTGCAAGTATTTATCCAATTGCTGTTTAAACAGCTGTATGGACGCTGATAAAATCACCTCTTAAGGCAGAGAATTCCATATCCTTATTGCTCTTACTGCAAAAAAAACTATTCTTTGCCTTAGATGAAATCTCCTTTCTTCCAGCCTAAATGTGTTACCTTGTGTCCTATGTATAGCCCTGTTTATGAATAGATTTCCAGATAATGGTTTGAACTGGTCCCCAATGATTTGTATAATGTTATTGTATCCCCTCCAAAGCGCCATTTTTTCAAACGAAAGAGATTTACATTTTTTAACCTTTCTTCATAACTAAAATGCTTAATTACTTTTATCAATTTTGTAGCTTGTCTCTGCACTTTTTCTAGTGCCATGATATCCTTCTTTAGAACAGGTGCCCAAAATTGCACAGCATTTTCAAGGTGTAGTCTTAATAGCGATTTATAAAGAGGCAAAATTATATTTTCATCCTGAGAATTTATGCCCCTATTTATACATGACAAAACCTTACTGGCCTTAGCAACTGCAGATTACATTTAATCTGCCATTTTAGTGCCCAGTCCCCCAATCTATCTAGATCTCTCTGCAGCAAAGCAAAATCCTTGCGTGTTTCTTACTTTCTTCCAACCCTTTTGTGTGCCACTTACTCCACCACGGCCCCTTTGTGTGACCTTAAGTCCTCCCAGCTCCTTTCTGATTGTTTCTTTCTCCCCTCAGTATCTTTGTATTTTTCTTCCCTTCCCCAACCCCTCTCTGTGTCTCTTCCCCCTAGCTCCTTTCTGTGTCTCTTTTCCCCATCCCCAAACCCTTTGTGTGTCTATTGCCCAGGCCCTCTGTGTGTCTTTTTTCCACTTTCCCTGTCCCTCTCTGTGTCTCTTTCTCCCCCAAGTCCTTATGTGTGTCTTTTTCTCCCTCCAGACTCTCTGATTGTCTTTCTTCTCCCTGCCCCACTATGTGTCTCCTTCTTCCCCCCCCCACAGCCCCTTTGTGTGTCTTTCTCCCCCCCACCATTCTCCCCCTTAGTGGTCTCTTTCCAACTCTTCCTTTATGTGCCTGCTTACTTTCCTCCATGTAGCATGTGGACCACTGTAAAGAATCTTCTGTATCCTTTAACCAGTCTAACAGGAAGCTATTCAGTGCTCTCAGTGAGCATTTCCTGTCAAAAAGGATAGAGGATACAGAAGACCACCTACTGCTCTCTGCTCTGCCACCATGATGTGACTGGCAGGAGCGGGAGCACTGTGCGCTCCACTCCATTTCGTGACCTGGACATTGTGCCATCCAGACAGTGCACTGAAAGGTGGCCTCCTGTGCCATATTATGGTTGTGCTGGCCCTGGAACAGGGGCATTGCTAAAACACTCAGGGATCAAAAATAGTTTAATGACAACCTTCCTAAGGCCCCACCATAGGCCCATCATCCAAAATCTACATCTTAACATGGCTTTAACACACACAGTTAGTTAAAGAAGCACACACAGACATGCACATATACACAGATGGACAGTGAAACACAAGCACAGACAGAAACACAAAGATAAGCATACAGGCACAGATAGGAAAACACAGGCACAAACAGGACAGAAAACAGACTAGTACACACAGTTAGGCACATACAGACACAGACAGACACACACAGCTAAAGACAAGCCCACACAGACAGGCACACCAAATCAAAAAAGGTATTTTTTCTCTTAATTTTGATCTCTCAGATGTTTCGTAGCTATTCCCCAATTTGATATCCTTACCTGAGAAAGCCATCTTTTACGATACCAAATAAGGGAGCTATTTGCTAAATAGCACTCTAATTTAATATTTTAATATCCTTAAATATTGCAATCCCACATAAGGGTACCAAATTAGGGAGATTTTGTGCTGAGTAGATAGCTCCCTAATTTGGTATCCTTAAAGGTAAACTATAGCGCCAGGAAAACAAAGTTGCTTTCCTTTCACTATAGCTCCCTATAGTGTTCCTTATCCCTCATCTCTTGTGGTGTAGGATGGGTTAAAAACCCCTTCTGTCATTTACCTGAGTCCAGCGCCAATGTCGCCGCTGGCATTACTATTTACCCTATAGGAAAGCATGTATATTGCTTCCTATGGGGTTTTACATGACACTGGATGACCTCATGCGTAGGGTGAGGACGTCCATCGTCAGTTATGCGACCAAAAGTTAGGCGACCAAAAGTCGCCTAAAGACCCTGAAATCCCTCTAGTGGCTGAACTAGCCCACTACATGTGGAGTTGACCCTCAAAGGTAAAAACTGCAATAATTATCTTTGCTGGGTTAAGGGACCCAGGGACTATACACCCAGACAACTTCAATGAGTTGAAGTAGTCTGGGTGCCTATAGTGTTCCTTTAAAATGGCATTCCCACATAAAGGTACCAAATTATCTACTAAACAACTGACAGAGTGAAATTCAGAAAATGGCTTTTCTTAATTTTGACCTTTCAGTTGTTTAGAAGATAGCTCCATAATTTGCTATCCTGTGTATATCACGTACATTCTATATACATACTGTGTACATCACATACATTCTATTTACATGCAGTACGTACATTCTGTACACCTTATACATGCTGCAGACCCATTCTATAGATATGCACATGTATGTTCTATATACATGCAGTATATTCATTCTATGTACTTGCAGCACATACATTTTGTATACATGCAGCATATACCATCTATATGTGGGATTGCATATGGATACCAAAAAGGACAATTACTATTACATATATGTATATAGAAATCATTCTAAAATGTTAAATCGAGGTCAGAATTTGATTCAGAATCAATCAAATTGAACATGACTATATGTAACAGAGTAAGTGGCCTTAGGCTAACATTCCATACCTGCTGGTGTTGGAGAATGGATGGTATTCCTCTGTAATCGTGCATACACAATTTTGTAAAAGAACGTGCCAACACATAGATGAAAATTATATATATATATATATCTATGTGGGCATCTATATATTTATATATCTTTAAATTAATTAAACTGTGATTTCCCGAAATGCCCTTTTATCTTCAAAGCATTAATCGGTTTCAGTAGTGAGGTTGTTACTCCTGGAGTTGATTTCTTAGATAAACAAATGGACTGAATTGGAATGATTGCTCGGTATGATTTGCGCTAATGGACTGGAATATTTTGACGCATTTAGGGAAACACTAAGCAAGTGAGGCTGACAAGAAATAAAATAATAACTAAAATTGTTACTTCATAATTTGTGCAGGACTAGGCACAGAGCACAACCTAGCATTGATCTCTGATTGATTGATTGATTGATTTAGTTTATTTTCCTTTTATTTCCCCAATCTGTCGTTTTCTGCTTGCTGTATAAACTATATTTCCCATGATCCATCAGCAGCATTGCTGTTTGCACTACATCATGTAAAAAAGTATTTTTCCGACATCGAGGACTGCCAAGTTTAGCCACAGCTACCTATAAAATAAACATTGTGGATACTGTAATACATACACAAGAACCTCAATGTGAGGCTCAGCTTATTCATATGATCAATCTGGTTAACATTTTCCTGGAAAACAAGTTAAGCATACATTAAAAACATACATTATGGAAATATATGTGGTAGAAGTGAGCTGGAAAACTATAAAGGTGTCAAAGATGAGATGTTTATCACAGAATAGTCTGTAGATTTTGATCTTTGTTCCAGTCTCAAAACTAGCCTTTGGTGAGGGTTATTGTGTGACTGCATGGGTGTTTGCAAAGGCATTAAAACCACCTTATTGACCTTGTTTGAGTTGAAAGACACCTTGCAATATTTTTCCACAACAAATTTTCAGTTGGATTTACAGGGAGTTGGCAGGGTGCAGTCCACTTGGATCCTCCAACTTTGGCAATTACTACCTGGCAGTCCACCTGTGATTGGATGCCGGACATGAATCAGTGACCTCAAGCAGTTGGTGTGTGCGAGGTTCCACAGATTCCTTTCTTTACCGTCCCTCCACACGTATGGCAAAGAGGTTTCCTAGCACATACACGTACATAGAGCACAGTCGCAGGGTCTACAGTACAGTTTATAGTACATTTGAAGGTGGGCTTTTGACATGGGTGTGTAAGAGATGATATGTTTGACTGTTTGTGAATATGTAATACGGGGTTAGTGGTTGAGTGTATATGACTATTGGCTGGTATGAGATAGCGTAGGTGGGTGCATACAACTGGTGGAGGAGTATATGACAGCTACCAGTCATGTACTCCCACCCACAACCTATCACGTACTCAAAACCAGTCACATAAACACAGCCAGCCACATAACAAGTGCAGGTTAAATGCATTTACCTGCTCTCATGTATCTACAACCAGCTCCCTCTATAACAGACCCACCAGCCGCCTTTTACTCTTATAATTCATCTAGTGACACACATTGCACCTCCCCTCCCAGTCCTGTCACCCACCTATTCCACCCATAGGTGGGTAACATATCTCACACATCTTCTTTCAGTACTTTATACTCATCCAACCAGTCACATTTACACATTTGGCCATATATCCCTAGTCACAGGGCCAAATTCACACAGCTATCCAGGTTACAAATCATCCAGTCACTCAACCAGTCTCACATTACAGCCAGTCACATACTCCTACCCACCCTGTCATATATAAACTCCTCTACCACCAACAATGCACCTAGTCATTTAAAGATTACACACACATATTTGATGGGCCTCCCAACTGTCCCAGTTTCGATGGGCCAGTCCCTATTATCATGTCCTGCAGTTACGATTTAGTTTGGACAGGAAAGCTCAAGTGCATCAATAGACCCTCTATCCTACTGGCACTAGGACCATGCAGAGAGTGCTTCAGCACCTTCTTGTGTCCTGAATCCATACCTCCCAAAGTTGCAAGATATGTATTTGCAAACATACTTATACCCATTCACACAGGATACACATGCATATACAGTTACATACACACACAATCACATTACACATGATCACATATGCAAATTAAACATACATGTGCTCCTATCACATACATTGTCACATGTCCTCAACGGGCCTTACTGGAGACATGGCTAGGGGCTGAGAAGCTATGTGTGAATTATGTTTCAGGATTACGTTACAATGGGATTCACCAACACCAACACCTGCAGTGCTACGATGCACCATTGTTTGTGCACTAGAATTGTGTGGCTTTTGCTATTTTATCATCAACATTCAGTGAGTTTTACTGGGTCTGTACAAAAGTTGCCACGTATGTAGTTTGGCCAGTAGAATGCCCATGGAACTGAACTAATTAATTGCTTACTGCGCTCATGCCCATCTACATCGCAGACTAAGGGTGGGTAACTGCCCTCTCCCTCTTGAGATGTCCTGCCTAATCCAATTTAATTGCATGCTCAAAGGCTGCTCTGATCAGCTGTTTACATGGTATCTCACTTACCAACTGATGGGAGCCAGAGCGGAGGGAAATATGAAGTTACGCAGGCTGTAGAAATGCCCCACTGTCAGACAGACCTCCAAATTGACCATGTGCCTCCAGGGTCCACATAGAGGAGATAAGTATCTCCTTTATATGGGCCGTGAATGTGCATGGACCTGTCAAACATCCGCAGTCTGTTATGTCTCTAGAGTTGCAACTAATGATTATTTTCATAATCAATCAACTCATTATTTTTTCAATTAATCAGAGAAAAAAAAGCAGGTTGCCTCAACATCTACTTGCAACCATCCTTCAACAACAAATGCTCCAAGTGAATTCACACTTTAGTGAAGAACCCTTTTAGAATAATGGATATGATAAAGTTAGGAAGACACACCAAACAGCCTCCTTCCCACAGTTGTGTCGATCTGCCCCTACCCCATCCTTCCCCTCACTTGTGTCTCTGTGCTAATAACCCCTTCTTCTCCCTACTTGTGTCTCTATGCTAATATACCCCTCTTCTGACTCTCTCTGCCCATACACCTACTTGTGTACGTCAGCTCCATCAATCCCACTGCAGTTCTTCTACCATGTCTGTCCTTTAGCCCCATATATCCTACTCCTGTCCCCACCCAAAAATTCACCCATGAAAGGTGTTTAAAAATGACAGGTTCCCAATGTGAGCACATGTCTGGCAGCTGGGGGGGAGGTGTGCAGATCCTTGCTTGGTTCCTATGAAGTCATATCTCCATGTCCCCAGAAATTGAACTTTTTTTACAAGTTGTGCAGCTAATCCTGCGTTCCCAGCAGGATGGTGCAGAGTAGACTGGCCTTCAGGACTGAGTGGAGGCTGTCCTAGGGGTGATCCAGTAAACATCCCTTTTTAGAGTATCTACATATTTACCCTTACTCTGGGGGGTGGCCATAAGAACATAGCTTATCTGACCAAACATAGTGCAGGCTTAAAGGACCACTCTAGGCACCCAGACCACTTCAGCTTAATGAAGTGGTCTGGGTGCCTGGTCCAGCTAGGGTTAACCCATTTTTTAATAAACATAGCAATTTCAGAGAAACTGCTATGTTTATTAATGGGTTAAGCCTTCCCCCTAATCCTCTAGTGGCTGTCTCATTGACAGCCACTAGAGGCGCTTGCGTGCTTCTCATTGTGATTTTCACAGTGAGAGCACGCAAGCGTACATAGGAAAGCATTGTAAATGCTTTCCTATGCGACGGGCTGAATGCGCGCGCAGCTCTTGCCGCGCATGCGCATTCAGCCCAGGAGGAGGATCGGAGGAGGAGAGGAGGCAGAGAGCTCCCCGCCCAGCGCTGGAAAAAGGTACGTTTTAACCCCTTTCCCCTTTCCAGAGCCGGGCGGGAGGGGGTCCCTGAGGGTGGGGGCACCCTCAGGGCACTATAGTGCCAGGAAAACGAGTATGTTTTCCTGGCACTATAGTGGTCCTTTAAGCTCTGCATCTCTCAAAAAGTATATCCCGGGACAGTGTTAGGCCTTGATATTGTGCATCACAAGCACATTCACGCTTGGTGTTGCTGAATGTATTCATCATTTAAAATAATATACACCATTAGCCAAAATCTACTTCTTGAATGCTTAAAAAAATATTTTAAAGATGGTCTGCTCATTTACATTTCCTTCCTTGATGAAATCATTCAATTCTGTTTCAGGAACAAGGAGAAGACACTGCCGATGTAAACATGTGTAAGTATTTAAAGAATATCAGATAAGAGTCGATCAATAGAAGATTTGTTATCTTAGTAGGTGCCTCCAATCAACGCTGGTGAAAGACTAATAAGGAGCCATACCACACTGAGATACTAACTGCAAATAATAATGAGGTTACTTGCAGACAACGTTTACTTTTAAAGTTATAAATGTAAAACTACATAGATTTGTGCTTTCAGTTTCAAACAAATCACTAATTTGTCTGAATTTTAGGCCATAGTTGATTCATCAGAATTCCGCAGCTTTGACAAACCATACCATCTTAAAACCATCTTAAAACAAGTTAAATGGGCAATGGATGAACCTTTTGTTTATTTTTATAGTTGCAGAAAAAATGAAGGGGATGGAGAAGAAGCTGATTTTTTTTAGGAGGGTCCAATAAGCAGTTTAAATTCCCATGGTGGACAACAAGTCTGCCCAATTATTTGGGTTGTATCTCATAGCTAATCAAAACATGAAAATGATGTGAAAATGCACTACACTAATAGGCACATTTTGAAGCTATTGTGGCCCGTTTTAATTGTTTTAGGCAAGTGTGTCGATACTGAAACGTGACATGGCCAAGACTCAGTTTGTCTGAGCCAAAAAAAATGAATGGTTCACATCTATTGGGGCTTTCGGTGTAGTGTTAGGGTTAAACTGGCTGAGATGGTGGATTTGATAATATTTAATCTACAGTGAAACACATCAAAGTCTATTTTGGGAATTAACCTCAGTAATTCATGGATGCGAGCCTCAACCACAGTGAAGTGGAAGGCTTAATTCATGACAAAAAAAAGACTTACAAATTCTCCTGCACAATGGTCCCTCCAATCACTGGGCTGGAGGGTTCTGAATGCCCAGACTGGCCAGTGGCCACTAAACCACATTGCTACCCTACCATGCATTCCCTATCAAATGTACAGTGATTTAGATATACAATTAGTGTACTTAGGTTTGTGATAATAATAAAGAATGGAAAGGCACATCGCTGCCAGTCCCTCTCATTACTCTCAAGCGTGAGTAGGATATGAGTTAGATAGCCCAAATCAAATAGACCTTTTAATTGCCCAACCCTTCCCAAAAAGCATGCACTTGGCATTATACAAAAAAGAAAGTGTTTAATAATGATGAATGCAGCCAAAAGAAACAAATCCTGACTGCAAATTACCTTATTTTGGACCCGATTTAATAAGCTTTCCAATTGATTCAATACTCCTAGAAAATTCTCCAAATATTTTTCTATGATAATCCCCGAAGACATTAATAGTGACTTCTGTAGATAAAGCATTTGAAAGGTTTTTATAACAGTATAGAATTATTTCTAAAGTTTATCAAATCAAGGTTTTTGGTTGGATGTAAAAAAAAAAAAAGGTTTGCAGAAGAAAGAGAAGAAACGTTTAAAAAGAGTCCGTTTATTCTCACAAAAATGTGCAAACAGTCCAGATATAGGAGTCAAGTTCCAGATTGCCTGCATTGACACGCTCTAGAGCAGGGATAGGCAACCTTCGGCACTCCAGATGTTGTGTACTACATCCCCCGTAAAGCTCTTACACCCATAATGCTGGCAAACCATCATGGGAGGTATAGTCCAAAACATCTGGAGTGCCGAAGGTTGCCTATGCCTGCTCTAGAGTCTGCTCATGCAAATTTGTAAATTAGAATCTACAAAACAACATTAGATATATCTTTATTTATCAAACAACATTAACTGTCTCCAGTGCCTTACTGATGTTTGAATATGAGAGGCAAAGTAACCGACTGGAATGATAAATGGTATAAATGATATGGGCGTATTATAGGTTCTGTCCAGCAGAGCTTGCAATCTATGCAACATCATTATGATCTCAAAATTGAATTGCAGCATTCTGTACTAAGGAATTCCACATCAGTAACTTTTTGTCCATTTGTCTTTCCCACGTTTCTTAAGGCCTTTGAATGAGAAGAATGGAAAAGGCAGACCTCCAGGGAGAGTTGTGTAACACCTCGATACACGACCACACTGTGAAGTTTGTAAAGAGAATTAGGTCACTGAGAACCGTCTTTCATAGTGCATGCTCTGGCAGTGAAAGGGTTAAAGTGTGGACTGAACAGTAGAGACAAAAATAGCCAGTTAGACCACCGGCATCCTGTTTTCTTACCTCTTCCGAGACATTATAGAAGTGATTTTTCATTCTGTGTGCCTTACCTGCCTTGTAATTACTTGTATGTTTATACATCACTGCAGATTATATTGGTGCTGTATAAATATATAAGTATGATCAATCACAAATGATCAAATAATCAATGCTTACAAATGCTACAGATTATATCATTTAACACGTAAATTCTATACAGATAATAAAAATAAAATGTAATATATTAACCATACCTTTTTGTACCTTTTATAATGGAAACCTGTGGAAAATATAAAATGTACCAAAGTCATGTCTGCTTTCAAAATGCACTTGTAGAATAGAAAAGTTAAAGTAAATAGTAAGAGTACAAACATTTTATTAACCAGATTTAATCAACAGATAACGATGGAATTGCAAAGGTTGGGCCAAAATAGCTGATTTTGCAAAAGCATTCATATATTGCATTTATATATTTTTTAGCATTTAGCTTTGTAAATGGAAGGAAGCATGTTAATTTGAAGCTTGTCTGTAAGCATTAGTGCAGTCTATAGTATGTTTCTTTTTTCTTTTTCTTTTTGTTGTCTGTGTTTAGTTTTTTTAACACTGCATTTTATGTACTTTATGATTTTGTATTTTATTTTGAGTGGAATAAAATGCCACTGTATTTCTACAACAGTTTTGCTTAGTAGTGGTGTGACCGTTATGTTGAATATAATAGACAGAAAAATCTTAGCTAAAAAATTATCACAATGGGGCAGGTCCTGACTGTCGAGCTTGCTGGATGCATTGTGGCAGAGCTCCGGGGGTGAAACGCTAATTAAGCCTGTTAATTCTGCCAAACGCTGTTTTAAGTTATCTACACACAAGCTGTGCACTCTTGAAAACTCCTGTAGCTACACACCTGCGGTTATATCGCTGATGGCTGAAGGCTCCATGACGGGGCAGGGTTGCAGCCTGTGGGTGGCTGAGGAGGAGAGAGGCCGCTCTCCTCGATCTTCAGTTGGTGGAATTGACCCATCTTGCTCCAACCCCCCACCTCCTCCCCTAGGACTGGTGAGGGTTATCTCGGTCCGCACCCTGGTGCTGACCCACTCACCTTTGCTGCATCTGGCATCTCCTGAGCAGCCTTCTTAGCCCACCTGCGACTGGTGGGCTAAGATGGCTGCTCAGGAGATGCCCACAAACTCCCACGACTTGGGCCTTGCATGCAAAACGCCTTGATAGGGCATTTAAGCACTTGTGGTCGCAATTTTGGATCAGAATTGAAGGTCGAAGGAGGAGATCCGAGGTAATAGAGAATTGGTAAGGCACCAGGGATTGAAGTTCTTACTCTAAAGTTATAACTGGTCTATAAGTGTCAGTACCACTTGGACGTGAGCTGACCATAATATGTCCCATATGGAGCTGTAGTGTACACATGCTTCAATGATGGCCTCAATATTAGGTCTATCCTGCATTGTGATTGGTGAACAGCTGAATAGTAGGAATAACAATGTTCTGAGGGATGCATGGTGTGCCATATCATATATGCCGAATTAAATTAATAGTTTGGTTACAATTTTTAATATTTAAGTGCTTTGTATCTGGGGGAGACAGGTGATAGGGACGCATCCAATTTAGATTCAGATGATTGTTAACCCTTGTTGTAATGAAGTTAACTTGGTTAAAATCGTATCCATAAAATTCCTCTGATGTACATTTGGTGTGTTTATGTTCACAAGCGTGTATACGGCATTATTAAGTATGCAGATTAGTATTAAACATCAGCCCTGACTGTCTGTTATTATCTGCAGTAACTCTAATGTCAGCGTTTTTTTGATGTATATAGAGACCCCTCTAGCTTTAGATGTATGCGTTGAGTGATATTGGATGGGATAGTCTTTAGGTCTGAAGGTGGGTACTAAGCTAGTTGCAAATTGCGTGTATATAGAGTATAGCTGTGTGTATGTTTTTAGCTTCTTCCTACAAACTGTGATGTTTATGGGATGTATTGTGTCCTCTAACATTATGCGAACATATTTTCATGCTGTTTTATTAGTGCAGTATAGCTTGTGTTTTGTTATTCTGGTTAGCAATGGTAGAAGAACTGAGCAGTTTTATACAGAATGGGTAAGTCTGAGAGTGTAGTTTAATTTCGAATGAATTTTCTAGAACTATGCCGAGTGTCATTAATATGTGTCCTCGTGGGGAAGTCCCGCTTCGCCCATTATGTTTCTTATTTAATTTAATTTTGTTTTCACTCCAGTCTTGTATCTAGAACTGTAATGGTTAGCTGCTTTGCCTCTCGTCGAATAGGTCTGGGTTGGGTATATGTTCGATTTGTGTGTAGTCGATGGGACAGGTTTAAGGTACACCTCCTTAAACCTGTCCCATCGACTACACACAAATCGAACATATACCCAAGACAAACTTAGAACCAAAGTATATGCAGAGTGGCCCATATTATGGGCTTGGTACTTGGAGGACGTATCTTGGGGGCTATGGCATGTTAGTGGCTGCTTGGTTTCCTTTATTTGCGTTACCATTTATGGTAACGGTGATATTGGCATCATCAAAATTGTGGCACTATACCACTATGCTTTCAAAGGTTATATTACTTTTTCTATGGCCTGGTTAGTGCAGATTATGAGATGGAGATTTCTGACGCATTTTTCATATATGATATTAATAGGGCACAGTGTACATTATTAGTCCCTGTTGTTAAGTGTCTACTGAGTTCAGGTGTGAATCCCCTGTACAGAGAGGGGCTGTAGCAGAGCTCCTTCTATACACAGCATGTAATTGTGGTTATACATTTCCCCTCTTTAGTAGGTCAGTTTATAATGGTTAGTATAAACATTAGTTATAGTAAATAGTGCTTTAGAGACATGCAACGTTTATAAAAAACATATGGTTTTATGGTAATTATAAAATTAGCAAGAGGTTTCGCAGGATAAAATTGTTCAGACCCCTGCATTGTCTGTCTTTATATGGTACTCAAGATCGTGAGGGATTATTATGATTGTTTTGTATACTGCTTATAGGCTTTCCCATTACGTCAGTAGTATATCCTATTTTCCTATTTTTCTTGCCTGACTTGCAAGCAGAGTGGATGCTCCTGAGCAACACCTGTTAAATAAGCTCTCTGCCAAAATGGTTTTCTGCTCCAAGCTGTTACTCACCGCATAGTGGGGAATCTGGCAACTAGATCGGTACCAGACTTGGTACTTTCCTGCACCAGACTCCACTCCCCTTCACCTGTTACGGCCTTCCAGCCTGTCAGGCGTCAGAGGTACGACCGCTCTCCAGACGCCACATCCTGACACTCAGAGCGGACATCTGCACTCTCCCCACCCCCACCTCTGGACCAGTGAGGTTCATCCCGGTCCCAGGAAGTCTACCACTGGCACTCTTGGCAACAGGGACTGTTCTGCTAGAGACCACCGTGTGGCCTCCAAGATGGCGGCAATCGCCACCTGAGATCCAGCCGAGTCCCAAACTGCCACACTCATGACAAAACTGGACCTCCTGTTTGAGAGGTTCTGGGCCACAATAGAAGCAAGAAAGCAGTCTAAGCTGCCGATCAGCTCTCCATCCTCATCTCCACAGACCACTCACCCACTCCAATCCACGTTACCCTCGAAGCACCCTGGAGGCCCCCCTAATCACAGAGCACTTTTGCCTCCATGGCAGAGAACAAAAGAACACGGCACTGGCCATCTATCTAGCCCTGATGCTGAACCAGCAACAGAGCTGGGCCTACTCCAAGCCCAACGCTCAGGGACACTCAGTCTCCTACCTTCTCAAAATGGCGGCTCCAGCACTAGCATGGATCTGGGGACATCAGAGGAAGGCTCGCGATGCATGCTCCCACACTACACACACCTACCTGCAAGGTGTCTGAGTGTCCAGCAGTCTCTACTCAAGCTGGGGATCGGGTGAGGATGCGGGGGCTCACTGTGCCTTCCCCGAAGACATCAGTTCCTACTGGCTCACTTTTCATATGGTGGAATCCTGTATTTTCTTTGCTTTGAATATATTTGCTTACAATATTCCTAGCAGTAACAGTCCACTCTTTGTTTATATCCTACTTTCCTAAGCAAAGTTTACCTAGCATGTTAATATGTCTCTCGTAACTAAATTGCAAGGATATGTACCCTGTTTTAATGCTATGACTTCTTATCTATTCACTGACATACCCTGCATAAGCATGTTTTATTAATTAAAAAATTGTGCAGTACTATCTCAACTGCTAACTGCTTGTTAACCTTTGCACAGCAAAAATAAAAAATTTAAAAAACTAAATGAATAGTATGTGACTTCTAAGTATCATTAAGTTGTACTTGCTGAGGTGAATATCACTGACTGCAAGTTTTTGCCAACTGTTGTCCAAAGGATTTCAGTCTTTTGTAGCTTACCACTTTGGTGATAGCCATTCTAAAGGCTTTGAACTATCCTTTCCAGATTTGTATGTTAAGCCCCACTTTCTAAGGATGTCAAGATATTCTTCTGGTGTCTGAAGTCCTCTCATCTCACAGTTCTAGTAGGCTAACAATCTGTAGGGTAGATCTGTTTTCATTCAGCTACTTCGTAATACAATTTCTTAATAGTGTGCCCGGAGTAAGACATTGCTTGGTGTTGTATCTGGAAGATCCCTTGGTCTAGGATCTCGGTGCACTCTATCTAAAATTAGCATGTCTGCTGGGACATCTGATGTAAGAGAGCCAAAAAGACCATTAATGAAGAATAGATCGCCAAAGTTGCGGATTTGGGCATTCCTCTTAAGCGTAAGTTATTGTGTTATGGATTAAAATTAATGCAGGTACAAATGTCTATTTACTATGTATACCTGTATTCAATATTTACTCAAAATGGCTGCTAGAGCACCCCCTTCCATCAACCAAACACCTCGTGCAACAAGATGGCATCTCCCTCCAGAGTAAAATCCCGAGATGATGGTGACATCACACTTTGGAGGAAGTGCATTAGATAAGACACTTAACACTTGACCAATTAAATATGTATACTCTCTGTTATCGCATGTTTTGCATATGATGAATTTTCTGCTTTTTAAGGGGTCTGCCGCCCCTCTAAATAAACATTCCGAAGTTTTTCATTAACCTGAAACTTGTGTCTCAGTGTGATTTACTTCCGCATGCACGCAGTTTATTTTAAACAATCTGGACTGGGGCAGATACTCAAATAAACAAACACTTGGTTTGGTCCAGAACATTTGCTCCTTGTATGGTCTTCAATATCCATCATTTTTTATTCCATAATTTTCAGTCAGGTTTCTAAGTGCTGTACATAATCTGCCACATCATTGTGTGCTTCTGCAAACACTCCTAGTTATGTCTCCACATGTATTTTCAAATATTCAGCTATATTTTTGCACACTTTTGTTTCAGGTGGTTATCAAATCAGTGGATAAAGCAGGAATGGTTCTTTAAGGAATGTTTTGTAAGCTGGCCTTCTATTTCTGAGTATCCCATATCCATAGTTGGGGTTGCTGTCCTCATACATACTTCTGCCATCTTCTGAGATTGACTGCACGGCCAGGTTCGCAGACAGTGTTTTTTGGCTGACCAAATTAAGCCTGTCAGCTTTTCTGTGATGCTTCTTTGTTTTGCCTTGGGACCTGTCATTTGTATCAATTCTTGGTCACTTCTTTCACCTATGTGCTTGGTTTTCAGGAGGCCATATGTCGGAGCAATTAATTAAGCGTCCATCTTGTTCGGCAGTTAGCCAAACCCACACATGTTTTGTTTTCAACATTTCTCAACAAGAAACCAATATCACCTTAAAATGACTTATTTTTATGAGTCAGTGTGTCCAAAATCGATAAAATATTCTAAAAGACATACATTGCACATAATGTTTGTGGTCAGACTGGTTTTGACATATGGTTTTACACATCATACAGCAAACTAGCCAAGTGAACACCTACATTTAAAAAAAAAACATATTTTAAACAGTGGCTTTAGCACTTTTCTGTCGATATTTAAGTGTTCCTGACCTCATTTCCTGCACGCTATTGGCGAGAATAACCCCAAACCTCCTTAAAGCGCCTCTCACAATGTTTGTAAGAGATCGTTGTGGAGACTGCAGTATTGCAATGAGATTTCACATTATGGGCATCATCATTTTTCCACTACTTTTCTTCACAAGTAAGTCATTTCATAGCAAACACAAGTTTCTGGTATAGTAAGGGATGTGCTGAAGACCGCTGTGGGTTTTCATGATAACTCCCTCTTTTCTTTCCTTTGATTTTTATTTTATAGTTTTTGTTTTGACTATATATGAGACTGGAAGGATTAATAGAATTAGAACAAAGAATATTTAATTCAGGGGGGACTAAAAGGTACATCTCCAGATGTAGAACTACAACTCTTAAGTATGCCTTTAGAATGAAAAACCATCATGGAAGCTGTAAAACCGTTAGAGTGTGAAAACACTCAATGCATGTGATATTTGTGGCCTGCCAAGATATGCATCAGATGCCAGAAAAATGTATGAGATTGGTTATTGATTGATTTTTTTCAGCAGTGAATTGTGGTCAAATTATGAGAAAGTAATAAAGAATTATTAACGACAACAAGGGCTGCCAGGCATGTAGGAGTTAGCACAGGTCTGCTAGAATGTAGTAGGTCGAATAAAGAGAGGATTGACCTTGTGATATATGTGTTGCAAGAAATTGTACCAGTGAATGAATTGTATCTCAATGGACCAAGCACTGACATAGATATTAGTAGTAGCCATGGGTGTAGGAACAGGAGGAATAAAAGGGCGAGGGGGACAAATTGCCCTACATAATCAGGTGTAGCATTTAGGATCATATGTTTCACTGTTTAAGAAACATAAGAGCAACGAAATGAATAAGAGTTAGTTATCTCATTCTACTAGTAGACTCCAATGCAGTGTTAATTTTGCCGACTAAGAATTTTAGTAAAATTTTAGTCTACTAAACTTTTTGAGATTTAGTCAACTAAACTAGGCTAAAACTAAAACAATTCAGTCGACAAAAATATGACTAAAACTAAAATAGCATTTTAGTAAAAAGACTATGATTAAAACTAAATTGAAATTTGCCACCAAAATTAACACTGCAGATAGGGGCTGGGGAAGGGGCAAGAAAGACAGACCAGGGCTTGGGAGAGAGACACCTAACGGTGCTGGGGAGACACAAAGAGACACAAAGGGGCTGGGGAGGAGCAAAAGAGGCCGATGGAGGCTTTGACTAAACCTATTAAATTTTAGTCTTGTCGACTAAAGTCTACTGGAGATTTAGTCGACTAAAACTAGACTAAAACTAAAACAATTCAGATGACTAAAATATGACTAAAACTAAAATGGCATTTTAGTCAAAAGACTATGACTAAAACTAATTGAAATTTGCCGCCAAAATTAACACTGCTCCCATGTAATAATGTCAAATTCTGCCCAAAAAAACAGCATTGTTTAATGTATGCTCACCCCCATTTTTCTTTGGTTCCTTAGCCGATGGCAGGAGCATTATATTAGAAGCTCATTAATTAACTTACTAAACTGGGAGGTATGTAGAATTAACAACACAATTACACATTTTAGGCCAAAATAGTCATAATCGCACAACATTTCCCAAATGATCTATTTTTACAACAGGGACATTTGGAACTAAATGTTGCAATTCCTTCACCAATTCTCAATAATTCCTGTTTTAGTAAATATCTTAATCAATTATTATTAAACCAGTTCAGTGATCACGCAGTTTGATATTAGCGATTAATCACTAATAAACTTAAAAGTCTTGGTCAAGCTGGGCAATCCGAAAGAATTTAATAGCAGCTGATGTTTACAGTGCAATCTGTTTATAACAAAGTGAACAACTGTATGGCAATGTTGCCAGATTTACTCTGCTATACTGCCCTGCAGTATGAAGAAATCATATGCTGCAGAAAAGAAAGAAATACATTACTCATGGAAGATTTTGACAAGAATTGCCTTAATAATAAATGTAAAAAACAGAGTTCCCTCCTGCAGCATATGAATGCTATCTACTACAAGACAGCACCTTAATGTATCACTGATCAACATTTAAAAAAAAAACTATTTGTGTTCAGGAGACAGTCCTGGCAGCACAGGTCACTGTTACGGCAAATTGCTGCAGATATAATGAACATAAACTGTAGCTGTAAACAATTAGCAGGTTACAATGTATTTAAAGACTGGTGCATGTGCAAATGGTATAAATTGAAGATTGCACTAGCTTTAGTGTACATCTCACCAATATCGTGACCGACACGGCTTTATAAAGGATCACTCAGAAGTCAAGCAATTTTCCGGTAGGTGACTGTCACAACGAGGAGGCAAGCTCCATATACCAACGCAAGGCTGAAACCACGCACAACCGCACATCGGAAATTAAAAGGAATAGAAAAACTGTTGAAGAATCCAACTTAGGGCAATGAGAGACACGGAACATGACTGTAACGGACCGTTTTGCACACAAGAGGTTAAAAAACGTTTAGGCGATATTCCCCTTTCAGATGCACAGGCAGCTACTGCAATCACCAATCTCCCAAACTGCAAACACACAAATTCTCCAACTCCCGAACTGGAACCATACGAATCCTCCAACTACCGAACAGGAAACACGCGAATGCTGTTAAACAGCCGAACAGGAAAAACCATATGAACAGCTTACACTCCTGGCAGTCGCACTGTAACAGCACACAATCCAATTCCCCCCAAGAACGAGACAACACTTCGTTTGAGGATCAAGCAGAACTGCTTTACTGGGGCTACCTGCCCGGCTTTTATGCAGGTCTCCCACCTGGTGGACACTCCCCTAGGAGACCAGATGGGAAACTGGGACACAAAGGGTAAAAGGACCAATCACAAGCTTACACATTTAAACAAATCCCACAATGCATTGCAATCCCTCCTCTCTGTCCTGGAGATAATTGGGAAGTAATCCAAATATCTCCAAGGACAGAGGCAGAGCTCCATTAAGCACGTTACCAAAAAGACAGAAAAATATACAATGTTGCAAATATTACACAAAACATATACATTCAACATATCCCCAGATAGCTTAGATCTGAGCGCACATTATTACCGAATAGCGCTCAGATCACATACACATAGTTCAATTGCCATGGAGCCAAAGTCTTTCATACAGTCTTTCAGTATACGAATGGCATAACTATCTGGGGTAGCATTGTTCACATAATAAAAGTCCAGAACGAACCGGTGTTCGTTTCTTTGCAGGAGAAGGGAAGTCGGCGGCTCAGCGGTGTTCGTGCAAATAAGTGTCTGTTTTGAGTTCCATAGATTTGGAGCTAAACACCGCTGGCCATTCGGGAGTTTAAAATGGCCGGTGCCACGTGTTCGGCAAATGAACAAAGGCCACCCAGCGTTCATCGATTAAGCTGCGGTTAATTGACGGCACACTCCAGTTCCCAGCTGGTCGATCGGTCGGTAGTTTGTTCGGTAGATTCAATCTACCGAACGCCCAGGCAGAAAGGCACGAATAAGCCTTTCTGCAGGGAAAATAAAAAGTTTTTAACATGGGGAGGTTGGTTCCGCCACAGTGACCCAATCTGTAAAAAAGGAAAAAAACGTCCATCACAAATGCCTGAATGACCAAAACACGACATAAAGACTACAGACAAGGCAGAAACGCAAACAGACGATAACAGACAAAGAGAAAGTTTGTCATTATGTGGCCAGTCCCATGGAAAATGGAGAAAGATCTCCATGCCCCATAAGTGGGTGTAGTTGGAACCCGGAGGCCGCTGGGCCACTGAAATAGTCTAATGTACCACGATGATGGATCGGTATGACCAACCAATGAAAAAAACGATGAGAGGAAGTTCAGAAATGAGGAAACAGAGGCAGTACATGGATCAATGTTCTGTTCCAAACCCACACCAGACCAGGAAGCCCAGTGTAGAGGTAGCATCGTTGCATCCCTGGGGCCCAAGAGTCCCACGAAAGGTTCCTAGCAGCCTGTGATCTGCCAGAAACCCTTGGAAGAGTCCAGTCCCCCAGGATCAGCTGATCCTCCAGGAGCAGAGCGTAGCCGATAAATAGATAGATAGATAGATAGATAGATAGATAGATACTGATATAACTGTCTGCTTTTTATCATCAGTAACAGAACAATACAAGTCTCTAAATAAATGTGTTTTGCATTTCACCCTTCAAAGTTATAGCACACTTGTAGTGATAAACTCACATACTTCTGAAGTAAAATAAGTGTATATATGGTGAAAAAAACAATATAAGACAAAGTGCATACTTCTGAGCCTCAGATTTCAGCTCAGTTAATCAACAAAGGGCAATGCATTTCAGTCAGTGTCGGTATGCAAGCTGTGTGGCCGAGCATGCTGCCATGTACCGGAACTGTATAAATTCAGTCCCTACCAGTGCTCTGAATGTGCCCTGCTGTTTGGGAGAAGATGACTATTGGGTGAAAGTACATACACTGCTCTGTCTTTCTATTGACTAACAGTTTACTCATGCACTACATATTATAACCCTATAATGAATCCTACTACTGTTTCATGACCATTAAGGCTTTCTGATAATGTTTCAGCACAGACTCACTTTCTTTGTCACCTTATTGCCTCTCTTTTCATCTTGGCAACTTATTAAAGGAAATTCCAGGCACCATAACAAGTTCATAGCAATGAAGTTGTAATGGTGCAAGGAGGTGCCGGTCGCTGGCATAACTCAAAGGGGTAAACCATTAATGAACAATTTAACACCAAAGTCTTCAGTCCGGTGCCTGTTAGCTCTATGCCTTCACTTTGTTTCTTTGTTGTATACTGCAAACAGAAAGCCTCAGACTGGGTGCGACTTAAAGGCTGACGCTCGCAACCTATCAGTAGCTCCCAATACACAAAACCAAGTAAGAAACGAATGCACGTTTCTACTTACTGAGAGACATATACACCCAGCAGGAGATGCAGACCAGAAGCTCTACATCTGTGCAGTGAACACCAAACAAACCTTGGCCAGAGATAACATTAAGGCGGAATTGTCATTTCTTCCTGAAAAATTTGTATTTCTTAAAGATAAAATCTCTATGAAATACTCAATATGACTGTGTTGGAATTTCACTGAAAATCCAACCTAGCCAAGAGATATGCAGAGACAACGTACAGACCACTTTGTCTCTATATTTCTCCTCTACTTGACTTTCCTTGACCCAAGGTGGAGCCACAGACCTCAATTCTGAACTCTCGTGCATCCGTTAGAATAAAGCAGTGACGTCAGTGCCGAGGAGGACCATCGGGGACAATGATGGCGACACCCGAGAGGGACAGGTTCAGGTAGGTAAACTAACCATTATCTGCCCCCCTCAGTCACCGGACCCGCAGTGTCGATGTCACCGTCGGGGGACTGTGAATTTGGCAAAGTTGCCAAACGGTGACAGTGCCTTAATTATTTATTTTTTTATTACGCAAAAAATAAAATGTTCCCACAAAAAAGTCCTACCTCACACTCGCACAGAAAAAATAGAGCCTCTATATTACGCTACATTCCCCACACATACATCCTGCATCCCTTACACATACGTACAACATCCCTCAACACACACTGCATCTTCTGCATACACTACATCCCATATATGCACACACAATGCATCCCCTGCACATGCAAATACACTATATTATCGATACTCTCACACACTCTCTCTCTACATCCCCTACACACAGACACTCTACAGGCCTTAGACATACACATTACTCCACAAACATAACACAAAACAGATCTATTAACACACCAATACTATGCTAAGAGGCTCATAACCAGCCCCCGTACTTACAATATCAAAAAAAGTTTCAAAATGCATAGACAATACTCTTCCCTGCTCCTATCTCTCTTATTTATTACAGTGGAACCCTATGGTGGCAACATACAACATGTATGTTTTTTTATAGCTGTGGAGCACATTACTGGATTTAGATGATGGGAGATATTGGATGAGGGAATATGGCCACAGAGGGGTGCTGTGAACATTTTCCCTGACTCCAGTATAAAAACTTCCTGGAGAGTGAATCTCAAACAAAATGGAGTAGACAGTAAAATCGCAGACCTTTGTTAAATAAACATAGTAATGCCTTAGCTTGTTACTCATTTAAAAATAAATTAAAACCCAGCTGTGCTTTCAATCGAAACAGTGCTCCTGAAACTTAAGAACAACTATTTGATTGATAAAGTGACAGCTGGGGTCCGGGGTACCATGAAAACCTTTGCACAAGGTGTGGGAGCCATGGGAGACTTACATTGACAACCCCTAGCAGTCCAGGCAGTTCCGCGACGTAGGCACTGGAGCAGAGGAGGGCATGGAGTCCACTCCATCTGCGTTATACGACAATCTTCTCTTCTCTTTCTCTTCTTCTTCTCCTTTTCTTTACTTTATACTTCTATTTCCCTCTCTTCTATGTTTTACTACTAACCAGGGGTTTCCCCACAGCAGAGTTAAAAACCTTGAGCAAACCAAGAACTTCAGCATTTCAACAATGGGTGCCGAGGCCCCAAGATTTTGCTAAAAATGAAAGCCACTAGTGAGCCACAACAGCGTTAAGCTTGGGGATATTGATTTTTTTCGCTGAAGCGACCATGATGAAGCCACCACAATGTTATCGCTTATTGTCAGAGTGTTCCACTGGCGACCTGTAACACTCTTCATATGTCTGATGTTTTTACTGTATCTAATGGTTCTGTATTTTACTGCATTGACCAGTTAGTCTTTTTTGTTGTTCTCGTTGCTCAAGCTTAAATAAAGAATGAAAAAACAAATAAGAAACTAAAACATAAGAAAGACTATGATAGTTGACCTCTCTCCTCTAGTTTCAGATTCACAGCAATTAAAGCTCACTCAGATCTCCGGGAAGCTACAGTCTGGGAGGACTGGGCCAGTGAAGTTGGAATGCCAACCTATTGGGTCTGATTTAAGGGATTATGGGGTGTTCTGGTTCAGACAGAGGAAAGACGCATCATCTCCAGAGTCAATAATGTATCAATCTAACATGGCCAACAAAGTAACACAAAGCAATTTACCAAACAAAGAGAGTTTCAAGTCAACTAAAGGGGGTACTAGCTACAACCTGGAAATCAATCCATTTGGAGAGAAGGACCAAGGGATCTATTATTGTCTGGTTAATAGTAAATCGGTCCTGTATATCATCCCTGGGGTCTCCCTCTACTATGCTACAGGTACTGTATGGTCTATAATACCAATCAACATTAACATGCACCACAACACAGCAGGAACTAAACTATAAACTCATAGATGGCAGATATCTAATTATACGTCAATATACATATATATATAATGTGTAAAATATACAGAGAGACCATGTTTATCTATAATGCACAGAGAGAACATGTTTATATTCAGAGGTGTACCCTTGCGCCCTTGGTATCTAGCGCCTTTGGCCCCTCTGTGTGTCTCCTCCCCCAAAGTGTGTGTGTGTGTGTCTCTTCCCCTCCAAGCCCCTTTACGTATCTCCCCCCCCAAGCCTCTCTGTGTCTTCCCCCTCCATGTGTTTCATTTACCCCAGCCTATCCATGTGTCTCATGCCCCTCCCAGGGCCGGCGCTACCTGTTAGGCGGACTAGGCAGCCGCCTAGGGCGCCCCTTAGGAGCACCAGTCCCCCTCATGCTGCACCCGCCCCGAGTGATCTGTAGAGAGCCTCAGGCGGCTGCAGCTTTGCCCGGGCTGGTCCGTCCATGAGGGCGCACCGCCCAGGCGCAGCATGATGAGAGGGGCTGACAGGAGGGAAGCGCTCAGCGCTCCCTCCTGTCACTCCCTCACTGTAGCGTGGCCGAGCTCTGTATGGTCCGCGGGTACAGGGAGTACTCAGTGTGCACTTCCTTTTAGTCCGGCCGGGTACAGGAAACAAAAGCTCCCTGTACCCGCGGACCATACAGAGCTCGGCCACGCTACAACAGTGGTAGGGGGGGATAAAGAAATTGGAAGGGGTGGTGGGGAGAAGGAAATTGGAGGGGGGGAAGGAAATTGAAGGAGGGAGAAAATTTGAGGGATAGGGGAGAAATTGGGGGAGATTGACATCCATCACACACACACAATCACACACAATGCACCCCTTGCACACAGAAAAACACACAATGCATTACACACACACAGACACACATACACAAGCAATGCATCCCTTACACACACAGAAACACACAATGCATTCATTACACACACTCAATGCATCCCTTACAGATGCACACACTGCATCCCATACATACACAAACACATCTTGCAGCCCTTACACATACAAACACAGATTCACACAATGCATTCCTTACACACATCAGGACATCCCCTACACACACCACCCCCTGTGAACAAACTCATTGGTGGAACATGAAGGTGGACCCTGGGACCCAGACCTTGAGCTGTGTAAAGGGCCCCCAAAAAATGGAGCTGCTTCCCATTCTCCCAGAACATTGATTTTTGTGACCACAGTTACAAACCGCCTCCAGAGAGCCTGTTCTACACCAGACCAGTGGAGCCAGACTGCAGCTAGAGCCCATCATCATCCTCATCTGGTTGTAAGTAGGCAATCTAGTATATTATTCGTGGCACTAATCTCTAATTTACCTCACATTAAAGAAACACTATAGTCCCCAGAACCACTTCAGCTTAATGTAGTGGTTCTGGTGTCTATAGCCTGTCCCTGCAGGCCTTTTAATGTAAACACGGCGGCACTGCAGCACTGGCGTTAGTTAACATGGCAGATCATATGGGTGGGGCATTGTGATGTCACATGGGGGGGGCGGCAAACTTTACTTTTGCCTAGGGCGGCAAAAATCCTTGCACCGGCCCTGGCCCCTCCAGCCACTCAATGTGTCTCATTCACCCCCCAGTCACTCCATGTGTCTCATTTAATCTTAACCTCTCCATGTGTCTCATTTACCCCCTGCCTGTCCCTCCAGCCCCACCATGTGTCTCATTAACCCCCAGCCCATCCATGTGTCTCATTTAACTCCCTCAGCCCTTCCATGTGCTCCATGTGTCTCACTTACTCCCCCAGTCCCACTATATGTCTCATTTACCACCTCCCAGCCCTACCAGCCCCTCTATGTGTCTCATTTACCCCTGCATGTGTTTTCTTTACCACCACCCCCAGTCCCTCTAATACCTGCTGACCTGCATATTGCGTGGCTGAGTCACGGTACCACTCCGTGAACATTAACTGCCAGATCGGTTAGAGGCTATGAAAGCTCCTCTCCAGTGGCTCGGCCACGCTACTTGGAGAGGCGGTCATCCGGCAATCGCTCCCTGTAGGTTTGCCGGCCTACCAGGAAATTTCCTGGTATCCCGGTGGACCATCTGGCCATCTGGCTCCTGCCTCGGCCTGCGCCCCTGTTTATAATACATAGAGAGAACATATATATATGTATATAAAATACACAGAGAGAGCATGTTTATCTATAATAGACAAATACAAAATGTTTATCTGTAATAAACGGGTAGAACATTTTTATCTTTAATAAATAGAGAGAACATATATATATATATATATATATATATAATACACAGAAAGAAAATATGTATCTATAATACATAGGGAGAACGTGTTTATTTATAATACACAGACAGTCTATCTAGGTTGGTGGTGGTTGGAGAGGATCTATCCTGTAAAAGATGGGACTTTACTAGACAAGGATTTATATTGTTAATATTGTTATAATTCACTAGTAAAATATTTAATTTTTCCATAATATTGCTATCTCTGCAGTATTACACAAAATCTCCTTCACACAAGATAATGTTTTATAGTTTTAAGCTCTATATTGTAAATAACATATAATAATAATAATAATAATAATAACAATATAATAATAATAATAATAACAATGTCCATTTATTCACACCATACCTACACACGGGGAGTGACAGAATACAGAGAAGGAAGATCCACAAAGTATAAAGTTAGACTTTTCCTAGGGCTCCAAGGACTGTACTTTAGCATTTAAGCACTTTAATTACATATTTGAATGTGGGGATAATGGTCCAGAGTCACTAGTCATTTAATTTATAGCCATACAAAAATATAACTTAATTTAGACCTACTTATTGCTTATAATGCAATTTATATCACTTCCCCTGAATCGTATCCTCGGAAAAGGAAGGTTACCTTTACAGCCCAGCTCCAGCATTTGGCAAATAAATCATATTTTACTCTACTTGAGTGTAATAGTGATATATAGCCACCAGTCGTTTAGTTTAGTACATTGCGCTTGTGCGATTAGGTTTTTTTAGGACATTTTTTAAAATGTGGGACAATATCCCAGGACAATTATTTAGTGGGACAGGAGGCCAAAAACCGTATCTGTCCCATGCAAGCTGGAAGAGCACTCTCAGCCAATGAGCACAGCCGTGCATGGCTTAGCTCAGTGGCAGGATCCTCCAGCAGCAGGGGAGGCAATGGTGGGTTGTAGTAGTTATGGTGCTTGCAGTGTTCCATTAAAAGCCTGGATGTGTGTTTGGGAGTGGAAGCACGTGTGATGTGTGTGAGGTGACTGCGTGTGTTGTTTAGGTTTACATATATACACACACACAGATAATACATATACACAGAGAAAAATACACACACACACAGATAACACATACACACAAAGATCACATTACATATTTTTAGCCACCCCCTGCCTCCATATCTTTTGGTGCGTGAAATTGGCTTTCCGGGGTCCAATGGCATCTGACTGAGTCTGATGGGAATCTGGTCGGGGTCTTCCTGCTCTCTATTGTCCTTCCCTCTCTCCCGCATGGCTCGTTGGTAAGCTGGGAGGAAGTGACTTGTACTCACTTCCTCCCAGCACCTCAGGTTTCACACTGAGTGAGAGTCAGTCAGTCTTGTGCGCATTCACCAGGCTAACATGTCAATTCTTCAGGTGTTTCTGCCGCCTTTCTATATGAATCTACCCCTTTGGGTGGTGCCAGTAATGCAGGTTTCCCCTAATACCAGAAAATGCTGGATAACCTTTATATGACCTTATCATTAGTCAAAATTGTTTAGTTGAGCCATAATAGGGAGAAGAAGTAGTTAGATCTTTGGTTGCGGAGGTATTTTTCCTCCACTAATACATGTATTATATATAATTATTGTCTGCTCTCTCCAAAGTTACAACTAAAGCTTCAGTGCCAGAGACACAATCAAAAAAAACACCAATTACACCTATCTTCACAGACCAAAAGTGTGACTGCAACACTGCCACAGCAGGTATTTCAAAACTCTTATACTATTTTTATGTATCCCAGATAGGTGAAACGCGTTGGGTACTTATCTCAGTGTCACAGAAGGTTACAATGTCTTACACGGGACTATGTTTCCTGCAACATGTTAATTAACAGAAAGTACACGCTTGTCACTCCATATTCTTATAGACACCAAAAGCGATATGTAGGCATTTGCATGTTCCATTTTTATTTCTTCATATATGTGTTATGAGGACTAGTAAATGTATTGCAAACCTCTGACAATGTGAATTGTTTCACAGTTTTTTCACCTCCTTTTCACTACCACCTCATTCTGGTTCCAATGGGTGCTTTTAGTGCCTTTACACTTTATATTCACACTGGCACAGGATTTTTTTTATAAACCCCTACACTAGCAAGCAATTCTTGTTTGAAGAAATATTAGCATCACATTTATTTGAAACATGGGGTGTACAGCTAGCCCATAGGTGTATGATAAAACAACAAATTTAGCTTGCAGTTCAAACATAAAAAAATATGCAAATTGGCACTTTTTTTTTTTTTGGTACGTCCATTTTTTTAATATTAAGAATGAAAAGTTTTATGTTGAAATATTTTCGAATGTAAAAAATAATCTCTTCCTTTGAGCATAGTGTCTACATAGAAGAAGTACAATTAAACCAAACATTTCTAAAATAAAGGTATTTAGAACAGATTTAGAGCAATCTCTTAAATACTAATGCAATTCTACAAAGGCTTACGAGAGACCCAATTCACTCCACTACCCTCTTGGACTGTAGGAATGGTAAGACCTTTAAATCTTCCTTTACTGTTTGGAAGGAATTTGGGAGGGGGGTTATTTGCAGGACATTTGTAGACATTCATTTGGTTAAATGTAATCCCTTTATATGCTGGCTTGAAGCTAAATGAGACTTTATGGACTAAATATAATTTTGCAAAGGGAATGAGAGTTAAAAAAAAAACCTATGCATACACACTTTTGGTAGTGAAGAGGTTAACTTCATACCCATGTTGTTTGTAGTGGATGCTTTTTGAAAAAGTTCCCAAAATACTGCCATCACTAGGTACATGTTAAGTGGCGATACCACTAAAGGGCACGCTGCTTCCACTATACCCATAAACTTCCTGCTATATCATAAAAGCACTCACCACATCCTGGCTAAAAATGTGTATCATTATTCTATTAAACTGTTAACTCACTGCTTGATATAAGTCTGCCTTTTATACTATGTATCATCATCATGTTTTAGGATTCATCATACATTTCTGCAGTTACCCTTAATAATAGAGCACTCTTTTAAACACAGCTTTTCAAACCAAAGCATTGGACAAATTACTTAAATCCATCCATAGATTGTCAGTTCCAACCTTTTGAGGCTTGCCAACACTGTGTTAGTTCTAGTTTAGGAGTCTCTCTGTCAACATTTAGCTGAGTACTAAATATGTTGTGACATCAAAACATGATGAAACTTTTAGATCAAAACCTCCCTAAATTAATGCATTTCTCAAAATGAAACCAGACAGAAACATCCCACATTGCTAAAAAGAAACATTCATGGTATGTCCCAATACTAACATGTTAATTCCAGATACTAACATGTTAATTCCAGATAATAACATGTTAATTCCATGGATACCATATTTATAGTCTTGCGTAGAATAAGTTCTCTCCATCTTTCTCTAACACTCTCTACACTAGGGCTGGGCAAATGGTAGATCCCCAGATATTGTAGAACTACAACTTCCACGATGCTTTGCCATTCTAAAGGCTGGCAAAGAATCATGCCAAATGACTGTTATGGTTTGGTTCCTTTAAATGTTCTATGCGTTTAAAGATATTCTATGTTATGTTCCTTTAAAAGTTTGGAATCCTTTCACAGGAACTGACTGCTGCAGCCGAGGTGTATTTACACGCACACTGTCAGTGCGTTATTGCATTGATATTGTGTCTGTTACCCTTCGCCTGTCTTCCCATTCACCTCTCTCCACTCTAGGTCCATTCGCCCCGAACGCCTCCTCTCGGGTTCCCTTAAGCCTCTGCAAAAGCCTCATAGTTCCTCGAATTGATCTTCTGGATTTCGATCTTGGCTACAATAATTCCCTCTGGTCATTGGCCTCGGACTGAATTTGCTGATATGGATTTAGACTGTTACACTCTTCTCTCTGTTACTGCCTTACAACTCATGATAATTTAGTTCTAACCTTGGCATGTGTTTATGGACTTGAAAATAGCTCGCTCCTTGGATTCACGTTACTACTCAACCATACTGTTCCTGGAAAAGGTTTCTGCCATATTGCATTGTTTAGTTGACATAAGAATACAATATTGACATTCTACCATTTGCCCAACTCCTCTCAACACTGTGCTTACCCTTCTCCTAGGTTTTCTTTTCTTTCCTCCAGAGAAGGGATAAGATCCCACAGGGCACTTGGAACATTACCGTTTTAGAGCCACCACCTCCATTCTTCACATAGGAATGGTTATGGGCCAAGTAGATGCATGTTTCCGGGGCCCTGGCTAACCCCTGGGCCATAAGCGGCTGCCTACAGTCAACTTATGGTTAATCCTGCTTTCCCACTTTCCCTTCAACTACTCCCCCTTTTTTAAGGTAGACATGGTTTCGCATTGCACTCTGGGATTTCCATCCCTTTTATCCCTTCCCCCGTTTCTGTGGAACTGCATACAGGTGGCAAGAGGTTCCATAATGAATTCACTTCTGCCTTTAATTTTCCTACCCCCTACCTTTTGATTATATTGTTTCCTGTATTCCCCTTTTTAACAATATCTTTGGGGGGTTTTTTTTGCAAGTTTATTTCAAATTTGTTTAAAAAAATATATATAAAATTGCATAAGAAAATGTCGCCACTCTGGGTTTTATTTGGTAAACATCGAATTGTAATGACCCAAAAACTGAATTGAGGTGAGTTGTTTGTTTTTTTAGCAGATATTTTATCCTAAATTTGGCAATCTGGGGTTTCACCTAACTACAATACACTGTTTATTGAATAAATCCCTCCGAGTTCCGTATCATTATACTGTGTTTTGGGCGTCACAGGAAATGCAAGTGAAGTCTGGCTCGGCTATAGCAAGGTTTATTTTTAGGGAGTGCGAGATAACACATCGTGTAATATAAATACATAATGCAATGAAGAGCTTGTATATAAAAGCGTTTATTCACTTCAGTATTCTTATATTTAAATATGTATATATATATTTTTTTTTAGAATCCTTCCAGAATTTGCCTGCTGGTATACCTGTAACGCACTTCATATTTGCGCTGATTGGAAAATTGTGTCTCATACTTCTGGTTCTTTTACTTTCTCTGAAACTATAATATAAATCTGTAAAAAGCAATCATAAAAAAGTACTCTCAGCCAATTGGCTCTGTCTCATCTTAATTCCTTTCCATCAATAATTATATTACCTACTCAAGTACTCAGGCAAATATATATTTAACAAAATACTGAAATGTTTCAAAGTACAATATATTTATTAAAGGATATTACTTAACTTTGGAGCATTCAGATTTCTAGAGTACAATGGTTTCTAAATAGTTTGTGACTAAAGCTGGTAAGTTCCACGCCCAACAAATCTGCATATACTGCTAACACACTTATGTGTTGTACCCCAACACAAGTAAAACTGAAAAAGGAATATTTATCAAAGTGACAATAACAGTGATAAGGTGAAAATCACAAAGAAAGTTAGAGCAGCTTTGAATATAAAAGTACTGTAGTCAGGGCCGCCACCAGAAATGTAACTCTTAATCTAACTCAGCTCAGGGTCTGGGCCCCCTGGGGCCCGCCTCCAAATAACGCCCACTGGGTCTGCCTCCAAATACTGCCCACAGGAATACACACACTGATACAAAAAGACAGAGATACATACTAACAGACACACATACTGAAACAGACATACACGCATACAGGCATACATACTGAGACATACACACAGGCATACATAGTGACAGACAGATACATACTAACATACATATAGACACACATGCATGAGGACATAAAGACACATACATACATACAGACACCGAAATACATACATACATACACACACACAGACATACTGACAGACATACAGACACTGTCATCCATACACACATACATTCATAATGGCATACAGACAAGAACAGACATACATTCATAATGGCATACAGACATACATACATACATTCAGACTGACATACATGCATATATACAGACATACTGACAGACATACATGCATACAGACATCCATACACACATACACACAGGCATACGTTCATAATGATATGCAGGCATACATTCATACTGACATACAGACATACATATATACAAACATAGACATACATACATGCATACAGACATACATACTTCCATCCATAGACATACATGCATGCATACAGACATACATACAGACATACACATACATACATACATAGACATACATGCATGCATACAGTCAGACAGACAAACATAGTCATACACACAGACATACATACAGACAGACACAGACATGCATGCATACAGACAGACATACATACATAGACATACATACATACATAGACATACATGCATACAGACAGACAGATATACATACAGAGACATACATACATACATAGACATACATGCATGCCTACAGACAGACATACACATACATACATATATACATACAGGCAGACATACATACAGACATACATACATACACAGACAGACATACAGACATACATGCATACAGACATACAGACAGACAGACATGCATACAGACAGACATACACACAGACATACATACAGACAGACAGACATACATACATACATGCATACAGACAGACATACATAGACATACATGTATACAGACATACACACACAGCTCATTTTCCAGCCACCCTCCTGTCTCTTACCTTTTCTTTGCAGGAGGATGGCTGGGGATGATGGGAGTCGGCGCGGCTCCCTCTTCACTGCCTGGATCTCCCTCTTCACCGGCGCGCGCACTCCTCCCGCGCGGAGTGGGCTGGGAGGAAGTGACCACTTCCTCCCAGCAGCACTTGGGGCTTTTTAAAAAAATTTTTTTTAAAGGGGCCCTGTCGCGCCCACTGCGCTGACCGGGCCACTGAAGATATAGGGCCCATCGGGTGGCCCTAAGTGTGTGGGCCACCCGATGGGCCCCACATATGGTTGTCACCAGGGGTCAAGTCCTGGGGAAAAAAGTGTGGGAACTCACCCAAGATTCCCGCCGCCTCCCCCCCCCCATGGATGATGGGTGTTTGTGTGAGTGCTGGATGATGTGTGTGTGAGTGCTGGATGATGGGTGTTTGTGTGAGTGCTGGATGATGGGTGTTTGTGTGAGTGCTGGATGATGGGTGTGTGTGTGCTGGATGATGGGTGTGTGTGTGTGCTGGATGATGGGTGTGTGAGTGAGTGCTGGATGATGGGTGTGTGTGTGCTGGATGATGGGTGTGTGAGTGCTGGGTGTGTGAGTGAGTGCTGGATGATGGGTGTGTGAGTGCTGGATGATGGGTGTGTTTGTTTGCTGGATGATGGGTGTGTGAGTGAGTGCTGGATGATGGGTGTGTGAGTGCTGGATGATGGGTGTGTGAGTGCTGGATGATGGGTGTGTGGTGCTGGATGATGTGTGTGGGGGGGGGAGCATTTTTTTCTTACTTTATGTGTATGTATATTTGTTTATTTTATTCCCCCCTCCCTGCTTCTTACCTTGTCAGGGAGGGGGGAGATCGCCTGGTGGTCCGGTGGAGGGAGCCAGCTGCTGCACACAGGGGCCATCACACTCTGTGTTCCTTCTCCAGCTTTAACTCTCGCGAGACTCGCCTGTGCGGAGCGTTGCCATGGTAACAGCCGCGGGTCTCGCGAGAGTTATAGCTGGAGGGGGAACACAGCGTGTGACGGCCCCTCTGTGCAGGTAGCAGGGCCGGTCCTGCAGGACAGGTAACGGGAACGGCGTTCCTGCTTTGGAAAAAGTGCAGGAACGCCGTTCCCATGCGTTCCTGCAGGACTCGAGCCCTGGTTGTCACCCCCTGATGGCGGCCCTGAATGTAGTTATAGTTATTGACCAACAAATGATGGTGTAACTGTAGACCAAGTATGTCAAACTCAAAGGACAACACGGGCCAAATAAACAAGGTTTAAGTTTATGTGGGCCGCAAAAGAACTGAAGCTTCAGTTTTCATAAAAACGTAGGTTTATTTAGAAAAGTACAGGATAAAAGCAGATGTGCATTTGCATATAACCAATGTTTCAGTCCAACTACCTTGACATATTAAGACAAGTTTGGTAATGGGACTGAAATGGTGAATGTAAGCTGGTGCACAGCTGTAAAATAAACAAATAACGTTATGTTGATTTTATTTTTAAATTTTTTTATATTCTTTATTGCGGGTCATTATTTTGACAAATATACAGCATGCGAAGACATTGAGAATACAATATAAACAACTGTGACTGCAACACATGGGCGTTTTCGACCCAATTTAAATTTTTATTGCTATAAAATCCCCTATTGCTGGACCGGGTGAGGTGTAACTATAAACAGAGGGTGCAGGTAAAGGCTGCGCATTCCCCAGGGGAACCCAAGGTGGAACGCTACATAGGGTGTTGTGGTTTGGTGAATACACAAGTATAAAGAGAGCAGGTCGACAGCATTCCTTGACCTATAAATGCCTAGTCTGGCGACAATATAAGAGAGGGCCAGGGTTAAATGCCTAACGTGCAGGTAAATGCTATTAAGGGCTAATGGTGAGTTTTTCACGTTGAGGGGTAAGGGAGGGGGTATTAACAGAGTCATCCATTAATCTGATTGCTTACAGAACCAGGATGAGTATAACATTACTATGCACTGCAAGTACATCTAACAATAGTAAACCTATATTAACATAAAATAAATAAAACATGTAAATGAGAGACATAAGTTTGCAGTCACTCCTTTCAGGTTAAGTGAATCAACTGTCCCAGATACAGCTCGTTAGGGTACGAAAGGAGTAATTCCCTCCACCGGCCAGGCAGGTCGTGCCACCGATAAGACTGCAGTCGCCGGTAGATCCAGTGCTTGGAGAAACTTCAAATATGTGTGACAGGTGGTGTGGCCAGCTCTCTCAACCGTGAGCCGTTGTGGTTCCCATTTGTATGGAATTGCATTTTCTTTTAGTAGTTGTGTAACTTTTTGAAAGGACCTCTGCCATGTTAGTGTTTGCCTGGAGAAGTCTCTAAAGACTGTCAGCTCTGGCCCCTCGAAGGGTACTGTGGGACAGCCCACATGAGGATTCCCCTAATAGAAACTCGTGCAAATTTGAGTAGCAAATTTTGAACAGTTCCCTGAGGCACGTTGCCGGCTTTAGGGAGGCGAAAACTGAAATCTGTCACTAGTAGCTTGGCTTGCTTAGGTGTAAACACCGTGACGATGAACCTTCTTATGTAGTGTGGGAGTTCTTCATTGGTGATAGCCTCAGGTATGCCGCGTATTCGCATATTGCATGCTTTACCTTTATCTCCCATATTAGCCATTTCCGCTGTCAGATCAGTGCAACGTGTTTGTAGTGCGCTAAGTACAGCATCAGTTGTAATTTGCGCTAGCCTGGTTTCCCCCACATCTTTCTCCACTGTGACAATACAGTTAGTAAGGGCTGAAACTTCTTCTCTGACCTTTGCCATATCCTCCTGGAACTTGGCTCTAATATCCAGTATCAAAGTTTTTATGTCAGCATTGGTGGATGGTGCAGAGTCCCCCATCTCTGGAGACAGCTGTGTCACTGTTTGTACCTTCGGGAGAATTGGCAGGTCTGCAAAGAGGCTTTCGTCGTCTGTGAATAGTAGGCCTCTGCCGGCGCCAACTTGGAAGGCTCATGCCGCGCGGCCATACGCATAAAGGCTCCGATATCTCTGGAGCCCAAGCTTGGATCTGCTCGCTGCTTCTTATTTTTCTTCCCCAAAGCCTTTGACCTCCGGGCTGCTACTTCAGACCCTGGTATTTTGGCTGAAAACGCTGGGATATCAAGTTTGGTAAAGTAGAGGCACGGAGCTGCTGCTTTATGAATCTTGCTTGTTTGGTCACTGGCTCTGCCCCCTTCCGTAATGTTAATTTTAAAGTCTTACGAGTGTGTTCTTCACTTTGGCTGAGATCATCAAACTTGATGATCTCAGCCAATCTAATACTTTCCCATAAAAACTGCGCGGCCAATCAGCATCTCCATGGGGAGCATTAAGCAACGCCATACAGACCCAATCTAATACACTGCCCCCTGCCCCCTTTCTAATACATTGCCCACAAATCGAATAAAATGTCCCCCGTCTCCAATTGAACACACTACACAAGAAGGTCCGCCAAGTCCCTCTTCCCCTACCTTAAGATAAGCCGCCCGTTCTCCAGTTCCAGCTCCGCTCTGTTCAAGCAGGCCAGACGCTCCTCTGGCACAGTGAGCAGGAGGGAAGGGGAGCGGCTGGCCCGCTCTGCAGACAAAAACTCTGCGCTCATGTGGCTGTGGGAGGGAAGACAAGAATCAGACAGGAAATATCTTTCCTATCTTCTGGCTGGTCACAAAACAGGTCCAGGGCAGGAGGGCCGCAAATATATTTATTGGGGCTGCAAGTTTGACATGATTGGTGCAGACAGTTTGGGTGTATATAACTACACAAAATATATGTTTTAGCTTAATACAAGCGAGCTTTATAATATGCCAACATTATGTGTAAGTATTATTTAAAAGAAGTCCAATGCTTAATTTTATAAAGTGCAAATCAATTTATCACTAACAATTCAGTGAAGCAAAACAAGAAAACACACTGTCTCTGACAAGATAGTGTTGGGAGTATATGCGGCATATGCCATTACTCACTGCCAAGAATGGTAAATAAAGTGCATCCCAATAGGGGTTGTGGCGGGCGGCTCGAGATAGCTGTGTCATTTATAGTGCGGTATTCAGACAGTATTCCGTTTACAGAACGAGCTCCGGAAATATAATTTTTTCACTGATCCACTTTTATTTAGACTTTGGTTCAATACATTTATTTACCTGTGTATTCGTATAATTTTACTGTACAAATATTTTTAAATGAATTCTTCAATAAAGAAATAACATGAACACGTGGTATCTCGTATATGTTATATTGTATATGGTATCTGTTTATACAATATTACAATGTATGTTTTCTGAGACGAGTATACAAGAGTCCATGAAATGCAATGAAGAATAGGAACCACTTATTAATTAATAAATTACAAATCAGGCTTTGCCATTTTCAATGTCATTCACCAAAGTGTAAACTGTCAGGAATTTCAAGTGAATTGAATGTGAATTTTAAAATTTAGACGACATAGCCAAATGGTAAAAAGTTAGCTAGATTTTATTTTTGGATATATTGGCCTAATATTTAAACTGCACTCTAAAGTCCCAAACATGCACACTTTACTGAAGAATCCTAAATATGTTCATGTTTATATCTTAAAAGAACACTAAATGTTAGTGAACAAACGTGTTATATATATATCTCCTGCTACCTCTTGATTTTCTTCACCATGTGAGGGTTTGAAAGGTGAGACTTACACCTTTCTCAAAGATGCCACTCCGGCCTTCTGGGTGTAGGAAATTGCCACGGTATGTATATTTATGTATGTGTGGATATGTGTGTCCTCTTTTTCAAATCTGCCTCAAGATTCAGCAGTCCATTCCATGACTTCAGGTCCAGGATCTGCCCTTGTCACACATATGAGAGATTAACAATAACCTAAATACTCATTCAAGCATTTGGAGTGTCCGATTATTGATGTACAAATCACTGTAACCTCTGTTAGTGTATTCATACAAAATAGTACCATAAAATGGGTTTATTCTTGAGTGAATGTTATACAGTTTAATATTTGTCCAAGAGTGCAATAAGCAATCCATTCACTACCATAGACTATGCTATCCGAAAAGGAACATCATTTATATAGGTATTATACTGCCATCTAGTGTCTCTTCCAAGAAAAGGCAGTAACAATCAGTGACATGTTTCTTAATAAATTTATAGTTTTATGTAGCTGTCAGAGACTAGACAAGGAGAGAGATAGATATATGTATATTTACTTAATATCTGACAGGTGACGGTATAATATGTATCAATGAATACAAATAAAATACAACTTGCCTTTCACAACTGTTAGAGTCTTAGTATAGTCTTTGCCTATCTCAGAAGTATTTCCGGGGAAGGGGATTTGAGGGGTAAAGTCTCAGATAATTTGGCTGCATTTAGGGAAAGATTTATATTCAATTTAGCTGATCTTTGATTACATAATTCTCTATACTATGGATTCCCACAAGGTAGATCTCCAGATGCTGTAGAACTACAACTCCCATGATGCTTTGCATGCCTGTAGAATACCTTTAAATAAAAGCATCATGGAAGCTGTAGTTTTAAAACATCTGGGGATCTACCTTTTGGGCACCATTGCTCTACACCATCAGGAGGGTAGTGCAGCACTGTAACCCTTCTGCATTGCTTAAGTAGTGTGTCTAGGCAGGATTGCCATGGAAATGTGACTGCGATCGTTATTAACTTTTGGTACCATGGTCTGTAAGAGAAAACATGGAGGCTACATCTTGAAAATTATTTTATGCCGAGACAATTATTAAAAAAATATTCATGTCTGCTTTTCAGTTAGAGTCTAGAAAATAGCTATTCAAACTAAGCACATATGGACAGACAGAATAATGAAATATGGAATACAGCAATGTGTGTTAAAGATAATGGTTCTAACATGATAATAAACCATGAGACCAGGTCTCTAAAACCAGAAAATGGCATTATTTTCCTTGGTACATTCTTCCCAATTCTGTATATTTTCTATATCACCACCATTAACAGGCAGGCTCTCACCCAGAGGAATGTGGGGCCAAAGGCTCTTAACCCCTTAAGGACACATGACATGTGTGACATGTCATGATTCCCTTTTATTCCAGAAGTTTGGTCCTTAAGGGGTTAAAACCATATTGTTATTAGTAGTAGTATTTATAACGTGCCAACAAATGCCATAGTGCTGTACAAGTAAAGAGATATTTTTTCATTAAAGAATAACTTTTTAAAGAAACACATTATTATTCTTTTAAATCAGTAAAACCTCCAGAAATGTAATATTTATTCCAGAATCTGGGCAGACTCCAGATCGCAGTCAGTGTTCCTTCTGTGACATTATCAAGTCACATAGAGAAATGTAGAGAAGCACTGAGGAGTCATGCAGTGATTGCTGTGATCTGCTAACCCAGTGCTTCTCCCTAGAAACCATAACCATATTCCGGTCAGCATGCTGTGCAAGATGATGTTGAAAGTAAAGTTCTTCAGAAATCAAAGGATGGAAAGTGAAAGGACCTCTAGAAGTATTTTTTGGCCAAATGTAAACATTGCCATATGTAAGAAACGGTAATGTTTAACATTGTCCAAGAAAATGGACTGCATCTATGCATTAAAACCACTATACCAGAGGTAGGCAACCTACAGCACTAGTGCCATGCACGGCACTCAAGGTGTCTTTGCACGGCACTCAAGGTGTCTTTGCACGGCACTCAAGGCTGCTAGAGCCAAACAGGCTCTGGCCTATCAGGAGTCCTAGTGAAACTTCAGATATCTGCTAATACGAAAAGGTGGTGAAGGACAATGCTCAATTTATGCATTGCAGCACATAGAGGAAGTGATCTCAGATCAGTTCCTCCCAGCACTTGTAAATGGGAATTCACACTTTAGTAGAGCAGCCTGCAGCTGCTGTTGCACCTCCTGTACCTGGCCACCCTGGAACCCAGGGAAGCCACCCACACTGCTAGATATACACAGACACAGAAATGCACAATAACCCTCCCCTCATACAAATAATACGAACAGCCCACAAACAAACATACATACAATCCGCACAAACGTAACCCGCTAACAATTCACATACATGCACACAACCCCACATGCAGCCTCTCACATGCAATTCCCCAAACAGCCCCCACACATACACACACTACTGTACACACAATGTGACATATCCATCCACACACACAGCACACATTCATATGGATCATACACGATACCACAAACTACTCCTGAACATATACAATAAAATGGCTCATATACGCACAAATACAATGATACAAAGCAATTACAGTATAAATAACACAAGCAGAACACGGCAGCATACACACCTCAATTTAAAAAAATAGGACCGGCAAGCTATGGGACATCACAATCCTATATTGGCACAGTCCTGCTAAAATGTTGCCTACCCCTGCACTATACTATGATATATCGGCTTTATTGCTTAGATTGTCTTTATAAGAGAGATCTGGCAGTGTATTAAGTTAATTGAAGACGGACTGAATTAAAAACAGCACAGGCAATTAGAGTGTGACTCCCCATCGAAATCGGACAGCTTAGCCATGTATGGAAACCTAACACTATTTTTTTATTTTATTATTTTTTTAAAATCATGTTATATAAAAGATACTGGCCAATAATTTATGGTAGTGTTTCTCAACCTTTTACAGAGAAATACCCCTGCAGGTCTATAAAATTACTAAGTACCCCTGCCTCGAGAAAGTTATTTCTATTGATTTAGATTTCAAATGAAACATGTAGACAGTGACATTTAATTTAATCTTATACTAAATAAACAAACCTGATTAAAGGTAGTAAAGAATATTTTTAAAATAAATATGACAGAAAGTGAATATTGTGTATGTAAGGAAGAGTTTATAAACTATTAATCAGAAGTATGAAAGTCACAAAAGGAAAATATAACACATAAGTTACACACAGAGGACACTGACACACACACACATTTACACAAACAGAGGAAACTGACACATTTAGACACAGATGATGCTGACACTCACTGACCGACATATACACATTCTCACATACACACACAATTTTTTTTTTTTTATTTAGGTCCACTCAGCCTCCCTACCCTTGGAAGAGCTGGAATGCATCCTTTCCTTGGGGCGCATGGCTGCTGTCAAGTTCAAGCTATTCTCTTACTGATCCTTCATGAACTGTATAGTGATGCTGGGGCGACAGCAACATCATAACCAGCTCCCGGCATCACCGCAGTGCAAGAGAGGGAGCAGTTTTGGAAGAGCACAAACATCAGTGTTCCCTCACCACCCTTCTTAATTCTCCGCTATGGATACAGCACATTGGGCACCAGCCATCCAAATAAGCAGGTGGCTACTCTGTCTTAGCACTCAGCCGGACGCTTCCTGGTCCTGGCTAAGAATCTGTGATTTATCGAACCCTAACCTTAATTTAAGATGATCATATTGCATAAGAGATACATACCACAGATCTTGAGAGTCTGGAGAAATTCATATTGCACAATATTAACTAATGAACATGAATACAGGCCCCACTAGGGAGAATGGATTCAAAGGAATTACCACTAATGAAATATCCCTTTTTTATATTAAAAATCATTTTATTTAAATTATAACAAACTGGACATTTTTCAATTCCTCTATCATGAGGGATGGAGGAATATAGAGACTTAACATCCATATTATGTAGACTCGCTGATTTTAGTACCTTTAGGTCAGAGAGGAAAGTCAGCGCCTGTTTCATGTCCTGAATGTAGGATGATAGAGACTCCACAAAGGACCTCAAGATTTTATCAACATATATACTTCCATTGCGTGTTAAATTATCAATTGAAGACACGATAGGACAGCAAGGAGGATTAGTCAGGTTTTTATGGCTTTTTGACAAGCAGTAAATGTTGCTATCCTGGGGTGACAATTTAGAGTGAACTCATACTCATCCCCCGGTAGCAGCCCTTCACTGCGGTCTTTCTCCAAGATTTCCTTAAAACATAAGAGGAACGAATTAGTTTCATCAGATTTCAAGACCCTATAAGTCTCTGTATCACCTAAAACCCCTCAGACTATACTGACAATCTCCCGAGTGCGTGATGCTTACAATACCTCCCTTTTCGTCCAACTTCACTACTATATCACCATCCTCCCTAAGCAGAAGTAGTGACTGTTATTTTAGATATATTGTTATTATGTCAAATATCTAAGTCCCTAGCACTGACTTTCAATTTCACAGCTTCTAAAAATAGTTCTGTTGTGAAAGCTACTAAAACTAGGGGGTTAAACGACTCCCGGGTCTCCGGCCATCATTTCCTTCCAAAGACAAGAGTGTCATCAGGCACGCGTAATCCTTATGTAACATTCTAAAGGCCATGGTCTTCCTCTCAGTCTGCAGTTCAAGATATATATAATGCAAGATTACAGGCAAACAAATGCAAGTTTTAAACACATTTCACACCCAACACTTTGTTAGCAATTTTTTGTTTATACACTTTTGTGTTTTTCTTTTTTCATACTCCTTTACAATGTAAATAAAGTGATTTTTAATATGACCAAATAAAAGTTACATTTTAATAGTGGTAATTCCTTTAAAGTCATGCTCTCTAGCGGGAATATCTTCATTAGTTATTGATGTTCTAAATAGGATTATGTCCTATAATTATCTATCCAACCTTGTTTTGGCTCAGAGGTTCTTGTCTAATTAAAAATCTCTTCATTATTATAGTATTTTGTTTCAAAGTGATGAGCATTTACATTTAGCTGTGTTTGTATGGAATTGGGCACAGCAGCACTCTGGGATTAACCCCTTCATGACAGATGGGCTAGGACTTTAATATCATCGCAGATTTCCCGAGACAACATATCTAATCTTGAGATGGCTGATAGTACAGAGGTGGTTTCACACTTTGAAGATGTAAAGATGACGTGAAGAGAAGTTCTTCAGTCTCTGCCTATTTCTCCATTTAATTATGTGGTAGTTAAAATTATTGTAAAGGGGCAGCATCAAAGTAGAGGTTGGGCTGTAATGGACAAAACTGTGAAAGTGATCGGGAAAGGGGGGGAGATGAGAAACATTAAGGAATATCTATGGAAGGTTAAAATTGGAGAATGTGGGGGGCATGGCCTGGCGCTCGAGCTGCACGAACACATGGAGGAATAGCTCCCGCCGATCAAGACAGAAGGAGCTAAAAATAACCGGTCTACAGAGCGCCCAGCAACCAACAGCATATACAGCCTGACCGTATGTCACAGAGGCTGAAGATGAAATCCGCCAAAGCGGATAAAACAACATTTTTCTTCGCTAAACCAGCGCCGCAAAAAGCGCAGGAAGGCTTGGACCAAGATGGCGGCGCCCAGTGCTCGAGAGACAGCTCTCTCTCACCCCCGGCCTCTCCAGGGATAGAGGCAGTGGACGGACCCCTTACTGTGGCAACAATGCAAGAGATGATGGCAGACTTGGCCAAAAATATTCAGCTCAGTTTCCAAACTCAAATGCAAACTCTAACAGCTGAACTGAAAAAGGACATACAAGAGATTGGAAACCGCACAGCCCACCTAGAGACAAGGATGGATGAGCATTCTGCAGCACATAATAGCCTAGCTGACAAACTGCAGGAATTAACCAGCAATATGGAAAAGCAGAGGATTAAACTGGCAGACCTGGAGGACAGGTCACGCAGAAATAATCTTAGGGGCATTCTTGAAAAAGTAGGCAACAATGACCTGGACAGATACCTGCAAGAGCTGCTTCTCCAGTTAACCCCTGAACTACACCCCGATCAATTGATCATGGATGGGGCTCACCGCCTCAGGAGACTTACCTCACTTACCTACATCCTCCACAAGAGACGACATAGCCAGAATACACTTCTTCCACGCCAAAGAGCGGATACTCCGAGCCACCAGGAATGCAGAGCTGCCTGATAAATTCCGTGACATCAAGATCTTCTCAGACCTGTCGGCAGAAACTCTGCAATTCAGTAAATCGCTGGCCCAAATCACCACAGCTCTACACGCGCAAGGCTTAAATTACAGATGGGGATACCCAGCTAAGTTGTTGGTGTACCACCAAGACGCTTTTCACTCCATAGCGACTCTAACACAAGGCATACGCTTACTCAAGGACTGGGGTATCCCACTGACGGAGCAGGCGGCTCCAGGTCCAGCCAAGGTCCCCAGGTGATGCAGGACTGGTCCACTAGCTAAAGAGAGAGGAGTAAGGCAGCGGTGCATGTAAGCTGTTATACTAGACATCAATCTGAAAAAACGATATATGCCCCTGCTAGGTTAAAGAGTTAAGAGGTTATAGATTTAGTATTGCCTACATGTTATAATCTGTTCATTTATGTTTAGTTAAATTTGGCCCCCAGATACTATAATGTGCATTACCGGACAGTGAGACGAAGTCTCGGTTAGATATTGACACTGCCCATAAGCCAGGGAGCAGGGGGGACCGGAATACGTGCATGTGCTCCCTATGGTAGGATTCCCTCTCAAGAGATGTGTCCTATGACCACGACCCTCGGTCGACACAGCAAGGCTCAATCCCTATGAGCCAGGTAGAGAAGAACCCCTTCAACCCCTCACTCCCACCCCCTGTTCACGCAACCCGTGGCTTGCCACACGATTCACAACCCACATGCCACAGCCTATCTAGCGCAGGAACTCCTACACTCAATGTGGCACAACAGAGACTATACCCTATGTGAACCTAACTGGAAAACGCTTGTTACAAGCACGCCTATGTGCAGCCCAGAGACAAAAGTCAGATAAACAAGATGTTGAGAATTATGTCATATAATGTCAAGGGGCTCAATACCCCGGGTAAAAGAAGACTGTTGCTGCAGGATCTCAAAAAAACGCTCTGTAGCAATTGCATGCATACAGGAAACGCATTTTAAAAAGCCCAGAGAGCCAGCCATATTCACGAAATTTTACCCCATGCAATACCATGCCAGACTCAAAAACAAAAGGGGTCTCCATCCTCATTCACAAGGATGTAGCATTTACCCTACAACAGAGCTGCATAGACGACAAAGGTAGATATGTTATCATAGTAGGCCTCTTTAACAACTTACAGTATACGTTAGTGGCCACATATTTCCCAAACGATAACCAACCCGCATTCCTTACCACCCTCCTGAACAAGGTAGACCAATATAAACTTGGGGGACTTATAATGGGGGGTGACTTCAACTTCATTCAATCCCCTTCCCTGGATACTACCGCTCCCCTGACAGGTAGACGAAAGAAATGTATCCAAAAACACTGCAAATCACTTAACCAAACCATGTCCCTCTTCAATCTCCAAGACAGCTGGGAGAATACTACACCCCACAGACTGAGACTACTCGTTTTATTCTAATGCCCACAACACATACACCCGAACTAATATTTTATATAGACAATGTAGCGCTAGCCCAACTAGAAGACTGTACGATCGGAGACATAACGTGGTCAGACCATGGGCCAATCTACTTGGACCTAAAAGACCAACTCAACCACCAGGGCAAGGGTACGTGGAGACTGAATGAGTCCCTCCTAAAAGATGCCCCCTTTGCGGAACAATTAACGTTAGACCTTCAAGACTACTTCCGCACAAATGTCTCAGATTTCACTGTGTGGTCTGCCCATAAGGCGGTAATCAGGGGTCAACTTATTAGACAACCAACATACATTAAGAAACGACAACAAACTAGCTTACTAGAGTGCCATAAACAGATTGCACTGACCACTGCCCAAAACAAACAGTCGCCCACACCAGCATTGGCCTCCAAACTGAAAGCCTTGCACCAGGATCTCACCACATTCAATGCACAAAAAACAACATACTTCCTACACAGGTTGAGGTCCACTACATACCACAACAGCGGGAACGCATCTAAATACCTCGCCAACAGGCTTAGGACAAAGCAAGTGGCAACTAGAATACCACACCTAATTGATCAATCAGGAAAAAAAAAAAATGAACCCCATGGACATAGTACAGGAATTTGCCCACTTTTACAAACTACTATATAACCTCAAAGAAAGCAAGGGAAGGGAAACCCCGGAGGCCAGCCCCATACAAACCCACCTACAGGGGATAAAGCTCCCAACAATCAGCCAAAACAGTGTGAACACACTGTGCCAACCATTCACACTACAGGAAGTCCTAGCAGTTATTTAAAAAAAAACAAAAACAAAAAAAACACCTTACCCCCAGGTGCCGACGGGTTCTCAAACGAATATTATAAGACATTTGCGGACACGCTAGCGCCTCACCTGCTAAAGGTGTACCAAAGAGCATCGGAAACAGGGCACCTCCCTCCAAAAATGCTCCTGGCTACAATTGTTACATTGCCCAAACTGGACAAACCCACAGACATCTGCAAAAATTTCTGACCCAACTCCCTCCTTAACACCGACGCAAAAATCTACGCTAAACTACTGGCCAATAGATTGACTCCCCTCCTGCCAACCATCATTGACGACGACCAGACAGGATTTGCTAGGTGCAGACAGGGCCTGGACAACACCAGAAAACTCTGCCTGGCAATGGAAACAATGAGAGGATCGGGCCGGGGCGCTCTGCTGCTAGCCCTAGATGCCGAAAAAGCGTTTGACCGCCTGGGTTGGACCTTCCTCGAACAGACCCTTATAGAATTTGGCTTCCCTGCATCGTTCATGAAACAAATCTTTGCGCTGTATTCGGGCCCCACAGCACAGGTGTTGCAGGCCGGATTCCTCTCAGACCGGTTCCCCCTATCGAATGGCACGAGACAGGGATGGCCCCTGTCGCCATTACTATACGTACTGGCCTTGGAGCCTATGCCAAATCAGACAAAATACATACATCCATGGGATAACCCTCAATGACAGGGAAATCAAGGTTAGCGCTTTTGCGGACGATATTCTCCTGTACATATCCCGACCGATAGACTCCCTTCCCCACCTACTAGACCTAATCCAAAAATACAGAAAATTGTCCTACTACTCCCTAAATACAGGCAAGACACAGGCGATGGGGATGCGGCTATCTCAACAGACATTATCTACACTTAAGAAGGATTATCCCTTTGAGTGGAGAACTGATAGCATCAAATACCTAGGGATCACCTTCACAAAGCAGCAGTCAGATAGTTTTTCCGCAAACTACGTTAGGGTCTGGAAAGAATGCCAGTTACTGATGAAAAAATGGAGCTCCCTATTTCTGACATGGACGGAAAGGGTGGCAACAGTTAAAATGTCTGTGCTCCCCCGACTTCAATACCTGTTCCAAACTTTACCACTCCAGGTGCCCCTATCCTACTTCAAGGCCACACAAAAAAGAAATAAACAGATTTGTCTGGGGAGGGGGCACGGCTAGGGTACAGGGGACAATATTAAGAGCTCTGAAAGAACAGGTGGGGCTTCACCCTCTCTGACATCAAAGCCTACTACCAGGTGGCGGTGTTGACGACTATACTGCCCCATCTTCTAGACATACAACCCCCACAATAGAGAAAATCATTGAAGCCATTCGATATACCCACAATGCTGTGGCTCCCTAAAAGGTTCTGACCACCCATTCCCCTTCTGCCAGAGCAAGTTAAACTCGCTTTACGGGTATGGGACGCGACGAGACGCAACCTAGAAAGCCCTACCCCATTATCACTGGCTACCCCACTCCAAATCATAACATATTGTATACCAAAGTTTAATGCCAAACCATGGATTGATAAGGGGATCACACACCTCTCCCATATGACCACACCATAAACTGAGATCATTCCAAGACATGCAAGAGACGCACCACATATCAAAAGCAAAGCAATTCTCACATATACAATTAAGCTCCTTTATGGGTAAAGGGGATAATCAGCCTCCCCTCCCCCTAGAGAGGACCGACTCCGAACTAGGTATGACAGGGTGGGAGCAAAAAGCAATTAGAGGCTCGTTACCAAGGGGATGCAGACCTCTGTCCTGGTGTTACCGATTCCTCCAGTCTTTCACACATTTTACAGACTCCAAACAAGCGGCACAGTGGGCATTTGACTTACAGTGAGAGCAATGGGAAGCCATAGTAAGTGCACCCAGAAAGGTGATAAAATCGGAAACACTGCTAGAGCAGCATAGGAAAACAGTGTACAGATGGTATATGGTCCCCACACGAATCCACAAGATCTATCCAAACTCGTCCCCGAAATGCTGGAGATGTGGGCAGCAGACGGGCACAGTGCTACATATATGGTGGAACTGCACTCTCATCTCTGGCTTCTGGGAAGCCATAATTAAACTAACACAGGACATTACTCACACACAAGTACCCCTGACACTGGAGACGTGCCTCCTGCTGCACATGCCACCTGGCATACCTGCAGTAGTACAAAAACTAACTTTTCACATCCTCCTGACGGCACAGCGGGCGATAGCACACCTATGGAAAACCACGAGCCTCCCACGGATCACAGAGGTGTGTGAGGAGGTAGACACACAAAAAAAAATATATGAAACAAGCTACCGTAGTGTCTTCCCTATGACCAAAATAGCAATAGAGGCCTTGGGGCTCTGGAACTCCTGGCCACAGCGTGCGTGCATATATATATATATATATATATCTCTATCATTTTCTTTATTGCTCCCTACCTTTAGGAGCCAATGTGGGGCCTCTCCCTGGGATCCAGTAGAGATCTTCTATCCACTCCTCGCTCGATTTAGTGGTGCCGGAATATTATGTCATATTCCGGAGCCCGACTTCACAACAACCGGCCTCGCTGACCCTCCTCCCCAGCCGGGTAAGTTTTAGCAGAGTAGGCACCTGCAATGTGGGGAAAGATACTCTACTATAACCCTAAGCATGTACTCGCAGCTCACTGGGCCGCAAACATGTCCATTGTGAGCTGCATGCGGCCCATGGGCCATGAATTTGACATGCTTGGTCTACACAGCCGTGCTTTATTGGCACAGCAAGAGTTTCTGAGAGTTGTAATCTGTCAGTTTTTCATCGTAGAAAACTTTACAGTTACAGAAATCTATGAGTGAGAAGTAGAAATAAAGGCCAGATAGAGAAACAATTATCTGCATTGTCAGAGTAAAAAGTGATAACTTAAAAAGGTAAGATCAGAATATAGGTTTGCCAGATGATGGTTTCCATTTCCTTGCCATCTGGTCTACGGTGACTGCTATCTAAACACAATGGTTATGGTTGTGCTGTTACTATATATTTCTATTCATGATTAAGTAAAATAGTCTATGTAGTATCATACCATTAAAATGTACTATGGGCCAGTGCTTTAACAGAGAGTGGCTTGCAGGTAGCCTTCCAGCGATTGATTATTTTCAAGTGGATTAGAGCATTAATGGTGCATCAGCCGATCAATACATTCTGATACAAATGGAATGTAAGCGGTGGCTTTTTTTGCTAATTTTCTAGCAGAGTGTGATAAAACAGTATTTCCCATTGAACGTGTACATCAGGCCTGTCCAACCTGCAGCTCGCCAGATGTTGCTGAACAAGAACTCCAATGATCCCCTTACTATTTCATTGAAAGGATCATGGGAATTGTAGTTCACCAACATGTGGGTAGCCTCAGATTGAACAGAGCTGGTGTAATCAAGACAAGCAAGCTTACTTAAAATAAATCATATTCCTTATAAACATTCGTTCCTGAACCCATTTCTCTGTTTCAGTGTCATTACACTATGCAACACTGAGTGAATATTTTACTTTAAATTCAAACGGTCAGAGATCAACCCCACTACTGAACACACCCAGGTAAGAATTTTACTTTATTTAATATTCTGATCACACAAACATTTTGTAATAATTAAAGCACAATATAACCTCCCATTTTATTTTAGCAGCAAACTGTTGCACTCTTTTTTTTTAATTATAGACAGTGGGTCTTTTTTTTATTTACAATTTGTGTGTTAAGTACAGCAGGAAAAGATCTTTGAAAGAAAAACTCTGGATATTACAGCCATTTATCTTAGCTGAAAAAAATACAAGTTAAATTTCTATATGCACTATGGGCTTTATCATATTTCTCTGTAGATTGTTTAGTTATATACACACACCATACAAGAGAATATAACTCACAACATTTCCCTATATTGACAGTTATTAATAATACAAGATAAGAACAGAATAATTAAGAACAGGGTGATTTCTGAAATTTCTCAATAAAAAGTTACATTATCTTTTGCTTGTAAGTACAAAAAAACCTGCATTGTTTGACCACTGCTGTGTTTACGCATGTGGTCATGTTCAGAGACCGTAGCTACGCAATATTGCCCAGCTTCAACAAGCCTTCAATCCCATGACATTCATGGGATCACACTATAGGCACCATTCTGGCAAAACCAAAATCAGGGGTAACCATGGTCTCCTGTATATGGAAAAGAAAAGAAAAAACCTTTCTCCAGCTTTCTTCTAATGCACTACAAAAACATGAGGCCACCAGAAAAATAGAAAGAAAAAAAAATCCACTTCTTCAGAAAAAGATCTGTTTGGCATCTCCTGGGCTCTGCTCCATAGGGCAATATGGGCATTTTAATCTGAAAAATAAAAAGATAAGCAACATGATTAAAATAAAGTTAAATAATGCTTTAAAAAGCAACTAAATGTTATATGGGCAAGTGATGATATCTTAAATACCAAGGGTTTATTCACTAAACCAGGGATTGTGAATAGCTAACAGAATTCCAAATATTAGCTAGACAGAGATATATATATACATACATACATACACACAGTGTAGATGTATATGTGCGTGTCTCTGTATGCTGTATATAGGCATTCATGCATATTCTGGAATTCTTGGATGTGAAGCCATGCATTCTTAATCCAAGTAATTGTTTTTTTACACTCCTCTTCTTGCACCATGTTCTGCACGGTTTGCTTGTTGTTTTTCCTCTTCCTCCCCCCCCCCTGCCCCTTCACTCTGATCTTCACACAAGATATGTAGGACTCTGTGAGAATTGTGTCTATTTTCTATCAAACCTGTGTCTAATCTGCACTAATGTCGCTTTAAGCCATGTATCACAACTCAACTTTAAATTTGATGTGTCATCTTTGCTCAGAAATGCTTTAGACTTGAGAAAGGGAGGTTCTCCCGAAAGCTTGTCATTAAAAAAAATTCTGTTAGTCCAATAAAAATAAATAAATAAAAATAAAAAAAATATATATTACGAGACATTTTATATCAATTTAGAGAATTACGTACGTCTCTTATTTAAGGTGTCCCTGGATCCTCTACTCCCTAACTACTGCTAGCAGAATCAGCTAGAGAGTTTCCAGCAAATTGCAATGTGGTTGCTATGCTAAGGCGAGCATTAAGGACTGCCTGTGCAAGGTCTTTTCTGCTCTCACTGGCCAGTCAAATCTTCAAAATAGCACAGGTCTATGCCAAAGATTTGACTGACAGGCGGGAGAATTATTTTAATATAGGTTTTTCCTCTCAATCTATACATTTGCTAGCAAATCTGTTAGCATAATGTATAGATGCTTAAAGTTGTTTGCAGGCATGGCAGGAACTTTTTAATCAAATTATGTGGGGTTTTTTGTTTTTTTATGTTGGGTCCGATTCTATTATTTTACCAATAGCTGCTCAACCTAACTTGCCAGATGCTGTGAATCCTTTGAGTGAAGCTGCAGCAGTGGCAAGCAAGTTAGGCTGAGCAGACGTTGGTCACAAGGAAACAGTAGGAAAAAACAAAAAACACCATCAGGGTTATTCACTATAATTATTTCCAAATTTAAGGTCAGAGTAGCTTAACCCGTTAAGGACACATGACATGTGTGACATGTCATGATTCCCTTTTATTCCAGAAGTTTGGTCCTTAAGGGGTTAAAGGACCACTATAGGCACCTAGACCACTTCAGCTTAATAAAGTGGGCTGAGTGCCAGGTCCATCTAGGGTTAACCCTGCCTGCTGTAAACATAGTTTCAGAGAAACTGCAATGTTTATAATAGGGTTAATCCAGCCTCTAGTGGCTGTCTCATTGACAGCCGCTAGAGGCGCTTCTGCGCTTCTCACTGTGATTTTCACAGTGAGAAGACGCCAGCGTCCATAGGAAAGCATTAAGTAATGCTTTCCTTAGGACTGATTGCGGGCGCGGCTCTTGCTGCGCATTCAGCCGATGACGTCCAAAGGAGGAGGAGAGTCCCCAGCGCCAAGGGAGCCCGGCGCTGGAGAAAGGCAAGTGACTTAACCTCTAACTCCCACTTCAGCCCAGCGGGAGAGGGGGACCTATTAATACTATAGTGCCAGGAAAACAAGTTTGTTTTCCTGGCACTATAGTGGTCCTTTAATGGAAAGAAGTGTTGACTTTTTCCAGTTTGGCTACTTTGACCTAAAATTTACAATTTCACGTTGGTGAAAAACCCTGTATATATAATGAAAACAGCAAGTTTTACTTAATGCAATAAACTATAATAATAATAATAATAATAATAAAAAATAAAAAAACAAAAACAAACAAGAACTGAACTGTGAATGGCAGTTGTCCTTTAAGACCCAAATGCGCAATTTTGGGGTAACAGAAAGTGCATGAGAATTCTTAACGGCAAAAAAAGAAAATCATCAAAAGGAGATTACTGAAGGAGGCTGTGCAATGCACAGATTCAATGCTTTCCTTACCTGAAAGAACTAATAGACTTATCCACTCATTTTGAGAATGCATAGTAAATCTCTGTGTACAGATCAATAATATGAAACCTTAACAGACCCCTGCTTACTCATTCAGAAGAGGAAAGGGGAACTATGTAGCAGATCTGCACCGTACAGCAGAGATGTTCACACATTTGGGCTAAATCTATATGAATGATGTGCCATGCTTTCGGTCACTCTCCCACAAAGCCATTCATATTATTGCTTCTTCCCGTTAGTCTGAACAAACTTACTTGCTGCCATTGAACATTTTATTCAGAGCATCTCGAGATATGATGTGTCCACATACTAACTTCATTGGAGGATTATTATCTGTAGTTTGTTGACGAAGGATGGGACAGGCAAATATTGAATGATACCAGCATTTCTTACCAAGGTCCACTTCAATCTTTAAGTAACAAAAAAAAAAAAAAACACATTTAGTATAGTTTACATACAAATAAACGGTCTTTAAAAGAAAGTAACCAAATAGTCACTTACACATTAAAATGGTTAAAATCCTTAGACATGAAATGGTTAAATTAAAGACTAGACCAAACAAAACTAACGGCAGCACTGCCGAGGTTTATAAACAACACTTCCCTCTATGCTAGCCGAGCTTCATGAGGAATAATAAGGGGCAGTGATGCCTCTGTTTGTGCAGAATACAATAGAAAAACTGCACTAATGGCAAGTGTATGATTAAAGTGTAAGTGATCATTTTAAAGGAACATTATAGGCACAAACACTGGCCAAAATTGGCGTTCAAATTAGTTTTTTGCATTTTTCACACACAAATATTAACACTAACTTTGGCCAGTGTTTGTGACTAAGTGGCTACTAAAAAAGACTGGACATACCCCATTTGCAATACCTTGGATTGTCTACTATTGTAAATGGTATGCCATTCCTGTGCCACCATATGGTCTCAAAGGCAACGTAAACAATTTGACGAATTTCAATGTAAAAAAAGAAACCTGAAAAATGTAATGTGCTATATTTGACCCTGTAACTTCCCAAAACACCATAAAACCTGTACATAGGGGGTACCGTTTAACACGTGAGACATCACTGAATACAAATAGGTGTATTTTATTGCAGTAAAAGCAAACAGTATTATGACATTCCCAGTTAATATTTTATTCATATTAAATGTTTCGTAGCTAAATATTTGATGTTAAATGAAAGCCCTATTTCCCCTGAATAAAATGATATATAATAAGTCTGGGTGCACATAATCTGAAAGAGGTGAATTACAGTTGAACAGACATAGTCAAATTCCAAGTTTTGTCTAGGTTTTATTTTGATCAAAACGTGTACATTTGGCTCAGTCCTTAAGGGGGTTAAACACCTGATTTATAACAGGGATTAGGTTACAGCACATGATCATACACTGCATAAGCCTGCCACTACTCCAATGTACTCCATTTTTATCAGGTTCTATCTTAGCAATATATGGCATAGATTGTGGCTAGTTAAACCCCAGTAAGTTATTTTAACATAAGTATTAACCCCTTAAGGACACATGACATGTGTGACATGTCATGATTCCCTTTTATTCCAGAAGTTTGGTCCTTAAGGGGTTAAGAGTGGTTTTGAATAAGTAAGAAGTGAGAGGTTAATCGATAGATCACGTTTTACTATTAGATTTGACAGTAAACTGCTTCAGGTAAGAAAAAAAACAAAAAAAAAACACACAGTATATATAAAAAAAACAAAAAAAGACAAACACCAAATGTTTCCTTGGTTCACTGGCTGGATCAGACACACCAGAAAAGTCAGTTTCCCCAAAAGGTAATGTTAGTTTGAAACAGAAGTTCGACCCTTAAATGTTGTACATTCCCAGACGCTCTCAAAATGTTTTATTTTTCTCATCACACTGAATGCATGCTACCTACTTACTGGTAATTCGTCTTTCTGGTTCCATACACCAGTGCACTGCCTTTGTTCAATTACGGCCTTTATATTAATAAGGGCAGGAAGGGCCACACATCCGGCAGAAAAGCTAAAAAGTAATCAAACACACACTATTAGTACAAGTCTGTATGAAAATGTAATTCACACTTGGCAAAGAAATGTATCGCAAAATATACAGTGCAGAGAACAAAAAGAAAAATGGATTAAAGAATCCTTGCACCAATAACACCACAATAAGCTATAATGATTATGAAGCGTGAGGGCCCCTTTAAAAAAAGTGTTGATGCTTAAAAGAAAGACTACAGCGTGCCCTGGCACATTCCTAATGCAAGGAGTCAAACTGTGTTACTCCCTTCATCCATCACATCAGTCAGAGAGATTGAACTGTCTAAACTAAGCTTGCCAGTGCAGGGTTGGCTCAGGAGACTTAACGGTAGCTCCTACACAAGAGCACCCGGCTCTCTGATCGAAGTACTGGAGGTGGGAAACGGTGCCCGGTGGACTCCAGGTAAGAAGTCAAGAACAGTTTGACTACTGTAGTGGTCATGGTTCTTAGAGTGTTCCTTTACAGTGAACTAGCCACAATATGTTCACTTTAAAATAAAAAAAATAAAAATAAAAAAAGTTTCAGAAATCCAACTACTCGCAACAGGACTACCACTGCCAAAGCTAATTTACTAAAGTGACCTGATTAACCCCTTAAGGACAACTTCTGGAATAAAAGGTAATTGTGACGGAATATTTCCGTCATGTGTCCTTAAGGGGTTAAATGTTAAAATAAATTCGTAAACTAAAACCAAAATTGGCTTAATTCAGTATCACTGCATAAAATGACGAACAAATTAAATAACCCAGGAAACAATTGTGTCTTCCCATAGTAATGTTAAATCAGTGCATAGTTTATATTTGAATCAATTACCTAACACTGAGAGGTGATTCTACAGAGAGACCAAGCAGAGCGCAAGCATCCCGGGTAAAGAGGTCACAGATGTCTGCCCACTGATTTGCGTCAAGAAGATGGACATACGGAGAGTTCTCAATACCCTGTCGCAGGTACACAAGACTGCCCATAAGCACCTGAATATCTAAAAGGGAGTAGAAGAATAAGAGCAGGACATTTAAAGCACCTGGATTAGAGCAAAATAGAAACATAGAATGTGACGGCAGATAAGAACCATTCGGCCTGTCTAGTCTGCCCAATCTTCTAAACACTTTCATTAGTCTCTGGCCTTTTTCTTATAGTTAGGATAGCCTTATGCCTATCCCACGTATGCTTAAACTCCATTACTGTGTTAACCTCTACCACTTCAGCTGGAAGGCTATGCCATGCATTCACTACACTCTCAGTAAAGTAATACTTCCTGATATTAGTTTTAAACCTCTGCCCTTCTAATTTAAGACACTGTCCTCTTGTTGTGTGATACAGAAGGATGTTTAGAGGAATACTCCAGTGTTACAAATAAATATATGTTTTCATGTTCTGAAGTTTTAGGAGTTTGGAGTGTTTCTTTTATCACAGCCTATTTGGGCCAGTAATTAATACATCCAGCTGATCCCTAGTTTGGCACTGCAGATGACTTCTTATGCTCAACCAACCACTGATTGAGCATTACAGGAAAAACCATTAACAAAAACATCTGGAATGCCAAGTTTAGCCATGAATGGGATATCCTACACTGAAGGGGAAAATTCACTAGGACCAAGTTCAACTGTTCAAAAAAGCAATCTGGGTGAAGTTCTACAAGCAATGGTTGTTTTTTCCCCCCTCTTCATTTACGATATTTTTAAGGGCCATGATCCATATCTCCCATTTATAACTCGGAAACACAATGGAATAATTTTTTAACCACATAATACAACTGTATTTCCTTATGTTTAATAATGTGCAGGAAACCATAAAGCTTCTAAATGCTTCCTAGAAAAAAAAACAAAACAAAACAAAAAAAAAAAAAAACACACTTTGTGATCTGAGCGGGGAGTAACCTGAATGGCAAGATATTGATGTTTCTCTAAGCATTTGTCCGTTCTCAGAGTGCTTATATTCTCAGTTTTTGCTGCAAAGCATGGCACGTCAAATCACCAAGTAAACATCACTCCTTGCATTTTAAAAATGAATACGGCACGTACGCCGTCAATTACATTTATCAAGCAGTGGCCTACTTACCTTTTTGATGATTTAAAGCAAAGGGCTGAAAGTTTTTGGCATATTGCAGTGCCTCCCTCTGGTTGGGGGTTCCACCCATCAATAAACTAATAAAGTATAATCTGTGCAATTTGAACTCCAACGAGCTGTTCTGAGCCATCAGCATTTCTCTGTTTGATACAGCCCACCTGTAGAAACAAAAATGAAATAAAATATGGTTATGGGGGATTTGGGGAAAAGAAATTCAAAATCACCTTCTATGGGTGCAAGATCTATGCCACGCATATTGTACAAGGTAGAAAATGCAGACCCAACTGTGCTCATTTCAATGTGAAGTGGAAGACTGATCAGAGGAAGATGGAATAAAAACTCCCATTGAAAATTAGATCCTTAATATTTCAAGAGCCTGCTGATGACCATGAAATACAGTCACACCATCATTCAGAGGTGGCCCGTGTACTATGACAGAAATAAAATTATGGCAGTACATAAAATGCACTAAGGGACAGGGGAGGGGGTGGTAAGGAGCACTATGGGGGGGGGGGCGTAAGGAGCACCATGGGGAGTGCGGAGGGGGCTGCAAGGAGCACTCATGGGGAGGAGGGGGCTGCAAGGGAGCACCTATGGGGCTGCAAGGAGCACTATGGGGGAGGAGGGGGCTGCAAGGGAGCACTATGGGGCGGTGGCGATAATTCATGGGGGTGCGTAAGGAGCACTACAGTGGGGGGAGGAGGGGGCGCAAGGAGCACCCAAGGGGGGGAGGAGGGGGCTGTAAGGAGCACTATGGGGGAGGAGGGGCTTGCAAGGAGCACCATGGGGGGAGGAGGGGGCTGTAAGGAGCACCATGGGGGAGGAGGGGGCGCAGCAAGGAGCACTATGGGGGGGAAGACGGGCTGCAAGGAGCACTGGCGGGGGGAGGAGGGGGCTGCAAGGAGCACCATGGGGAGGAGGGGGCTGCAAGGAGCACCATGGGGAGGAGGGGGCGCAAGGAGACCATGGGGAGGAGGGGGCTGCAAGGAGCACCATGGGGAGGAGGGGCTGCAAGGAGCACCATGGGGGAGGAGGGGGCGTAAGGAGCACCATATGGGGGGAGGGGGCCATGCCACCATGGGGAGGGGGCTGCAAGGAGCACCATGGGGAGGAGGGGCGGCAAGGAGTACTATGGGGTGAGGAGGGGGCGTGTAAGGAGCACTCATGGGGAGGGAGGGGCTGCAAGGAGCACTCATGGGGAGGCAGGAGGCTGCAAGGAGCACTATGGGGAAGGGGGGGTGAAGAACCACTATGGGACAGGGAAAGGGGTGAAGAACACCATGGGACAAGGAAAGGGGTGAAGAACACCATGGGACAGGGAAAGGGGGGGGTGAAGAACACTATGGGACAGGGAAAGGGGGTGAAGAACACTATGGGACAGGGAAAGGGGGTGAAGAACACTATGGGACAGGGAAAGGGGGTGAAGAACACTATGGGGCAGAGAAGGGGGGTGAAGAACACTATGGGACGGGAGGGGGGTAAAGACCACCAGGACGGGAGGGGGGGTAAAGAATTACTCATGGGACAGAGGGGGGGGTAGTGACCACTATGGGACAGGGGAGGGGCAAGACCACTATGGGACAGGGAGGGGGGTGAAGACACTATGGGACAGGGGAGGGGGGCAGTAAAGACCAATATGGGATCCAGGGGAGGTGGTAAAGACCACTATGGGGAGGGTGGTAAAGACCACTTTGCGGGGAGTAGGAGGGGGTAAAGACCACTATGGGACAGGAGGGAGAAAGAATCACTTTGCGGGACAGGGGAGGGGGGTGAAGAACAATATGGGACAGGGGAGGGTGGGGGTAAAGAACACTATGGGACAGGGGAGGGGGGGTGTAAAGAACAATATGGGACAGGGGAGGGTGGGGGTAAAGAGGAACATTAAGGGAGGACACCAAGATACAGAGGAGGGAAGGGAAGGCACTAAAAGAGAAGTGAGAGAAACATTAAGGGTAATTTGCATCCGTTACACAAACACACACACTGAATCAACTACCCACACTGCATCCACTACACAAACATACACACTGCATTTACTAATCAAATACTCTCACTGCATCTACTACACACACATAAATATTCTTGAAAATATAAAACCTGACTGGCATGTATATTTTGTGCATTTACCACTTAATAAAAAATAAAAAAAAGATTAGCAAAACTAAAATACGGTAAATGTAGAGAATATCAGTAAGCTATCGGCCTGAAAGTTTACAGGTTATCGGTATCGGCTCCAAAAAAAAAAAAAAATACAGTGAAGTGATATATTGTTTTGTGCAGCAGTGGGTAAAGGGTTGCAGTGATAAAACACTCACTCTAGGGCTGGCCGCAGTACTCTGACTTTTAATGCCTCCAATATTCGGTTTAACTCGACAAATGGTTCTTTTTGGCTCGAGTCTATAGAAAGGCCAGCTTCCTAAACAAAGTAAAAACACAACAAAGAAGGAAAATGAAATTAATATTGAAAAAAAACAAAAAAGAAAACTGACATTAATAAAACGTGAATTGTAAACTAATATGAACTAAGAATGCTAGCTGCATGCTGGATGTACATACAGAATCACTATATTTATAGTTTATGCTTACAACATAAAAAGTGGGGGACAATAAGATCTAGGAAAATATCAAAAGTAATGTCAAAATAATAAAGACTACAGGATAACACTCCAGGTTACAGCCAGCAAGTTTATATCTCTTTACTTTAGCCCTAATTCTAAAAACATTTTGAAGTGAATGATGGGTAGTGACCTTTGTGGTGTGTACCTGGCAGAGCTCTTCAGCCACGTCCAGCATCCCCTGCCGGAAGAAGTGCTCTACCATCACCTCATTGAGAAGCCGTTGACTGTCTGTCTGCCAGCAGCCATCAATCCCCACACTGCTGATATCCGCATCAAAGTTCTGCAACAGATAAAATACACAACCACCATTTTAGTGGGACAGGCAATGTCTGCTGCTACAGGAGCTGTGGATTTCAACTCTATTCATGCTAAACCAGCAGCTCCTGACCCAAAGCAAAACTGACTACTCAGGCAGGCAAAGATGCATTCATTAGTACATAGGGGCACACCAGACTAGAAATAGACGATTCTATACATAAAGTAAGGCTGCCTACTCTCTAAACTAAAGATACTAAATCATTCTACAACTGCACACCAATAATCCTTAAAAAGAAAAGTATTACTTAAGTCAAATGAAGAATAAAATAGATGGGTGAAAATGAGTCAATCCCTACAGCATCCAGTATACATATGGCCATTCAGGGAGAGGGAGAGCGAAAATACACACTAGTCTGCTTACAAATGTTATCTTTTAGGATTTGTGACATGAGGCATACATTTATTTCTATTCTTTATGTGACTTGAAGTAATAACACAAGGCTTATTGGTGAGGAGCTGCAAAATTATTAAGGCATAGATGGATTTCCTGGCACAGATATTAGGGGATCCAGTCTCATCTTGCAATACGATTTTTGTGGAAACATCACACACCATGCAGCATGGGATTTGAAAACATGATCTGCCTATTAAAACTAAATACATTTGCTTTTCTTTTTAATGCAAAAAGAAACACTGTGATGAAATAGGACATATAATACATGGCAGCTATTACTATTGCAACCAGGGTTTTATTTTATTTGAATACATAAATCGCAAATCCTGAAATAGGAAATCATAGCAATGTAAGAAGGAAAGTAGTGGATTTTTTGTAGTAAAATATAGTGGGCAATAACAGAGAGTCAATTAGGGAAGTTAATCAAACAAATATCTTTAAAGAAGCAACAACTCCAAAATCATTTGCATGTGACTTTAATCCATTAAACAATGGAACCCTTAAACATTTTGACCTATATGGCGATTGTCGAGCCGCGAAAAAAACAAAACTATAGAAGAGGCAGCAACTCCAAAAGGCATTTTAACACTTTAATCCATCATATAAGATGACCTTGGCTTTGGAGTTTTACTTGAATTTCAGAGTAAGATATAATAACTGTTCTGGAGCAGAAAGTTTGAGAGATCAAATGCTTTCCAAAGGTTCAGCTTTTGTAAACAGATTACGAATGTCTCATTTCCACTGAGTGGATTGGTTCGGGTAGGTACGGTTTGGAAGGTTTAGAATGGTCCAGCCTATTCAGTTGAGCGTTTCCACTGCAAGTCAGACCTTCAAGGGCCATGTGGGGTTTAGAAAATATGCCTAGCATGTCATGTGTCGTGAGCATTGACGTTTTCCTGCCCGCCAATCAATAGATTGTATAGTGTGACTAGTAGCTCCGCCCTAACCGTACCGTACCATTTACTATGGCCCTACATCTGAAGGAGGACCCGGAATGGTGCGGTTCGGTTGTATGGGCCACTTTCATAATGGAAACACTCAAAATAGCGTACCGAACCGCTCCGCTCAGTGGTAACAAGGCACATGAGAACCAATAATAGGAGCTCATCATATTCTAAGCATCCATACCTTATCAATGGCTTTCCCCACCCGGGATACACTGCTGTGAATGTCTTTATGATCTGAAGCCAGTTTCTGTACAGTGTCCTTTATCCTTTTACAGCATTGTGTGAGCACAAGAGATAATGTTCCAGACAACTCCCCATCTTGATCTAGAGAAAGGACAAGAATAAGCAAAGTTATCAATACAAAAAAAGAGGAAAAAGTAAGTCGATTTTTAAAATAATTCTGTATGACTTTCCTTTGGATAGTGATTTTTCTTCTTGAAAATTTTGCAGCCAAACAGCATTATATTACTGCATTGATTGCTCAACTATATTGCCAATTAAAGGAACTGTAGTGGTTCTGGTATCTAAAGCCTGTCCCTGCAGGCTGAGCACTGTAAACACTGCCTTTCCAGAGAAAAATCAGTTTTTACATTAACGCCTTGAGGGGCTTCCTGGGTGCACGGACGTTCAGCTGAATTTTCCTCAGAGATTAAATGAATCATGCACGATAGCTTCCCAATTGCATGTGCGACATCAAGTTTAATAAGCTCAGCCGGGGGGGGGAGGGGGGGGAGGTGGGCAGCCATGACTGGACCCGAGCGGCAATGGAAAAAAGGTGAGTAAATCACCTTTTTAACTGGGTTTAATGGGGGTGGGGGACTAAACTGTAATGAAGACCTCCTATTGTGTCAAGAATACATATTTATATTCCTGCCACTACAATCCCTTTAAGGAGTTTAAAAAAAACTAAAAAAAACACAAGATAAAAATGTAGAACATCCAATGGTTGACCCAGAATTTGCCTGAACATGGTAAAAAGTGCAGCATCTGAGAGACAACCAGATATATAGGGAAGTGCTTGCTCATATCCAAAGATAAGGAAACACTATGGACTCACGGCTTCACAATACTAACTTCTTTTTCTTTAATTTTTGGAAATGTTCTGAAATTGTGGACAACAGAGAAAAAAAAAAATACAGTAAAATTGACGGCATGATCTTTTATAAAATGATGCAACAAAATGACATGAAAACGAAAGAAAGACTACACACAAAGAGCTACTTTGATAGATTTTACTCTGATGTCTTCCAGAACAAATGTATGAGGTTTGTAGAATTTTAGCTAATAATGACAAGGTCTTATCACTTGCTATCATTGCCCTTGGAGATTGAGAGCCACAGTACACATGAGCTGGCTTGCAAAAGGTTAGTTATCACTGAGCTACGACGTCCTTGACCCTTCAACCAAATAACACCACTTTGTTAGCTAAAAGTTCTGTATTTAGAAAACTGTATTCCCTCATCAGAGTTCTCATTGTAAATAAAAAGCCAGGAGTAGAGGAGACCCTGAAATAAAGTTAAACAGACGAAGTGTTTACATTACTGACTAGGAACACCTCTATTGGCAGTCACTTATACGGCCACTAGAGGTGCTTCCTACACCTCTCCTGCAGTGTCAGTAATAGGTTTGTATTCTTAACCCTAAAGTATTCCTTTGAGCTTGAAAGGAACATTGTAGTGTAATCTGTATTCGTAATGCTAACGGCCTGATGCTCCCTGTCATTTTGGTCTCCCCCGTATATAAGTAAAAAAATTTAAAACAAATTACCTACCTTTTCTCCAGCACAGAATCTCCCTCGACGCCGTCGCAGCCTCCTCCTCGATTAATGACATCTGTCAGTTGTGCCAATCCATTGCTCCTCATATCTCACATAGAAGCATTGGGCACTAATGTGTGGCATTCACCGTGTTGTGCATACAATTCTGCCACAGATAATCACTGAATAGAATTCTATGGCTGACCGTGACTTGGAGGCGTGGCTTGAAGATGCGCTTTATAGCACTCTAGTGTACTACAGGGTTTTGGAGGTTAGGAGGTGGTCTGCTGGCACTGACACCTTCACAAGCATAAAGTTGCTAAAGTGCCTACAGTGTCCATTTAAAGAAAAAGCTACCGACTTTAAAAAGAATACAAAAATAAAGTATTCAAAACAGGATGTAGATCCAGATCTGACAAGCAACTGGATTTCAGGAATATGTCTAATTGCCTTTAATTAACATTGTGCAATGCAATAGGTTCATTATCATGAAAATCCAGCTTTTCATCCCTGACTAATACTTTTCTAAGCAATTAAAGCAGCATTGTTATTGAAATACTCATGATAACTGTATTGGAATTTCCAACCAAGTCAAGAGATATACTGAGAGAAAGTAGTATTCCGTATGTGTCAAGTGTCAATGTCAATCCCCCTCAGCCATCGCTAGTGATGGCAGCAGGGACTTAGCTTTATTTATGGAGAATCCCACGGTATTACAAGATCCTCCATAGATCTCAATGCATGAGAGTTCAGCAGTAATATAGGCTGATGTAAGCTGAAGAGGATCCACAGAAAGATGAAAGCGGTGCTAGTGAGTGACAGGTTGATGCAGGACTTAACATTTCCAAAGTAAATTAACATCTGATTGAAAATGAAACTTTCACAGAAGGGAGGTGTGACGGTAGTGGTCAATATCACCGTCTAGTTTTCCTTTTCCCAAAAGCAGAGTAATCCCAATAATCCAAGAGAAGAAATATCGCTGTAATCGCCAAATAATCCACACATGAGCAAAGGCTTAATGCTGGAACAAGTCTGATTTACTGGCACACAGAACTCACAATTTATGCAACACAAAACTCCTCCTCTGGGCCAGGCTAGATAATTGAGTTTCTACAATACACAAAGCTCAATTATCTGCTGGCCAGAAACATTACAGTTTTCAACAATTTCAGAAAAGTACTTTTTATATTACATATAAACATAATTTTGGGAAGCAACATACTTAAATTTCACGAAAATCCGTTTGGTAGTTTTCGTGTCGCGTCGTGTGGAAGTTTGACCGGCTCCCTGCATGCTGGTATCCAATTTAGAGTTCCATGAAATTGGGCTAAGAGCCGGTCTCCGTTCGCATCAATTTACACAAAAACTACCAGGGTTAAAATACAGAGAGTTCGTGGAAAGTGTTCCCCTCATTCGGTAGATTGAATTTTCCGAACGCCGTTCGTGTCAAATCCGTGGAAATAGGTCAGACGGGACTTCCATGGGGACCGGGTCATGCTGGAGGGCTATGCTGAAAATAATTCCAGGCGGTCGACGCCTAAGTCCCGCTGACTGGCCGTTCGGGAGTTTAAGATGGCCGCCATTTCGGGAGCCGAACACGTGGCGTAGAACAATGGATGGCGGCCCGGGAACTCTCAATTAACTTGCGGTTACACACGATTCTATGTTCTAATTGCTACCCAGGGTGGTCCTTGTTCGGTAAAATAGTGATTTTACCGAACAAGGGATTTAAACGTACAGAAAATAACGAATGCACCAGTAATACAGGTAATAAATCTCACGAATACAACAGCAGGGAGAGAAATAAAAACGAATTGAGGGTGATTCTTGACAGGAGGGTCTCCAGGATATTTCAAAGCATACTGACAGGACACCGAACTGATAACGCCTTGTACAAAAGGCAATGGGAGGAATAGACGGAGGAATCCTTCTCGGGTGCCCAGTAGGAAAAGATCCTAATACTACAACACAAAAGCTTCACAAGCTCCCACTACCAGGAAGTAAACTACAAGCTACTCACACTCTGGTATAGCACACACTCCCTGATTAACCGCTACACCCCAACAATTCTGAACATCTGCTGGAGATGCGGGAACGGCCCTGGAACCTTGAAACACATCTGGTGGGACTGTGATAAAATAAAACCGTACTGGGGGAGCATTGAACAGGAAATTGGAAACGTCCTAGGTGACCCCACAGAGCTGACGATGGAGGCTGCCCTCATATACCATACAGAACAACCCATATCCTCTTACAAAAAGTCAATCCTGAGACACCTGCTAAATGCGGCTAAATCCCTAATCCCACTGCACTGGAGGAAAGAACATATACCCTCAATAGAACAATGGAAGAATAAGGTAGAAGACATATGAACATCAGAAGCCAAAATAGGATCACTAGGCAGGGAAGATAAACAGAACTGTGGACGCCCTGGATATTGCATATCACTTAAGACGTGACACAGAAAAAGAGGCGCAGCTGAGAGAGACAGGAACGGACATGGGAGGGGGTCCGGACGCGCCACGGGGGAGACAGACACCCCCCCCCCCTTTTCCCTCCTCAAGGGGAGAAACTATCCACACATACATAACACAAAGGAAAAGAAGTACCGGGAGCTACCACACAAGAAGCAGATACGGAATGGGAGTAGAGCGGAGGCACACAAAGAAGCAACACTCAAGAAACACACACTGGGCAACCAACAGAAACATAGCAAAATAATGAACACCCACAGACATGTGAGAAAGCTCATACCAAACCACACAATAGACGGAGGGAATTGGAAATGCAGTTACAAGATTTGAAATAAACGACACGATATACAGACAGAGCAGACACATCACCACACGATAGGACTACGAGCACACAACGAAACACGACATCAGACCCACAAACACTAATGCCAACATAAGCCGACGGACACCAGCAAACAGGCACATGGCTTGACAGAAGACTGGGCCGGGGAGACTGAGATTACTAAAAGTGAAACAGGGAGAAAACACCAGGGGACATTCTACCCTTTCCATGGTAGAGGGCCTAATCGACACAAGAGAATGCACACAAGCACCCGAACTAAAGGGTGAAACATATGCACATCATAGACTGAACAGGGAACAATACTATGGCATGGGGGTGGAAATTAGAGGGACAGACAGAACACATCCGTAATAACGAGCACTGGCGTGCCAGACAAGACATAGCATCACACTAAATGGGTGGCATAGGCCACACGGAACAATAACCCAGACGTCGACATAACATCCTAATACACCACGGGCCTCATGTAGGCGAAGGTCCATAACCAATATGAAAAAAAAGCTATAACTTGCACGAGGCCTGCGAGACAAAAAAACCTCACCAAATTAAGGGAAACTGAATGCCCACACACTTACGGAAAAGCTTGACACATAAACAGCACCAGAGGTATTAAACAGACTTGTGAGTCTTCCGCTCCGACGCCCACGATTAAGTCCAAGTCTATGTAAACAGTAATAATTGACGAAGTTAAAAATCATATGTACAAAACTAAATATTATAAGGGACCTGCGTGTGCGTCAACATTGTGGGCCTGCAAGCCCGAGCAAATATCCGCATGCTCTGCAACCAATTCTACCGCACGTTGTTCAACTGTTATCAAACTCAACATGTCTACTGAGACCTGCGAGTCCCACTGTTACTTAAACTTTGGCAACACAAATAAAAATCATATTTACAAAAACAAAAACAAAAAAATGAAAAACTTTCTTTTATGCAGGCTGTCAGTCACAGCCAGGAGAGGTGTGGCTAGGCTGCATAAAAAGAAAAAAGCAATTTAACTCCTAAATGGCAGAGAATTGACATGATCTATACACCAAAAATGCCCATAGCATCCCTTTAACAATGCTTAATCACACACTTTCATCCTTGTATAACACAAACCCTTGCACAATACATATGGATTTCCATTTTTTTTTTTTTTTTAATTCTTCACTCAATAGACATAGCAAGTGTACATCCACTTTTGGGCTTACACAGAAGCCAATGGATTTCCAGTTTATCTAAAATCGCCATAAAAGTTAAATGGTGAGCATGCTATATGAACTATTACCTACTAGAATGCCATTTAAAACAAATACCAAAACAACTACAGAATGTTGCAGTGGTTATGGTGCCAGAAGTGCCCTGCAGTCCTCCAATGGAAGTAGTACAACTTACCTGGGGTTTGCCAGGTGCCAATCACCTCCTCTCTGACCTGAGCTAGCCCAGCGGTGCCAGGCTTAACTCACTCATCATCTGACACTCCGCAATTATGCTGGCTCTGCAAAGCAGGATTTAGCCCCAGAAAGCCATTGGAAGCTGTGTTGGAGGAGGTGACCAGCACCCAACCAGCCACAGACAAGTTGTTAAACTGTTGGCAAATGGTTTGACTACTTCCATGGGCACTGTAGTTTGCCGGGTGCCAATCACCTCCTCTCTGACCTGAGCTAGTCCAGCGGTCATGGTGATTGGAGTGACCCTTTACTATAGTCTTTAAATTTCAAATAGAAGGCCAAAGTAGCCGCACTGGTAGCAAAGCTCACTGTAGCCACCTCAGAGGCGTAGCTGGGGAGGGGGGGGTAGAGTGCACCGGGTGTCACTTTTTTGGAGGCAGCTCTGGAGCCTTGCGTCTCACGTAAAAGTACCCCCCCAGGACCGGAATATTTCACAGTGGCTGCGGCATTTGGGTCGTACAGCCCAAATGCTGATATTACTACAAGGTAATCAGGGGGTCACCTTAGGGGCACAGGCCAAACAACAGGCTGGAGAATACAGTGCTCCTCTTCTAAAGCTCACTTCATTTAGTATGGCCAAGCTCTGCCAGCACCTCTTTCCAGTCCAGCGGCTCTGGAGCATGCAGCAGGCATATGAATCACATCCTATGCTTGCTCCCTGTATTCCTCACAGAGTGGCGGCAGCTTTGCGATGATACCGGATGGGAGGGGCTGTAAACTCACAGACCGTTCCAGGCTTTAAAAGCTCTAGATATGCCACGGAGCAACCCTAAATGTATCTACTCTATGCCCAGGCTTTATCTTGTCTGAACTAGATTATGTTGTCATTTGGAAAGACTTAAAGCAGTTCTGTCACTGTCTAGAGTTTTTGCATAATTTGCGGAGATCGTGAGAGTGACGGCTCTGCTGGCAGTGCAGTGGCCATTGGGGTGTAGGGGAAGGCCAGTTTTACGTACATGAACTTGTCACAAGCGCACATGGTACCATCTTCTTCCTGCCAGGAGCAGACGTCAGTGTAATACTCTCGCGTATAACAATGACGTCTATGGAGACATTGGGATACTCAATAGAATCTTTTTTCCCCACACTAGTGACAGCTGAGGACTTGGCAAAAGGATGCTCCACCTTTTATCCATACTTTTAGTGCGAAAACAGAGTGGTAGACCGCGTCACAGAGGAATTGGAAATAGTTAAATAAAAAAAAGTGATGTATACATACATACAGGGTATTCCAACAATATAATGGTAGGTATAAACCTTAAAGAGATATAAATTAAGACAATAATAGTGCAGTATGTCAATTTAAAACAACTTTTGGATAAAATATACGGAAATCCAGCAGAAAGGCTAACTCACACTTTCCAGAGCTACTGAGAGCTCTACTGTATTGCGCCTGGACGGTATGATCCCAGTCTTAGGATATAGGAATAGTAGTGAGATGTAGCTTCCAGAGCTCCACGATTGTGCATTGAACAAAAACACAAATAAAATCCAATAGTGTAGTATGTACTATAAATAGTATATAAAAGAAAGGGTAAGTATCCTACTTACAATTTTCAGAGCAATAAACTTGCTCTGGTGATGAAGGCTTGTGGTGGTATAATCCCCACCAAAGGATATAGGCAGGATCCAAAGTGCACCAGGAACAAAAGGTAAACCAAGAAGAAGAGTAGGAAACCTTTTGTTCCTATATCCTAAGACGGGTATCACTTTTTTAATTTAACTATTTCCAATTCCTCTGTGGCGCGGTCTACCACTCTGTTTTCGCACTTTCTGGTTTTTAGCAGGTATTGGGAAGTCCTGCTGGTTCACTGCTGCCGTACATTTAGTTATTTTAGAGAGCGCCTACACCTGTTTTTTCTAGTCATTACTTTTACTATTTTTAAGAAACTCTCAGTCCAATAAATACTCATTTTGGATGTGGGGGTGACTGCATTAAAGGACCACTATAGGCACCCAGACCACTTTAGCTTAATGAAATGGTCTGGGTGCCTGGTCCATCTAGGGTTAACCCTTTTTTCTATAAACAGCAGTTTCAGAGAAACTGCTATGTTTATATTAGGGTTAATCCAGCCTCTAGTGGCTGTCTCATTGGCAGCCGCTAGACGGCTTCCGCGTTTCTCACTGTGAAAAATCACAGTGAGAAGACGCCAGCGTCCATAGGAAAGCATTGTGAATGCTTTCCTATGGACTGGCTGAATGCGCACGCAGCTCTTGCCGCGCATTCGCATTCAGCCGAAGAGGAGGAGGAGAGTCCGGCGCTGGAGAAGAGGTAAGTTTATCCCCTTCCTCTCCATCCAGCCCGGCGGGAGGGGGCACCCTCAGGGCACTATAGTGCCAGGAAAACAAGTATGTTTTCCTGGCACTATAGTGGTCAATTAAATAGAAGTTTTACAGAAAACGGAGAATCACATGAAAACGTGGATAGCATAAGTTCTAAATGTTTTCAGAGGTGTAAATTACAGAGAAGTGACCGTCCCCTCTTAAATGCAGAGGTTAAAGTGCATTAGACATGCAATGGTACTCTTCACATTGTGACAACAAAATTATTAGCAAATGTACAGGTAAAAAAATATTTTCTTTCCTCCACCCCTGCTAGCACTGTGTAAGGATATTGTTAGCCTACACAAATTACCAGCAAACCTAAGAGATTACCATATATACTCGAGTATAAGCCGACCCGAATATAAGCCGAGGCCCCTAATTTTACCCCCAAAAAACTGGGAAAATGTATTGACTCGAGTATAAGCCTAGGGTGGGAAATGCAGCAGCTACTGGTAAATTTCTAAATAAAATTAGATCCCAAAAAATTACATTAATTCAATATTTATTTACAGTGTGTATATAATGAATGCAGTGTCTGTATGAATGCAGAGTGTGTATATAACGCAGAGTGTGTATATAACGCTTCTAACGTGTACCCAGAGATGTATTTACCACAAGGCAAAGAAGGCATTTGCCTAGGGCGGCACCCGAAAAATGCCACCCCAAGCTCCCAGACAAATGCCTTGTGTTCTGGTGAAGTCCACTTTACTGTGAGTGTAGCTGTCAGTGTGTGTGCATGTCATTTTAAGTGTATCTGAGAGTGTGTGTTGCCAATGACTGTGCATCTGTCAGTGAGTGGATATCAGTGCATGTATCAATGAGGGCATGTGTCTGTCAGACAGAAAAATGGCCTTGACACGAAAGGGGAGAGGGAGGCAAATTTAGATTTTAGGGGAGTTTACGTTTCCAACAGGTAACTGAAGGTATACTGCAGTATTCGTAAGTGTAGTAGTGCCATAAGTACCTCCATTCAAGTCAATATAAAAGATCAGAATTGTCAGGGCTGTAAGGCTTTCAAAAGGAAAAAGATTGCTCAATACATGTGACACTGAGTGCACCACATTCGCAATGCTTCAATTCAAATAAATGGGAATCCAAATACTTTTTTCAGCCTCTACCCAACTAATGTGCTGGTTTACATCATGTTAAATTCATAGGGCCTGCACATTAAGATATGCATAATGGGTTAAATCCTTCACCAATACTTTTTCTTGAAAGATTATGAGCACCACTTACCACAGCACATAAGCCATTGTTTTTAAGCCATATATGCAAAGAGAGAAACAAATGTGTAATCTGAAACACGTAATTTCTTTAATTGTCTTTACTTCACAAAGAATGGCATGTCAGGATTATCTTAATAGAAAACATTCCAAGCACCATAACCACTACAGTTTGGTAGAGTCACTATGGTTCCAGGAGCTTTCCCCCACTATACAGAAAGGAATTAAACCATTCTAGATCGGTTTGACTTCTTTTCTTTGGCCCTACGGGCAGTGCTCGCCAGATCTACTACGAGCATAGAAGTGCTGGAAACTCCTAAACACAAACGTCTCTTAGTTCCAAGCAATGCGTGGCTTAGTTCATTGACAGAGAGAGATCAGCTGACACCCTCAGCGAATGAGCTAGCAGATCAAGAGAGCCAAGAGAAGCTACTACGGTTCTTTTAGTTTGCTGTAGTAAAGGTGGCGTATGACGTCCAACAGACCCTGGTGAGTATTCAAACTGGGGACGCCAATCCCCCGTGCACCATAACCAGTGCAGAAAGTTGTAATGGTTGTGGTGCTTGAAGTATTCCTCAAAAGTTCACAGAGCTAAAAAAGTTACCTTGTATGAGCCATGTATGCGAGTGTGTATGCCAGATGGTTTGAAAGTAGCATTGATAACGGCAGTCTTCTTTAAAGTGAAACAACATATATAAAGGCTCAGCATTATCAGATTTAGCACAGATATGACCAACAATGGTCTTTGCTACCACATATAGAGCGATCAGTACTAAACCTTCACAACTGCCAATCATTCTGCCAAAAAAAACAGGAACCACTAGTAATTTCAACTAATTCCTGGAAGTTTCAAAAAAAATATTGTAAGATTCAAATTCACATATGCTCACTCTTTTGGACTCATGCATTTCATGGCCCAAGTAACTCATTCTACCTGTTATAAAAACTCATACACCACTGGAAGTATAAAACAAAGTTATTCACAAAAGTGAGAATTCAATTTATGCCAAAGTTGCTGAACGTGACGTATAGCCGACAATTTGTCTAGTTTTGTATTTTCCAGCCTTAAAAAAAAGTGCCCCCTCCCCCCATCACCCTCCCCCAGGTTGTAAAACAGGTTAGAAACCCCTTCTGTCATTTACCTTACCCTTATTACAGTGCCGATGTCCCTCAGACACTAGATGTGGAGGTAATCCTCAAAAGTAAATATTGCAGTTTATTAAAAACTTCAAAAATTACCACTGAAGGGTTAAGGAACCTGGGACACTGAACTGAAGTGGTCTGGGTGCCTACAGTGTCCCTTTAATTTGAATTCTCACTTTACTAAATAGTCATGTTAGTTTTCCAGTCTCTCACCGAGCTTACTCTGTGTAAACCATGTACTACATGATCTTCACACTAAGCATTTTATCTGACCACATCCTTCTGAAATCAATGGTTCTCCATCCCATGTACCACCTTTAGCCAAGTCCCCTTTCGCTAAGACGTTAATTCAGTCACAAAAACCTATATCATCAGAATTGCATAATGGATGAGCATTCCAGCTGTTAAGAACTACAGCTTCAGTTATAGCCTCTGGTATAGATTGACAGGAAGATATCCTAGCTCTCCCTGTACTCACTTTGTCTTCTCTCACACACACCAACTGCTGTACATAGGAAGCTGACCTGTATAGCTAAGTTACTCCATGTACAGAGGGCTGCTCGTGGGGTCCTGCAAGGTAAGTTAGGGTTACTCTGACATAGTACAAGATTAAGGAGCGCACTACAGCACAGGGAGTTCAGGCATTTACAGTTAAAAGGGACACACTACAGGTCAGCGTAGTAGTTCTGTTACTTCACTGTCCATACCTGTCCCCTATAGGATCAGTCCCCCTTGGTTACCTGTCCCCTATAGGATTTGTCGCCCCCTGGTTACCTGATGCCTATAGGATCTGTCCCCCCCGGTTACCTGTCCCCTATAGAATCTGTCGCCCCCCTCCAGTTACCTGACGCCTATAGTGTCTGTCGCCCCCCCGGCTACCTGTCCCCTATAGAATCTGTGTGTGTCCCCTGGTTACCTGTCCCTTATAGAATCTGCGTCCCCCCCTGGTTACCTGCCGCCTATAGTGTCTGTCCCCCCCTGGTTACCTGCCGCCTATAGTGTCTGTCCCCCCCTGGTTACCTGCCGCCTATAGTGTCTGCCTCGTTGGCCAGGAAGGAAGCCTATATAGTGTTCGTTCCACCCCGTTACCTGCCGCCTATAGTAGTATCTGTCCTCTCCAGTTACTCTGACGCCTATAGTGTTCGCCCTCTGCTACCTGACGCTTATAGTGCCTGCCCTCCGCTACTCTGACGTTTCTATAGTAAATGCCCCTGGTGCTACTAGCTTTATAGTGTCTGTCCTCTCGTTACTTGACTTATAGTATTTCCGTCCCTCCCCGGCTACCTGACGCCATAGTGTCTGCCTCCCCTGTTACCTGGACGCCTATAGTGTCTGCCTCCCTCCGCTACCTGACCATAGTGTCTGCCCCCTCCGTTACCTGACGCCTATAGTGTCTGCCCCCCCCGTTACCTGACGCCTATAGTGTCTGTCCCCCCCTGGTTACCTGAAGCCTGCAGGGTCTGTCCCCCCCTGGTTACCTGAAGCCTGCAGGGTCTGTCCCCCCCTGGTTACCTGAAGCCTGCAGGGTCTGTCCCCCCTGGTTACCTGATGCCTGCAGTGTGTCCCCCCCTGGTTACCTGAAGCCTGCAGGGTCTGTCCCCCCCTGGTTACCTGAAGCCTGCAGGGTCTGTCCCCCCCTGGTTACCTGAAGCCTGCAGGATCTCTCTCCTCAGTCCCCCCGCATACTCGATCAGTTCCTCCAGGCTCCTCTCGCAGTGCTGTCCATACCCCCCGAATTTCTGGAGCACCTTGTCCAGCTCCCTCTCCACCGTCACGCACTGATCCATGTCCCCGAGGCAGGAGGCTGGAGCGGGGCCCGGGGTGGCCGGGCGGGGGGGCCCCGGGACAGCAGCCTCCTCTTCCTCGGACAGCAGCAGTAACAGCTCCTCGGCTCGGGCCGGACCGGCCCCCGCCACAGCCAGCCGGAGAGGAGAGTGCGGGGCCCTGGGGGAGGTGGGGCCCCTCGGGGGTGGGGAGGGGGCCCTGGGGGAGAGTGCGGGGCCCTCGGTGGGCGCTCTGTGTCCCGGTGTGAGAGCCCGGCCCCCGCGGTGTCAGTCACAGTCCGCTGTACCCGGTGTGTCCGTTATACCCGCTGTGTCCGCTATATCCGGTCGCGCGAGCCGCTTGTTATTGTTTTTAACGGAGCTCAACGTTGACCTGCTTTCCCCGGACTGTACCACTGCGAGCCGGGGGGGGACACCGTGACTTCCGAGGCCGTCCTGCCCTCACCAAACTGCGGATAAAGGACACCATCTCCGCCGCCTGCAGTGCGGGTCTTCCTGTCAGCCTGTCAGGGAATACCGCGGGCTCCGCTCAGCCTCCACTGCGCCGCTCAACCCAACACCTCAGACACGGAGCTCCCCCTGCCTGGCAGCCGCTCAGTGGTTTGTCCCAACTGCTGACATCACAGCGTCTCGAGCGCTTCCTCCTCGCTCACAGCGATCATTGCGTCCAGGGTTTTTTTTTGTTTTTTTTTTCTATTTAACATCCGGGTCCTCGATAGTGTTGTTGCTGGGCGTGGCTTCACAAGCTGCCCTTGCCACGTCATCGTGGGCGTGGCTTCGTGCTGCTCCTTGCCAAGAGCTTTGGTTGTTGTGGAGCCCATTGAGTCCTGTGTCCCTCCCTGTCTGCAGTAACACTGACAGAGAGGGATTATTCTCTAAATAACTGGGGGCTGCGCATTTAAACGGACACTAAGCACCACAACCACTACACGTTAACCCTTAAGGACCAAACTTCTGGAATAAATGGGAATCATGACATGTCATGTGTCCTTAAGGGGTTAAAGGGTTACGCCAAGCACCATGACCACTTCATTGCTTTGAAACGCCGCACATACATAGAGTAACCCCTTAGCTACCAATGTTGTAACACAATTCTGTACAAAACGGGCGCCTGACACCGGCACCAACCTATCGTTTCTGTAAGTTCTCTTGTAATTGTCCTATTTATAGTTACATCCCCCCCTCTCATAATATTGTAAAGCGCTACGGAATCTGTTGGCGCTATATAAACGGCGTTAATAATAATAATGGAGTCAGAGAGCTAGTGGCGGCATGGTTCCCCTACCCCTCTGTGCCGCCAACAAGGGTGAGCGCAGTCAGGCAAGGAGGATCGTGCCGCAGGGAGAACGTGGACCGAGGTGTGTTTTGAGGAAGGCAGTGCACACCTCAGTAAGGGTTACTTTAACCAAAACCTTTATATTACGATAACACTTTTTTTTGTTTCAAAATGATTTTTGGAAAAAGATGACGACAACCACAAGGGACAGCTTCAGGTAAGTAAAAACTCCCTTCCATAGAACCCATCAGGAGTTGTCACCTTTCTGGGGTCTTTGTAAAATATGCAAAGACCCCCGAAAGTGACAGAACACCTTTGATGCAAAGAGACCATCCCTGCCCTCTTTCCTTGGTAAATACTACACATGGACCTCTGGTTGGAGAGAGTCTTGAAGAACCGAAAGCTAGTCTCCATTCACTTCTTGTACAGAAGAGAAGACTCATTGATTGTCTGACTCAAGATGTGTGTGTGTGCGTATAGTAAAGGCAGGGACGAGTGTTTCTAATTTTCTACCTATGCTTCATTAATAACATATATATAAAGAATATATATATTCTTTCAAAACTTGATGAAAGCAGATGACAAAAGTAAATAAAATCTTGGAATTTCTTGGAGGGTCACCTTATGCACATTTAAAGTTTATCATAACAAAAAGTTTAAATCAGCTTAAAACAAATAATTCCTGAAGGGCGATTCTTTTCGACATGTCTTCCGAAAGCCATCCACATATAAAACCATTCGATTCCATTGCACTATGAAAATAACTATTTCCATACTTTCACATGTCAATACCTGCTAGGTTGAACAACTGCTTCACAAATCGAGCTAGGGTAGTTGAAGGAACCAGAATATGAGGATCATGGGACTAAATTAATAAAAGTTCACCCATGTTAGGGTGACAAACTTTGGTTCGATCTTCAGATAACAAAATGCATAATATTGAACACAATTTACTCTTTAGATAGGCAAAAGTGGACGGGGAAAAAAAAAAAGTTGTTTTTGTTCTCTATTAAACGTAATTCCATGAGGAGTGAAGGGCTGAACTCTGAAATCAAGAGATTGAAGCTGGAAATTAGACAAGCCGAAAGTTGAGTATGAAAATGGTCTGAATTTTTTCATCACTGAGTCAAGAAATAAAGGAGTACATTCACATACCAGGAAAAATTATATTTGGGTTTAGGATGTCTAGAAAGTGTAGCTCCATTTAATAGTCAACAAACAGATGGGTGTTTATCAACCAAAGTTCGTACCACACCATTGTTGCAATCCAAAATAGAAGACATAAAAGTTTTAATGTCCTATACGCTTTCCCGTTAGACGAAACAAGTTAATCTTGGATGCATAAACCATTGCAGGTCAAACAAGTTGAGCTTAGATCCATTGATTAGTGCAGATCAAGCAGGTTAATTTTGGATCCATTGACCAGTGCGGATCAAATAATTGACCTTTCAATGCACCCACTAGCCTAGATCTAGTTCCTGGTGCCCATGACTGCTGAAGAAGAACTAAAGTTGTGTCCAAAACAAATTCTGTCAAACTAGGTAATGGGAAGTCCAGTTTGGATCCAGAAAAAGACAAGGATAAGGTTATATCAACTGTGGAAGGTCTATCTCTAGAAGTTAAGAAAACCAAACATATGGATGCTAAAACAGCGTGATCAATATCAAAGTTGCATTCTGCTTCCTGACTTAAAAATTGATTCTCGCCATCTTTTGTTAAACGAAGAAAGCGTAGTTCTAATCTGCAGACCAATCCTGTAGAAAAGCATCCACCACCAGTGCTTCCAGATCCAATCCAGTCTGCATATTGCCCTCCTTGGATTAATCTGCTGGTCTCTCATTCTATCACATGGAGGAGCAGTTATAATTAAAATCATGTTTTTGTGTAAATTGGAATGTACTCATAATATACCATTTCCTCAAATATAAATTCACATTGTTGGTTCTAAGAGAGTAACCACCTAAGTTCTATGTTGCACATGTTGTTTATGTTAGAATGGAAAATAGATTTGTAAAAAAATCCTTTTCACCTGCGACAAAAGGAATTAAATTCCTGTTAATCTATGCCCAAACGAATCAACACACTGGAATTTACATGACAGATCGATTCGTTCAGACGTAGATTAACAGGAATCTGATATATTTGTCGCAGATGAACAAGTCTAATGAAAACCATGCATATTGAAGACGTGTCCAGCATAATAAAAGTGTGTGATATACTCAGCCTTTTTTGCTGGGGGCTAAACTTCGGAATTAATTATCAAAATGCTTTCAAAAACCAAATACCAAGATTGCTGACTTGACATCAAATTGGTTGCTCTCTTGTTATTGCTGAGACAGGGAGATAATGAACTCTCTTAGAAATTCCATTACTCAACACGAAACATCAAGAAAACGTCAACATTCCTCATCTCCGCTAATGAAGTCAGGAGAATATTCAGGTTATATTAACCACTATCAAAAGCAAGATAATAAATTTGGATTGAGTGATCTTTTCAAACCTTTATAACGCAAGGTGACCCCGAATAGGTCCAAGGCCCCATATGATTTTATATAAAGTGACAGACAACTTTGGTTAAAATAATGAGAAAAAAAAAAAACTAGATTATGTTTTGTTTTTTTACTTTTTGTAGAAAGAACAAAAAAGAAAAAATTTCGGTAACCCACCGTATTTCAAAAGCAAATATTCTAAGGAAATTAAATTTCATTAGATTTTCAATCCTTCATATTATGTAGAGCCAAATCACAATTTCTTAATGTTGGAACCCCATGTAATGATCTAACTATTCCCTGAGAAGGGGACATTCACAGTTGTTCAGGGATTAAGTCAGAATCAATTCCCAAAAGAGTCCTAATTTAAAGGGATACTCCACAGCTTATTCTAACTTTCCATATTTTTGTATCTATTACCTGGGGACCACTTGGCACTGCTCCCTGCCTCCACTACAGTCTCAGTGAGAACTAAGCCCGACTGACGCTTTCCAGCCTATGAGCTCATCCTGTATGTGAGGGCTTAGCTCAGGATAGCTAATGGGAGTTCATAAGCAGGAGTTTCCGGCTCTACATGTTGCAGAGAGGAGGTGGGTTGTGCTGCCCAGTAAATCACAGGTAAGAAGTCCAACGTTTCTGAAACCATTTGATCACTTATAACAAGGGGTGCCAGGGCACTCATGGCAATCTAATTATCACATTTTGCTGTAGTGGATATGGTGCTTGGCGTGTTCCTTTAAAGAGGGACTGTCACTTTCCTAGAAATTACATCACCAAATAAAATAAAAATCACCTTAATCTTTATTTTCATTAAGTTCTCTAGTTTCTTTTAATGGAACACTCCAAACACCTAAAGCACTTTAGCTTGCTGAAACACTTTATGTGTGAAGAGTATGTCCTCTTTTTTTCATTTTTACAAGAAGTGCAGATTCCAATAGAAATTGGCACTTTAAAAAAAAAAAAAAAAAATAACCTGGTTACTCCCTCCATAGCTGTCAAGCAGACAACCAGTCCTGTTACTTCCTGCTTTGGTTAGCTCAGTGGGCCTAAACTCAAGAGGCAGCAAATGCTCAGAGCACCTGACTTGCAAAGACGTCTTATTGAGCTGCATTAGGAAGTCTGTGATTGGACAGCAACAGAAAGTCTGGGCGGGGTTAGAAGCTGTTTTTTAGATATACTCCCAATGGAAATTATTTTTGCAGCGCAGGATTCCTTTAATAGATTTAGCACGTCATAGCGTCATGTCTGGAGGAACCCAGGCATTGTTCATCCCCTGCAGAATACCATATACAATCATGAAGAATGTTGGAGGTGTATTTCAGTGGCAGTAACTGGGAGACTGGTTAGGGTTGAGGGAGAGCTGAACACAGCAAAATAGGATAACCATTAAAGGAACACTATAGTATAAGGAATACAAACGTGAATTCCTAATGCTATAGGATCCTGTTGACCATTTAGTTCTCTGGCAAACATTAACTGCAGAACTTGAAGCAAAATGAACAGCTTTTGAAGATCTGAAAATGGCTGTCCCGATTCAACCTGACAAAGTACGAAATATCTGCAGAGATGAATGGCAGAAACTACCTAAATTCACGTGTCCAAAGCTTGTCAGATTATACGCAAAAAGACTTGAAGCTGTAATTGCTACCAAAGGTATGATAATGTGATACTAAAGTTTTCTTCCTGTTGAATATTGCAACGGTACAAAATTATATATATATTGATGTGAAAAGGTAATTATTTTTTTTTTTTTTATAGGTAGTAAATTAGATTTTCACCCAGGTCCACCGACTGCACCTTCTTCTGATGCCAATGATGATAAATGACTATAACCCCACTGAGAAGGGGAACTGAAAGGGTCATCTAGTTTGCTTGAATTAACAGAACTCATGAAACTTACACAATGACACATTATGTGCATCCAATTTAATAATGTACAACATATATATATATATAAAAGATATACAAAAGATCTTTTTTAACGGACTGTCAGGTGTACACATGTGGTTTAATGCAAAGAATTAAAATAATTCTCTAATCGGGATATCTGTAAAGAACAGTTCTGTTTTCTAAATCAAAACTTGAAATTCTGGTCGCAGATACTCTTGCTTGCCTTCCAGGTCCAAAATTTTTCATATTTCCTATTCATTTTATTGCATTGTATATTAAGGCGGCACTGTCACCATTAGGAGCCTTTCATAATTTGCAAAGGTTTCCGATGGTGACATGGCTGCTGGTGGTCCAGGGACTGGGGGGCAAGGAAACATGAGATTTACTTACTTGAAACTGTCCTTTGTAGGCATTGCCATTTTCTTCTGGCCAGTCCTCTTCTGCTCACCAGGAGCAGAGTTTACTCCCGTGCTTTCGCGTATGCAGAGGATCACAGCATTGAGGTCGCTGGAGGATTCCGCTGCTCAATATTTATACAGCAGATACAACTGGTGACAGCTGGCAGATTGACACTTTTAGACTTGCGGTAGCTCCGCCTATTGTTAGAAGTCTAAGCCTTAGGAAATATGCCAAGTACTAGTCCCTACTTTGTCTTGTCTCATATCTTTTGAATGGGTTGGAATTTCAGTGAAATTCCAAAACAGTTAGTATGAGTATTTCATATAGGTTTTATATTTATGAAATCTTATTTTGCACGGGATAGGGGTGGGTGGGAGAGAGAAGGGGGAACGACAGTGCCGCTTTAACGTCTTGGGAGGGATAGAAACATTTCTATTTTTAATAGTGTTTACTATTTCTAAATTTTAGTGTTTTACATAAAAAGCATATGATTTATCATCTGTAAATGTGACCATGAGTGACAGTGCTTACAAAAAAAAAAAACACTACTCAAATTTACAAATAAATTAGTTTAAAGGGAAATACTGCTTTCTCAATGTATTGTATTTATATAAAAAAGGCTACAGGTCTAGTCCTCTCAGTTTTGAGGAACTGTCACTTGAGATTTTAGCACAACAAAATCATGTAAAACTAAAACTTGGCTATCGTTTTTGCTAACTTTTTTTGTTTGTTTTTCTAGATTTTAATTTATATGCTTTGCCTAGCAGACCAGGTAAAACACGCAAATTAAAAGGAACACTGTAGACATTATAACCATTTCATATCACTGAATTGGTATAGTATCTGGAGTTCTCTGGCACTGTCTCTCCATTCAGTGCTAAATCATTTTTGACCAGCTTTAAAAATTAACAAGGGTGCTTGGCTTACCATAGCCCCACCCCCACTGGAGGTATAGCTATGGCAGTGATTATACTCTTCCTTCTAACCATACCCATTCATACCAGCAATGGGCACTGTGATACGCTGAAAGCAGTCTGCTGATACTCTCAGCCAATCACAGATGATCACTGCTGCTCAGGCAAATCCATCCTCATTAGCCAGAGCAGTCCAAGGAGGACACATATAACATTAAAATCGGTTTAACAGTGAATGGTAGGATAACGCCAGTGGACTCCAGGCACTATAACCACTTCAATGAGATTAAGCAGGTATGGTGCCTTCAATGTCCCTTTAACTAAGATGGCTCATGCACTACCACATCACTGTTGGAGAAAGCACTAGGTGTGTGTTCTCATTCTCATAAATAATTTCTCAGTAGATGTCCGAGCATGCTTGAGGCAACGTGGGGTGGAATATTCGCTAAGAACATCAAAGTGCAGCAGAGATAAGTTGTTGTTTTTTTGTTTTGTTACATTTACCTCCACTGCTTTATTCACTCTAATAAATGCAGCAATAATGTTTAGTGGGGTAAACGAACAAGGAGCTGTCATATCTTAAAAAGTTACCATTATGCTTTAATGCATTACAGATATATATATATATATATATATACACACACACACACACACACACACACACAAAGATACTCTGAAGTTCCTGCATTTGCCGCAAATCAGAGTCATTGCAGCTTTTTGACTGCGCTTATGCAAGAAAAATAAATAAGAAACATTTACATTATGGGTAAAAAAAATAATTAAAGTGACAGTGTGAGAACAATGACGATGTGCAATAGCAAAATGTAAACAAGGTTTATGTTGAGAATTCAAAGAGAACTTCAAATTTAAGGTCAAAACAGCCAAACTGAAAAAAAAAAAAAATCAACTATACTTCCAGTTCATAAAAAACAAGTTGGTATCAAAAAGAATATACACAATAATATATAATAAAAGACAAGTAAAAATGTAAATATTAAAAGTCCAAAATAATAATCCACAGCCAATAGAGTAGATTCTTGTAGATCAGTGGTGGTTTATATTTTCCAATGGAGACTTGTATTTTCAATAGGCCATATGTGGAGAGAATTATTCTACTTGAAGAAGCCTATTGTGGCGAAACGCGTTTAGAATCTTATTTTATTTGTTTTATATTATTGTAATAAAGGAATTTTGGCCTCAAAAATACACTTGTTGTAGCCACATTCCTAATATTATTACATTTTATATTTTTAATCCTCTTAAACCTGACTATTTGGATTTACACCGTTTTAAGGAATGTCAAAGAATCCCTAGGTGGGGATTATACCACCCATACGCTATTAACTGAGCAGGAAGTCTGCTCAGTAGATTGTGAGTACATTTCATATTTTTTTTTTTTTATCTACACTCCAGTTATTCAGTGAGCACTATATATTTTATTCTTTTTTATTCTCGGTTGGAACTCCTGAGGAATTACTACTCCATATATCCTTGAGTGGGGATCATTCCACTTTACGCACTTCATACCAGAGCTGGATTTTAGCTCTGGAAAGTGTGAGTACATTATATTATTTTATAAAATATATATATATATATATATATATATATATATATATATACATACTGCACTATTGGATCCTCTTAATTTCTCTCCACATATGGCCTATTGAAAATACAAATCTCCATTGGAAAATATAAACCACCACTGATCTACAAGAATCTACTCTACTGGCTGTGGATTATTATTTTGGACTTTTAATATTTACATTTTTACTTGTCTTTTATTATATATTATTGTGTATATTCTTTTTGATACCAACTGTATTAAAGGCGCGCCCTCTTTGTTTTTTATGTTCTAATTTATTGTAGGGGATAGGAGGGTACTTCCCCTTTTAGGTGTGCGGCCTTTACACCACTCTATATACCTTTATTTGTGAAATTATTAGCGCTGATCCTAATTTGATTTCTTATACTTCCAGTTCGTCTACTTTGGCCTTAAATTTGAAATTCGCTTTGAATTTTCTCTTTAGTATATAATCCTGAAAGTCAATGGTAATGGGCATTACTTAAGTAGAAGCAGATTCACTTTCTCTTCCAGGTTCCGGAGTCTTTGGCCCTGTTGAACCAACTCTTTATAAATTTTTTGGAGGGTTCCACAAGTACAGGGGGAACTTTGTTTGTACTCTTCAACAAGACCTTGTACTGCAATTGCTGTCCCTTCCTCCTCGTGTTGGGCAACTTTTGCAGCACAATACTCTTCCTGAACATGTTCATCTACCTTGTATGCTGCCTGCAAGTGTTCATGAGGAGCAAAGTCATCAAGCATCACTGTATCTGGCTCTTCATCCTTTGGGATTATGGTGATCGTAACATCAGGCTGTTCAAAGGCTACAGCTTCCACATCAGTGTAATCAGTCATTCCTGCTGCTTCTATCACATTCCCTTCTGTAGCTGTAACTGTAGCTAATTCTTCTACGTCCTTGTGATTTCTCTCTACAAATGTAAATATTTGTGAGCGATATACAATTTATAGCATGAATCTGTAACATTGCACTCTAAGAACTTGTAAATGTATGTTTAAAGGACCAATGAAGTGTCTGGGAGCAGTGGTCCTGTCATGTTAATTCTGCAATATAAACATTTTTTTAGTTTTCTAGAAACCGCAAAGCTTCCATTGCATGGTTAAATATTCTTCTGGTGGTTATCACTAAAAGGCGCTTCCGCCATGAGAACCTAATCAAAGTCATTTCTCAATCAAATGCTGCGCATGTTCACTAGCCTTCCAATGCTCCCATACGGAGAAGAATTTGATTGGCTGAATTCATCAATCTTGATCATCTTGGCCAGGAAGACTGAGAAGCCACAGCTTGATCAGCCACCTAAAAAGGAATACATATGTTCCTTTAAGCTTTAAACATAACATATGTATTCCTTTTCAAGCTGTGGCTTCTCCGTTGATTTTTTTAATACAACACGATTTACTTCTTGGACAAAATCCATTGAGTGCTCTCATTTTTTCTATCTTACACACACATACAAAATAAACAATCCAGCGCACTCGCTTATTCACTAAACAATGATTTTTAAATCTTACAGATTGTAATAGTTTTATTTTAAAACACCTCACCTTTGATTTAAAAACATCTCACCTAGGCAAAAAATAATGGGGGAGTCCAAGTAAGGAAGTATTTCCCAAGTAAGTGGACTGATCTCATAAGGGCAGGCATTAGGCTGCTAGAGTAGGACCTGCCAAGAATGGGGTACATTGACGTTGTGGCAGGCTTATGCAATGTATGATCATATAATGTAACTAAGCCCCCGTTATTTTTTGCCTAGGTGAGGTGTTTTAAAATAAAACTATTACAATCTCTAAGATTTAAAAATTGTTTAGTGAATAAGCGAGTGCGATGGATTGTGTATTTTGTATATTTTGGCCCTAGAAACACCCTATAATCTATGCATGTTCAGGTGAGAGCAGCCCTCCTGGATAGATAGAGATATATATATATATATATTTATTTATTGCCAAGCCACTGAAAGTTCTGGACGTTTCAAAACTGCTATAAGCAAAGCAACGTCTTCATCCAATGCTGGCTGTCTTGCTGGCGGCAGTTTAGTTCATCCAGTGCTCTCAGGGTCTGAAGGTTGTTCATACACTGATAAGGAAGTCACTGTTCAGAATGAAAGGAATAAGACTTATGCTGCACAATTCTATAAAAATATTTTTTTTCGGCGGGCATGAGAGGCGTTTGCTGCATAGTGGAATTGGTACTGTCCATATGTTCAGCAGAAGGAGATCAATTTCCCTATTATGGACTATTATTCACTGTTGCTGAAACGGCTTCTTAAAAACTGACTTAAAAACCAAACAATTTGTTCTCTGCTTGCACTGGCCCTAGAAGACTATATTTTATTGTTCCATATCACAATATGTAAAACTATTGGTGAATTTGCAAAAAAATAAATAAAAGTAGTCAAAACATAATCTCTAGAGAGCACAATGCTGAAGTATCTGAAAGGAACTTTTAAAAGCTGGATCCTATCAGAGAAACTAAACAAAAACATTAAATTACAATATTAAACTAAGTATGTATGGTTTGCATGCTCTCACTGATGGAAATCTGATAGGTTTGAAAGAGGTGCTAAAGATCATTTAAAAGAGATAGTTAGTGTAATAGTAATAAACAGAAATATTCACCACCAGGTTCAGATAGTTAAAATAGACCTTTGAAACTGTTTCGAGCATGTACTTAGCTTGTATTATCAACTTATATTAAAAAAAAAAAAATTGTGCGTTCTCAGAATGCTATACAACTATTAACAAATAAGTGTTATGAAATTGTTGGCGAATGCTGTTGTGGCATTGTCGACATGCAAATGTTATTTCATGCACAGCAAAAATAAAGAATAAAAAAAAAAAATTAGACATTTGAATAAAAATGTATGTTTTAAAAAAATCCATGTGATGTAAATAAACACAGTGGCTATACTTACTTCTATTTATGTCCATCTGCACTTGCAGCAAAAAATCAGCTTCCCTTCTCTTCATGTCCGACCAGCGCTTTTGGAGTTGACGGACGCTCCTCTTAACTCCGCATTTGTGCTCCAACCTATTAGACAATGCTACCATAATACGTCTTTTAATTGTGCTAGTGTAGCGTGTCCCTGTTGGAAGATTGTCATATCTTTGTTTTGTAAGAAACTCAACCATATAGTAGAGCTCTTCTTGCCCAAATGACGACTGCTCCAACATGCATGATTTTTTTTGACGTGGCATCGTTGAACTGAAAATTGTTAAGACTATGGGCAGCGATTAGCCAATTTCACCGAAGCAATTTTTGTAGAAAAAAAAAAAAAAAACTTTCAAAACCCTGTTCCTTTTTTCCTGCTCTTTCCTTGCCAATGTTGCACAACCTTTCCTCTCTCCCACAAGCAAAAGTGCTCACATTGTGTTCGCCAAACTTAACTAACCTGTTGTGGTTTTTTGATCTTCCTCCATTCTCCAGGGTGCCACTGCATACTACCTGCTGGGGTCACTGACACTTAAAGAGAACGAGATAACACGGATCAATTCTTACCCACGAATAAACAGTTTTATAAAGCGTAATAAATAATATGACATCTAACAAGAAAATGGATTTTCACTTTCTATTTCCTAGCAAACTTCTTGTTATATTTGTATTTTCTTACCTCTCCATTAGAATGGGTTTAATGGTCTATATTGGGAGAGGGGGCTTATTTCCAATTAGAGGGTTTTTTTGTTTGGTTTTTAAATGGGCAAGTTACAGTGATCAATATGATAATCTATATGAATAATACAGCTACAGATTTATATAAGTTCTGATTATAGCCCCCCTCTCACCCTTCTAAGACCATCCTCCCTTCAATGCTGACATCCCACTAATCCCTGATTTTACCACCCCATGCTGCCTAACATGTCACACCAGGTGTGGAATGCCAGCTCCAGCAATGTGATACATTACATTCTGGGTCCTCTGCTAGTCACGTGGGATGGTGCACTGGCCGCTCTGTCTCTCTCCGCACAGTCTCTATGATCAAATGTTTTGGTACGGTCTATCTTTTTCTCCGCCTGCTCTCTGTGGTCACTTCGCTGGATACTGTCTATCCGCTTAGCCACGTCTCTATGCTCTTCTCCCCTTTCCCATACATAACGCACGCAGCCGAGGGGTGGGCGTGGTTAGGGTGACGACACAGCTGTCTTGGCTGCTCAGCTGATCGCAGCCCCGTATCCAGCTCCCGGATCTGACCCCGGGCTCCCCCCCCCCAGCAACAGGACTGCCAGCCTGGAACACAGGGCACCACCGGGCAACCAGCTACCTACCTGGCATCTCCCTAGCAACCAGAGCTGGGACACACCTACCTGGCAGCCCACCTACCTACCTACAGCCCACCTACCTATAGCCCACCTACCTGCCTACAGCCCACCTACCTGGCAGCCTACCTACAGCCCACCTACTTAGAGCCCACCTACCTACAGCCCACCCACCCACCTACCTACAGCCCACCTACCTGCCTAGCAGCCCATCCACCTGGCAGCCCACCTACCTATAGCCCACCTACCTGCCTACAGCCCACCCACCTGGCAGCCCACCTACCTACCTAGCAGCCCACCCACCTACCTATAGCCCACCTACCTACAGCCCACCTACCTGGCAGCACACCCACCTACCTACCTGTCATCCCACCTACCTACAGCCCACCCACCTACCTGCCCCAGCATGGACAGGGAGCCCCTGCACTGGACATCACAGGCCTTTATAGCTCCCCTGCCTGGGTTACCCACATTGGGGCAGGATTGAGGGGGAGGGGGGCAGCTACTAAAACTCCCCAGCTGGGCCTCAGGGACTATTATTATTGTTGTTATTAATAATAATGTTATTATAAGAACCTGCAGGAAGCCCCAGGATAGTGGGCACAGTCCAGGTTTGACAGTCATTGCAGGGATAGCTCCAGGATTGTCATGTATATGATTTGTATGCATGGATTACCATAGGGACTTATTGTTTTAATATTAGCCATAAATCCCTCCTGGGATAACCTGCTGTGTGGCTAGCTCAGTGAGGAGAAGTGTGCCCACCAGGAGACTGCCATTAGGGCCACAGTCTTCCTCTAGTCCCCAAGATATATTATTCCATGTGTCTATTATCCAGACAGCTAATTGTGATAATGACAGGTGAATCAATAGGTTAATTATGGTGTTTGATCGGGTACATGGCATGCATGTGACTCCAGCATAGACAAGTGGTGAGTTGAGTGTATCAGGCACAGGCTGAGCTCCCCCCTTGGAGGTTGCACTCCTCCCCTGCTTACCTGGAAGTCTTTTTTTTTAAGAAACTGGCAAGATGTGGCTGAAGCTGTTTTTCCTTTTGCTGTATTTCCTCATTCTCTTTGTGCTGGCCAGGTTCTTTGAGACCATAGTGTGGTATGAGACAGGTATATTTGCCAGCCAGCTGGTGGACCCTGTGACTTTGAGTTTCCATCAGTTAAAGACCATCTTGGAGTGCCGTGGCCTTGGGTACGCTGGCCTGCCAGAGAAAAGGGATGTCAGGGAACTTGTAGAAAAATCAGGTAATGTTATAATATTAAATTTTAATACTTTTTTTCACAGTGTTTTGTGACAGACATACGTTATATTTTCTTTTCGTATATATAGATGTGTAGACGAGTATCATGGTGACGTTAATAAAATGGTATTTAATTTTTATATATATATAATATATAAAATTGACTTGTGGTGTGCATGAATTACTAGCCGGTATTTAAGCATAATTCACACTAAATTTTCATTATTTATACTCACAACCTAGTATGTTATGTGTATTATTATTTTTGGCCAGCATATTCCAAAGTGTGCTACGAATGGACAAACAAGTGATTTGTTGGCATTTTAGAAACAGAAGATTTTGCGTTACATGCTTAAATAAGCTTAAAGTCTAAAAAGAGTGGGGTATATGTAGACAAAATGAATATAATGTGTATTCTATACAGAGTGTATACCAGTGTAAATCAGCAGTCTTTCATTCTGCTGTGTGTGGCATGTAAACACTCTTGGCAGGATGACTCATAATTAACCCCTTCAGGACTGGACTGTTTTTGCGATGTTTGTGCGTTAAGGACCAGAGCTATTTTAACACTTTTGTGGTGTTTGTGTTTAGCTGTAATTTTCCGCTCTCTCATTTACTCATGTTCTCTCATGTTCCGATACAAATTATATATTGTTTGGTTTTTTTGTTCAGGACAAAAAGGGTTTTCTTTACATACTATTATTTTTATCATGTCATATAATATAATTTAATTTAAAAAAATAATAATAAAATATGATGAAAAATTTAAAAAACAAACACGTTTTTTGACTTCTACTTAAAAAAAATATTTTACTGATCTACAAAATCGAATGAAACAAACTGCTAAATAGATTCAAAATGTTGTCCTGAGTTTAAAAACACCCAATGTTTACGTGTTTTTTCTGCTTTTATTTGCAAGTTATAGGGCTATAAGTACAAGTAGGAAATTGCTGTTTCAAAATGTACATTTTTCAAATGTATCAATAGTGACATTAACACTGTTATGTCATAAATCTCCAAAAAACACCCCACATGTATATATTTTTCTTAAACTACATAACCCAGGGTATTCATCTAAGAATATTTTGATACTATCTATGCAGCCATTTTACCACAAACTTTGCATAGGTAGTTTTTTTTTTTTTCACATACATTGCAATTCAGGTATAAATTCACAGATTCTGTTAGGTGTCACGACCAAACAACACCCCAATATGTGTTCAGCAACATCTCCCGAGTACAGGGATACCCCCCATGTATAGGTGTGTCAGGTTGTCGGTGGGCTAAAAGGCCACATTTGGCAGGCGCGCATATCCGTTTCCCAGCTTGGAATTTTGACATGTAGTCAACCTGCATGCATGTCCTATTTGGGACCTTTTTTTAAGCTGACCAATGTATTTTACCCCCATCAAACCATATATTTTTGAAAAGTAGACACCCTAGGGTATTTCACATGGTGATAGTTTAACACTTTCCATGCACTAATTCTACCACCAGGCTTTGTCAAACATTGAGTTAGTAAATTTTTTTCTGTTTTTTTTTCACACACATTGTACTTAAATTAACAGATCCTGTTATGTGTCACTGCCAAACAACACCCCAATATGTGTTCAGCAATAGTAATGTCCCGAACGGTTCGCCACAGACGGCGAACATATGCGCTGTTCGGTCCACCCACTATGTCATCATTGAGTAAACTTTGACCCTGTACCTCATAGTCAGCAGACACATTCCAGCCAATCAGCAGCAGACCCTCCCTCCCAGACTCTCCCACCTCCTGGACAGCATCCATTTTACATTCATTGTGAAGCTGCATTCTTAGTTAGCTGTCCAGGAGGTGGGAGGGTCTGCTGCTGATTGGCTGGAATGTGTCTGCTGACTGTGAGGTACAGGGTCAAAGTTTACTCAATGATGACATAGTGGGTGGACCGAACAGCGCATATGTTTGCCGTTCGGGACATCACTATTCAGCAGCATCCCCCATGTATAGGTGTGTTGGGTTGTTTGGGGGTCAGAGCCTGACGCCAAGAAGGCATATGCGTTGTGCAAGTTATACATACGCTGCATGTTTTACACACGACTAAAACAAATTACAAACACACAAAAAATAACCCCCAAAACAGACTAAACAGCAATCCCTAAACTAACTCCTGTCACAAAAATCTAATGGAGATTTGGGGGAAGGAAACTGACAGACCAAGACACAGATTTTTAAAACAAATTTAGCCCTTTAAGGGCAAAAAAAAAAATACAGACAGTACAAATGCACTGCTGTAACAGATCTGGCAGGGAAGGGGTTAAAATGATTTTTTTATTCACTTTAGATACTGTATAAAGCTTTGGAACACTTCTGCTGCAACAAACTATCAGGATTATGATCTCTCTCTCGCCTCACTGTGGCAACTGACATTTAATGTGGATAAGTGCAAGATAATGCATCTTGGACGTAAAAACCCAAGGGCAGAGTACAGAATATTTGATAGTCCTAACCTCAACATATGAGGAAAGGGATTTAGGGGTGATTATTTCTGATGACTTAAAGGTAGGCAGACAATGTAATAGAGCAGCAGGAAATGCTAGCAGAATGCTTGGTTGTATAGGGAGAGGTATTGGCAGTAGAAAGAGGGAAGTGCTCATGCCATTGTACAGAACACTGGTGAGACCTCACTTGGAGTATTGTACACAGTACTGGAGACCGTATCTTCAGAAGGATATTGATACCTTAGAGAGGGTTCAGAGAAGTGCTACTAAACTGGTTCATGGATTGCGGGATAAAACTTACCAGGAAAGGTTAAAGGATCTTAACATGTATAGCTTGGAGGAAAGACGAGACAGGGGGGATATGATAGAAACATTTAAATATATAAAGGAAATCAACACAGTAAAGGAGGAGACTATATTTAAAAGAAGAAAAACTACCACAACAAGAGGACATAGTGTTAAATTAGAGGGACAAAGGTTTAAAAATAATATCAGGAAGTATTACTTTACTGAGAGGGTAGTGGATGCATGGAATAGCCTTCCAGCTGAAATGGTAGAGGTTAACACAGTAAAGGAGTTTAAGCATGCGTGGGATAGGCATAAGGCTATCCTAACTATAAGATAAGGCCGGGGACTAATGAAAGTATTTAGAAAATTGGGCAGACTGGTTCTTATCTGCCGTCACATTCTATGTTTCTATGTTTCTCACAAAACGCTACAGAAGAGAGAGGGGCAGAGATCACTGTCAAGGGAAGGGGGTGTCCCCACCCTCAGGGTCCCCCTCCCGCCGAGCTCTGGGGAGAGGAAGGGGTTAAACACTCACCTTTCTCCAGCGCCGGGCAGGGAGCTCTCCTCCTCCTCTCTGCCTGAATGCGCATGCGCGGCAGGAGCTGCGCGTGCATTCAGCGAGTCTCATAGGAAAGCATTCATAATGCTTTCCGATGAACGCTTGCGTCTTCTCACTGTGATTTTCACAGTGAGAAGCACGCAAACGCCTCTAGCGGCTGTCAATGAGACAGCCACTAGAGGCTGGATTAACCCTAACATAAACATAGCAGTTTCTCTGAAACTATGTTTCTAAAAAAAGGGTTTAACCCTAGCTGGACCAGGCACCCAGACCACTTCATTGAGCTGAAGTGGTCTGGGTGCCTAGACTGGTCCTTTAAAGGGACATTATAGGCACCTAGACCACTTAATTTCAATGAAGTGGCCTCTGTGCCATGTCCCTGTCATTTTATCCCTGTAGAACAGAAATGTTTACAATGAGGTTAACAGAGTTAGCATGTCTCACTGATAGCAACTAGAGGCGCTTTCTCCCCAATAGCAGATGTTTATATAGCTAGAGAGAGCACCGAAGCGAGGGGGAAAAATGTAGGTAAATGTTCTTTTTCCTTTATCGAGGGGGTTGCCATAACCATTGAGCAGGTCACTATAGTTTTAGGAATGCATGTTTGTATTCCTAATGCTATAGTTTTTCTTTTAACATTACCTTTTTTTTAATTATTATTATTTTTATTTTTTATTTTATTTTTTTACAGTTAGTGAGGATTTAAATCCCTATTTAAAGGGCTGTATATTACGTTCAGTTTGAGCACTGCATACAGCTTATCTGTCAGTCTGGGATCACTAAAAATGGCCCCAACTGAAAGAGGGGAGCCTCAGGTATCGATTGATACCTGGGAGTCCCTGGTGTGAGCAGGGGTTTAACCTTGCTCACACCAAAATATTAGAATGTTCCGTGCCATTAGTGGAGGAAGGTAACCTGCATTTGTGACTGTTACTTCAGTAAAGTGTTTGCTGTGGTGAAGGGTCTTCTACCTCAAACACCTACTCAATCATTCTTTCCACATTACCGTACATGGGCATGCCCTCACTGGTCCTTGAGCAAAGCATCATGGAGTCACTAATTGTATGCCAAGCAGTGTCTTGAAAGCCTTGCCAAGGAAATTAAAGGACTTCCCTTTTAACTTTTAGTTAGCTAATGGGTTGTGTGACAAATTTACTGAAAACCATTATATTTAAACCTGTTAAGTTTGCATTACGTTTGTCTTTAACCCCATTTGTTTTATTTTACTGCTAACCTTTTCTTGACAATCTAGGATTATATTCTCAAGGGAGTTATTCACTAAAGACCAAATTGTAATGTATTTAAAAACAAATGAGACTAAAACTAGCCAAGATGTGACTACAACTGAGTTGAATGTTTTTTGCTAGAACTGCTTTTCTTTTACCATTTGAATGAAAGTTCAGTGAAAATCAGAGTTTAGAGAATTTATTTCCCCAGCTGGTATATCACAGAGTTTGTTTTAGATAGAATAAGCAGAGATACTCCATCCACACTTGCTTGGCGGATATCAGCCTGTAAACCTGGCAGCCTCCTCCTACAGAGATCAACGACTGCGGTCGCTTTATTTGTCATTGCTCCAATATTTGGGCACCTTATTAGATGCCCTTTCATACAGTGGGTGTACAGGACTCTTGATTTTACTGCAGAATTCAGAAATAAAAACAGCCAATAACGCCAGGAATAGTCTGCGCCTCTCCTTCACTTCCCTAATGAACTAAAAGTGCTTTTGTTTATGGTTTATTAATTTAGTTTTGTGTCTCAGGTTAGTAAGGACAAACTTGCTAGTCCATTCATTTGTAGATTTGTAGAAAAGCAGCTTTTGTTTTTAGTTTGTGGTCCCTTCCTCCCCCTTTCGATGTCTATAAACTCTCACAAGCCCTTCTCTTTATTATCCATGAGGATTTTGTAACAAAAAAGTGTTAAATTTATCTGTGGGTGGTTGTTGTACTGAAGCAACAAGATTGTAAGAGGTTTTATTAAGCTTGCCTAGAAGACAAAGCTTTAATTGTTGTTGGATAACTCTGGGTGACTTTCCCTGTTCCATTCCTGCATACAGATGGGCTTTCCCTCGCCATTTGCAGTGGTCGCACCCTTTAGAACTTCTGAAAGTACCAAGTCCTTTGCGGAATATTTTTTTTCTTTTTCTTTTCCTGTTCCTTGCATATTTAATTTCATTCATTAACCCATTGGTGTCAGGGCATTAAACACAGTTTTTAAAGGAACATTATAGGGTCATAAGAACACCTCTTTTCTCCCCTTAAATAAGTATTTTACTTACCTTTTCTTCCAGCGCCGCCCTCAATCTATCTCACTGGCTGACATCAGAACTGACGATCTCAGCGAATCCAATGCATTCCTATAGGAAAGCATTGGATTGGCTGAGATAGTCAGTTCTGATTATCTCAGCTAAGGGGGCAGAGACAGGGCCAAATGCCTTCCTTGCCAATCATCATCTCCTCATAGAGATGCATTGAATCAATGCATCTGTATGGGGAAAGTTCAGCTTTTCCATGCATAGCATAGTTTCCATGCATAGCACTGATCCAGGAAGCACGTCTAGTGGCTGCCACTGGAAGTGTCCCTAGGGAGCGATATAAACACCGCCTTTTCTCTGAAAAGTCAATGTTTACATAAAAATGTCTGTAGGGACTGGATATAGACACCAGAACAACTACATTAAGCTGTAGTTGTTCTGGTGACTATAATGTCCCTTTAATTGATCTTGCTACATGTCTTTTGAAGGGAATCTTTATCTACTTTGTGTATGCCAAACACATTTCCAATGTTTACTGTATAATATAACATGATACAGTTTGGGATTCTCTCTCTTATATTGCCTTTGTTACCTAACAGAAGAGAGAATTGCTCTTCAGTAGCTAGTAAAGACCCATGAAGCCACCGTCTTACTAGTGATCAGAGGAGCCAAGGGATAAATGCAGTCTTGAGTTCAGAGCAGATGGGATGATGATTTTCTGCGGGTAAACATGATCGCTACAACCCAGGACATTGCCCAAATAAGTCAATACAGGCTGTAGTAAGATGTCTGATGTCTGTATATGCTATTTTTGTTTTTTTTAAAATCTAAATGTGAGAATGTAATTTATGGTCCTCCCTTTTTTCCATTTTCCTATTTACACAGAATTAGAATTCAGGATAAAACTTTAGAGGATTTAAATAATGCTGTAGGGTACAAGAAACAAGATTTAGCAGATATGGGAGTCACATTTCCAGTTTGCTGTAATCTCCCTGAATGGTTTCAATGTTCAGTATCCTCATAATGTTCTTGTTTTTTCTACAGGTGACCTCATGGAAGGAGAGTTGTACACTGCCCTAAAGGAGGAGGAAGAAGCTGTATCCAGCACCAATTTCAGTGGTGAAATGCACTTTTATGAGCTTGTGGAAGACACGAAAGATGGAATCTGGCTGGTGCAGGTACATTTTACTGCTGCTTTTACCTTTTTACCTGCCTGAAAACACCAAGCATTGAAAAAAAAAAATCTCTCTTTCTCTCTTTCTCTCTTTCTCTCTTTCTCTCTTTCTCTCTTTCTCTCTTTCTCTCTTTCTCTCTTTCTCTCTTTCTCTCTTTCTCTCTTTCTCTCTTTCTCTCTTTCTCTCTTTCTCTCTTTCTCTCTTTCTCTCTTTCTCTCTTTCTCTCTTTCTCTCTTTCTCTCTTTTTTCTCTTTTTTCTCTTTTTTCTCTTTTTTCTCTTTTTTCTCTTTTTTCTCTTTTTTCTCTTTTTTCTCTTTTTTCTCTTTTCTCTCTTTCTGCGCATAGTGCTCTCAAAAGCATCCTACTCTTTATTATTTATTATTGTGCTTATAAATCACTGACTATTTACTCAGTGCTTGATCAAGTGCATGGCCAGTATTATCACAAACACAATTTGATAGACTATAACAAACTTAGTCACCATAAGAGAGGTCTTATTCCCCTTTCTCAGTTGTTTTTGGACTGCAACTCCCATAACTCTCCTACAACTGACTCTCTCGCTGCTAACACAGGGGGGGAGGCTGTATTTGGACTCTCAAGTCAGAAAATGTGAAATACTAGATTTTAATGCAATCTGCAAAGACTGCTTGAATTAATCATGACGGAAGAACTTTACCTTCTATACAGGTGAAATCTGTGGTCCAGTTAGTGTGGGTTAAACTTGTCCTTGTTAAAGGCTTCTTTTGTAAAGATTACTTTTTAGTCATTTCCTAAACAATAGAGGCTTTCTCTAACTGACTTTTAGAGATCAGGGTCAACTTAAGAGAATGTTTTCAAGCAGAGGAGAGAAGAACACGGAACATATCTAACATTTCCATGGTCAGGAGAGTATCGAATATGTGTCATGGTGTGCTTTGTATGCTATGGTTTTATTTTGCAATTGAAGAGGACAGTGGAGGGCTTTAAAAATAGAGTGGAAATGTGCTGATGATGCTAAAATAATGTAACAATATCTGTTTTATTTTTGAATTGTAACATTTTTCCAGTGTTGTCTAGATCTACACAAGACTGGACATCTCTTTAATTCCAACTAGTAATTTGTTTGAAATGAAAGCGGTTTTGTTTTATAGATACCACCAGCCTGTTGCTCCTGTTTACTTGCTCGGTGTGCTATGTAACACAGACTTTCTAGATACCGGTGTCAGCACTTTCCATGCCTCCCTTTTTAGCAATATGATAACATCATAACATCACAAACCTGTCATCTACTTTAATGACTGTGGTGCGTTATGTGTAATATGAGCTGAGAATGCTTTAACAATCAGCCAGTAATATAGCTGTTTTCAGATATTTCATATCTTACTTGGATTGAAATCCTGTAATAGACATACGTGAGATTAGACTTCTCTTTACAGTATATGTAGTGTGATCCGAGCTGTAGACTAGCAGAGGACATAAAACTGCTACTCAAGTGACCACTCAATGTGTTTACCATGATAACGTCTAACAGTCTGACCTTCTGGTTTTACAGTGCTGTATGATGGTACATGGGTTACTTTAACTTCAACCATGGTTTGTTTGGGTTTTTTATAGTTGGAAAGTGATGAAAATAGCAATCTGAATATCTTTCAAGCATGTTTTGTTCTAGGCGTAATTTATTTTTAAAATAATGGGATGATCTGTTACTCCTAAATCCCTGCTGCCACTACAAGTCAGAAACATGGAGGTATCTGTTAAAACCTGGTGTTGCATCAGGACTGAAGTTGCCAGATCTATCTCTTGTTTTCGTGAACCCAAGTCACTTGGTCAGTTTGAACATGAACTGCATGTGAAAAATTCTGCAATGGAAGATGGTATCATTTGTGTGCTGGAGGAAGGATTAACAAAGGCTCTTTTTTGAGGGTCTTATGAGCAACTAACAGAAAATATTATGCTGCCAGGGTATCACTTTTCATGTGCTGCCCACAACATGATGAAGTGTCATGTGTTAAGGAAAATGTGATGGATCTGGCAACCCTGTTTTGGACCTATTTTAAAAAACACTGCATTCTTTTACATAGTGTTTGTTTATAATTGCTTTTCGCACGTACTTGCTAATCAATGTTCCAATTACGTGCAGGTAGTTGCAAATGATAGGAGCCCACTTGTGAGCAAAGACCACTGGGAGAAGATGGTGAAAAAAGTGACCAAGTTTGGCATCCGCACTGGAACTTTCAATTGCTCAAGTGATCCCAGGTGAGTGGGTAACAAATGGCTGAAATTGTAATAGTACATTTTCAATGTTATTAATTTGCTGTCCTGTGAATCCCGCAGCCTGTCGAAAAAGTTAAAGCCATTTTCATTCAAGAAAAGTGTTATACTCACATTCGACATTTTTAATAAATGTATTCATAAAATTGGTGGCATCTCCTTCCACCATCCTCTTACCACTAGTTGTTTAAGCCAATGGAGTTACTACCTGTATAGAAGTTTCCTGTTTGTTAAAACAAACAGAAAATTTCATACCAGGCGTATAATTTATCTCCATGATAATAGCTATGTCTCCAACAAATGCTCCCTCTGGAAAGGTGTGTTAGAGAAGCAAGATAGCTGAACTTTATATATAATTTCCTACAGTTTTTATTTTTTTCTATGTATATGTTTCCATCTAGTCTGTTTGCCTTTGAGGTGTGCAGTTTCATTTGTTTGCCCCTCTGGCTTTCAAATAACCCAAAATATTTGTAGTTCTTCAACCGATCTAATGAAAAATAAACATGCTTTATAATTACATCCCCTGTGATTAATTTATGTATTGTGCTCAGCCATGTGAATGTTGCCAAAATAGCTATCCAGGAAGGAGGTGACAATTTGAAAGATTTCTTTATCCTCTAATGGGTATATTATTGCATACAGTATACTAATCACCACCTCTGTGCTGTGCAGGGAGACGCACCATTACACTGTTTGCACCAGAAACACTGCAACGAGATGTAGTGGTTAAGGTGCTTGGAGTACCCCTTTAATTGCAAGCACAACCCCCTGTAGAGGGAGTGCAGAATTATTAGGCAAGTTGTATTTTTGAGGATTAATTTTATTATTGAACAACAACCATGTTCTCAATGAACCCAAAAAACTCATTAATATCAAAGCTGAATATTTTTGGAAGTAGTTTTTAGTTTGTTTTTAGTTATAGCTATGTTAGGGGGATATCTGTGTGTGCAGGTGACTATTACTGTGCATAATTATTAGGCAACTTAACAAAAAACAAATATATACCCATTTCAATTATTTATTATTACCAGTGAAACCAATATAACATCTCAACATTCACAAATATACATTTCTGACATTCAAAAACAAAACAAAAACAAATCAGTGACCAATATAGCCACCTTTCTTTGCAAGGACACTCAAAAGCCTGCCATCCATGGATTCTGTCAGTGTTTTGATCTGTTCACCATCAACATTGCGTGCAGCAGCAACCACAGCCTCCCAGACACTGTTCAGAGAGGTGTACTGTTTTCCCTCCTTGTAAATCTCACATTTGATGATGGACCACAGGTTCTCAATGGGGTTCAGATCAGGTGAACAAGGAGGCCATGTCATTAGATTTTCTTCTTTTATACCCTTTCTTGCCAGCCACGCTGTGGAGTACTTGGACGCGTGTGATGGAGCATTGTCCTGCATGAAAATCATGTTTTTCTTGAAGGATGCAGACTTCTTCCTGTACCACTGATTGAAGAAGGTGTCTTCCAGGAACTGGCAGTAGGACTGGGAGTTGAGCTTGACTCCATCCTCAACCCGAAAAGGCCCCACAAGCTCATCTTTGATGATACCAGCCCAAACCAGTACTCCACCTCCACCTTGCTGGCGTCTGAGTCGGATTGGAGCTCTCTGCCCTTTACCAATCCAGCCACGGGCCCATCCATCTGGCCCATCAAGACTCACTCTCATTTCATCAGTCCATAAAACCTTAGAAAAATCAGTCTTGAGATATTTCTTGGCCCAGTCTTGACGTTTCAGCTTGTGTGTCTTGTTCAGTGGTGGTCGTCTTTCAGCCTTTCTTACCTTGGCCATGTCTCTGAGTATTGCACACCTTGTGCTTTTGGGCACTCCAGTGATGTTGCAGCTCTGAAATATGGCCAAACTGGTGGCAAGTGGCATCGTGGCAGCTGCACGCTTGACTTTTCTCAGTTCATGGGCAGTTATTTTGCGCCTTGGTTTTTCCACACGCTTCTTGCGACCCTGTTGACTATTTTGAATGAAACGCTTGATTGTTCGATGATCACGCTTCAGAAGCTTTGCAATTTTAAGAGTGCTGCATCCCTCTGCAAGATATCTCACTATTTTTGACTTTTCTGAGCCTGTCAAGTCCTTCTTTTGACCCATTTTGCCAAAGGAAAGGAAGTTGCCTAATAATTATGCACACCTGATATAGGGTGTTGATGTCATTAGACCACACCCCTTCTCATTACAGAGATGCACATCACCTAATATGCTTAATTGGTAGTAGGCTTTCGAGCCTATACAGCTTGGAGTAAGACAACATGCATAAAGAGGATGATGTGGTCAAAATACTCATTTGCCTAATAATTCTGCACTCCCTGTATTAATGTCACTGATGTAAGCCCCGGGATATATTGACCATGTCTGACATCTTTTGGAATAGCTGGCATCTGTTCATTCTCCCATTTACTTTTTTTATTTTGTCTTTGACCTTCTCCTATAATGTCTTCCTTCTTATCTCCAATAGTTAGTTTGCACTGCGTCTTGATTAGGAATCTTCACTGCCTCCTTTGTCTGTCTGCCACCTGTACTATGGCCGTGAAGTTCTAATTTAGTTTAAGAGATATAACCTAAACGTAACTGAACCAAATGTAAAGGCTCTAAGTCAATTTAAAAAAAATCTTTCCGAGCTCCAAACACACATTGGAAAACACCTGTTTGAGCCACTTACAGTCTCTTGCTTATAATACTGCTTGACAAGTGCCCCTGTACAGATATCCTATAAATGTCAGGCTAAACTACACCCCGTTTCCTTTTTATTTAATGTAATATGATCATCAGACTGTGATCAAATGTCACACAAAAATACAATATCGCCTCTTTCAGTAGTAGGAAAGAAAACCTCCCTTCAGGAATCTCGCTCAGGTAGAAAAAGCCAAACTATACATCATATCGGGAAATCCATTTACAGTTTCTTGGTTCATGTGTCTTTAGTGAGGTGGGTTTATTTTTTTTCTTTCTCCCATTGAAAGGGATTCCTGGAGGGAGGTTTTTATTGTTTTGTTTTTTTCTCCTGCTGAAAGAGGTGATGTGGTTTGTGTGTGAGACAACTGATGTTTGATCTGTACAGCTTCACCTGTCAAGAATTCACAATGATTATGAGACTTTAAAAAAATATTTGTATAAGATTAGCAAAAAATATATTCCTACATCGTGTGTGTGTATGTATGTATATAACATTTATTTTATTTTTTTACGCACTTAATTCCTTTGTATGAACGTTGGTTATTTTTAAGCTATTGTTCTTCTTTAATTGAATTAAAACTTCAATAGTACAGATCTCTATAAAGGTGTTTTTGCATGATGCAATCATATTGGTTTATCTTGAACATTTAAGAGTAAGCCTCATACAATGAAAGGATTGTTCACTAAAGTGAAAGGTGAAATGTTGCCTAGGTGCATCTTCCGCCTGAATGCAATTGTTGCAAAAAAGATAGCACTTGTGGGGCTTAGAAATTATTTCAAGTGCAAATGTTGTTTTAATCGCATAAGGAAAAGGTAGGCAAATTTCAGCACTTCCGATGTTTTGTGTACTACATCTCCCCTGATGTTTTGCCAGCACTATGGCTGTACGTGCTTTATGGGAGATGTAGTCCACAACATTTGGAGTGCCAATGGTTGCTTACTGCTGGCATAACACAACCGAAAAATTTTCAGTCCTTGAAAAAAATCCAAGTTAGGACTGAAACGTAAACAGATATTTTTTGTTGTTGTTGTTGGCTTATCTGATTAAAATAACATTTAAATCATTTTGTAATATAAAATTATATCTGTACTGCTAGCAAAGTCATAGGACATGCATTGGCTATGGACTGCACTCTAGAGACCTATTAGAAATCATGCATAACATGGCATTTACTGGCCAAAATATGTGGCAAAGACAGACACATAGAGAATAAGTCCTTGCACTGGATAGGAGATGGGGTGGGACAAAATTAAGACCCTATAGAAATACTGAACGCATTTCACGTCCACTTACAAACACTTTAAACCTAAGATTCCAAACTACCACCATACTTTAAAAAGGCTATAACTCGAGCTTGTATATGTGAAGGGAGCAGCAGTGCCCAGGTACCATCATACCTGCAGGGGTGAAACTGTATAGCCCTGTAGTAGGGGCTTCGGAGGCCATCTGTGCTGCCCCCAACTTTCTTATCCTCTGGTTCTGCAATATTAGGATAATATAGTCAGGCAGCTGTTGATAGGCTGAGAGCTTTTTTTGGTGTGGCATTGTGAATATAATATTATTCACTGTGAATTAATCTTTTATATTAATTATTATTTTTATTTTTTTTTTTTTTTTATTAGGTACTGCAAAAAGAGAGGCTGGATTAGGTCAACCCTCATCATGTCCGTACCCCAAACTAGCACTTCAAAGGGGAATGTGATGCTTAAAGAATACAATGGGCGAAAGATTGAAACAGAGCATATTTTCAAGTGGATAACAGCCCATGCTGCTTCACGGGTCAAGACTATTTACAATTCTGAAAATCTAAGAGAAGAATGGAACAAAAGCGATCAGTATAAGGTCAAGCTGTACCTATTTGCCAATCTTGATCAGCCTCCAGCTTTCTTCTCCGCACTGAGTGTTAAGTTTACTGGCAGAGTGGAATTCATATTTGTTAAAGTTGGGAACTGGGATAATACCAGTTACATGGCAGAAATCGGCATTCACAGGACTCCATCTTATGTTCTTAAGACTCCGGAAGGAATCTACAAGTATGGAAACAATACAGGAGAATATATATCCCTCTGTGCCATGGAGTCATTTTTGCGTTCACTGCAACCAGAAGTCAATGATTTGTTTGTTTTAAGCTTAGTCCTGGTGAATTTGATGGCCTGGATGGACCTGTTTATCACTCAAGGAGCTACCATAAAAAGATTTGTGGTTCTAATAAGCACTTTAGGGACGTACAATTCGCTCTTAATTATTTCATGGCTGCCCGTGTTGGGGTTTCTGCAGCTACCATACCTTGATAGCTTCTATGAGTATAGCTTGAAACTACTCCGATATTCGAACACGACCACTTTGGCTTCTTGGGTAAGGGCAGATTGGATGTTCTACTCTTCACATTCTGCACTCTTTCTAAGTACATACCTGGGTCATGGTTTGCTCATTGATTATTTTGAAAAGAAAAGGCGTCGTAACAATAATGCAGATGAAGTAAATGCCAATAACCTGGAGTGGTTATCAAGCCTTTGGGATTGGTACACCAGCTACCTGTTTAACCCCATAGCATCATTTCATCACTTTCCCATCCATTCTGATTGGGATGATGATCCAGATCTGATACTTGAGCGATTTGCTTTCCCAGATTTATGGCTTCATCCACTGATTCCCACAGACTACATAAAAAACCTACCAACATGGCAGTTCTGCAGCACTAATATTCACACACAAGAGGAAATAGCCAGAGGATTACAGGAAAGTGATGGTGATTCTGAAGTTGAGCATAACCTAGGATTTAGTTGTGAGAAACTCACATCCACAGATCAAGCTCACTCCACTTATGGAATGAGTGAGCCCTTGGCCGAAAGCACCAACGACTCTTGCTCATGTGTTAAAGATCAAAATAATGGAAGTAGATGTGAAAGGAAATGTGGTTTGAATGGATCCCACGGCACAAAGGAGAACACAGAACCAAACTGGTCTTCTTGGCCTGACAACATGTTGCACTGTACTGAATGCGTTGTGTGTTTAGAGAATTTTGAAAATGCTTCATTGCTTATGGGCTTGCCATGCGGTCACGTTTTTCACCAAAATTGCATTGTAATGTGGTTGGCAGGAGGGAGACATTGTTGTCCCGTATGTCGTTGGGCTTCCTACAAAAAGAAACCTCACACACATCAACAGTTCATGTCAAGTCCTTCCCCTTCCTAGCACCAAGATCATGTGTTCCCTTGCCTGTAATTGCTCGTATCTGTTAGAATCTTTGGTGGCTTGATGTCTCATTTAAATTGTAGTACAGTGGATTAATGCACATGATGTTAATGTTCATTACTGTTTCTCTCTCTCTCTCTCTATCTCTCTCTCTCATTAAATGTATATGTAAGAAGAAGAAAAAAAAATATTTTTATGATTTTCACAAAATTATATTCCTATTTAAGTGTATATTTTTAAGATTGGTCAAATCTTCCATTTTAATTCTAATATAAAGATAAGCTGATTTATTTTGAAGAATATATAACATAACATTAATTTAGCAGTGTTTGTCTTGTCCAAGATTTCTTGAAGTATAACAGCTGCTTAAATGTAATATATTTGATTGCAATCATTATGTAGAAATCAATACCATTGCACATTGTTTTGATTTAAGAGGGATCCACTGTCTACCTGTTTTGTATGTTGTCTCATTTTCTGAAGTGAAAGCCTACTTTTTGTTTTCATTTTGCTTCGGTTTCCTTTTTTTAAATTATTTTTATGAGGGGTGACTTACGGTGTTCAATCTACATTTCCCTTAGATCTGTTTTATTTTCCAATTATTCTTTATTTCCAAATTATGATTTAGTTGCCAAAAGTGTTATTAGCCAATCTGAATACAAACTTAGATGCAATGAGCCATGTTACTGGGTTTCTCCTGGAGTCAATCAGTAAGCGGGATGTGGTACCACTCTAATTTAAGGCTCTACGTTTGGATGTGATTCAAGGTGATGGGAACCTATAATTTTTCAATATTTCTGTATTTACCTTCTCTCTCCTCTGGGTTTTCAAAATTTAAACTTGATGCTTTCATTTTTTTTAAGCAAATGGGGGGGGGGAATGTTTGTTTATTTTATGTCCATTTACTTTTTTCCTGCAATAGACATATTAAATGTATCTTATGCATCTACTAGTTTTCTTTTTATTTATTTATTTTTTTTTTTTAAATATATATTATGGGTGATGCTATGGGTCTTCCTGGGTCCTTTTTTTTTTATGCCTGACAATTAAAAGCGTAACTCGTAGTGATTTGAAATGGTATGATGGTAAAAGTATGTAGATATATTGGTAATTTGTGTGCTGGTATATAGTTGAGCCCCAGCACACGTGACTTGGGCGGCCCAGAATTCCGGGCTACTGAATGTCAATTCTGTGCATAAAATACGCCTGTCATCAGCACGTACAGCGGGAAGCGTTTTTTGGGTTTTTGTTCTCCTCTCACTCCCAATAAAATCGCTGGTGATACTGCAAAGCCACCTGTGATGTCAGGAGGGGCTTGGAAGTCAGTATACAGCAAGTGATGTGGGGGGGGGGGAATCTTAGTGCCCAATAGGGCATGTTACACAGAAAAAGTCCCGTTCTTCAAATGGTTGGAGTAACCCTTTAACACAACAGAAATCTACCATAGAGCTCCATTGTGCATTAATAGATGGCTGACTCTGTATATCTTTTCTTGATAAATACATTACCATCTCTCTAAAGTAAAAGTGCAGAAACCATTCCTATGCTAAAGGATCAAACAAGGAAAAAAATTGTTCTTACTAATTTTAAATTTTTTTTAAAACGCTCCAGTTATTTGTAACATTCTCAATAAGAGACTGATCGCCCATGAAACACAAATGTGTCATTAATGTAAATGCACTAAAACATATAAACAAAATCTTAAACTCCATGCTCCTGCAACAGTGGATCTGTCATATATATGTTTAGTCTTTGGCGTTTCCAGGAAAATCTAGACTTGTGGTTTGTTGTAAGGTTGTTCTTTTCTTTTAAAAAGTCTGTCCTTATTTCAAAATGTGTAACTGTTACAAAGTTGCTTTGTAAACCATTGGTTTAATTTCTAGGTTGCAATACCAGAATGTTAGTTATACATCTCTACGGGATTATTTACTAAAGGGAGCATTGAACATTATTCAAAGTGAATTTCAACACTACTTTCAATATAATAACTTCCATCAAGTTTTAAAAGGAAATTAATTTTTTTTTGTTAAATTGAAGGAACCCTATAGTGTCAGGAATGCAATGTGTATTTGTGGCGAAACCGGCCTCGCCACGTGTCCTTGGAGGGGGCTGCTTGCCCGCCTCTTGCCTTTGGACTATGGACCAGACTTTATGTGAATGTGTTAACCCAGATAGCTATGCCATGGAGCCCATTCGTGTAGTTAAAGACTTCGGCTCCATGGCAATTGAACTGTGTGAATAGGATCTGAGCGCTATTCGGTAGTTTTGTGCGCTCAGATCCCAGCTATCTGGGGATATGTGACATGTCTGTGTTTTATGTATAAAATGTGACTTTGTGTATTTTATAATATTTTAATGCTTTGTGCTCACCATGTGCAAAATGGAGTCTTGTGTCTGTCCTGGGAGATAATTGAATTACTTCTCAATTCAATCTCCAGGATAGAAGACTCTGAAACTGGTTTGGGCCAGAAAGCCATGCTTCATTTCGTCACAAAGGACTTTCCCTTAACTTTTGAACCCCTGGTCTGATTCGTGCCATTTTTTAATATGTTGTTCCCCTGAATGGATTGATTATGAACATGTATGTTTATGTTTGTGACACGTATATTTTAGAAGTTATAAATATTGTGTAAAAACTGTATTCCTCTGCCAGTCATAATGAGATTACCCATTGTGTTCAGTAATCATATCACAGGCAGAGGGGAGGAGTTTGTGTGGGAGTGTCTGGGTGTATTGTACGGATTGATTGGTTGTTTTGTAACGCCCTATGGGCTGTACTATGTTTGTGGATTGGGAACAAAAGAGACTGTATGTGACAGTACAGGGTGTTCCTGTTTTAACCCTCAAAGTGAAGTGTCGTCTCATTATTGGGGGAGGGATTTATTGTATGCTGTTCCAGTTTGACTGCTAGGAGAGTAAACCTATTCGTATGGTTCCTATTCAACTGTCTACAGCATTCAAATGCTTGGGAGAATTTATTTGTTTCTCCGGTTTGGTGATTGTGGTGTCTGCCAGAGTGCTTGGAGTCCTCAGGAAGCGCTAGGAGCATCCTTCAATGGAGGTACCCGGTCGGGGTGCCAGGCGATCCGTTACAGTATTCCTGGCACTATAGTTCTAATAGTACCGTTTAGGTTTCCGGACCCCTTTTGACCCAGTTAAAAGGTATTTTACTTGCCTTATTCTAGTGCTGTGTGGGTGTCTTTGCAGTTGCCTATGCTCCGCCTTCTTGGCTGAAATCATCAGTTTTGATGATCTCAGCCAATCCAATGCTTTCCCATAGGAAAGCATTTGGAGGCTTTTGCGCATGTGCGACAAAACGCTGCTCTGCGCCAATCTGTATCTCCTCAATATCTGAATCCTCAAAAATGATTTTTTTATTTTTTTTTAAATTTATTTTTAATCTTATGTAGGCTATGCGAGTCCCTATCAGGGGAGGTGTATCTAGAATTACATAAAGCAAAAGTAATTGTCTAAATGGCAGAGAACTATGCTGGGGCATGATCTATACACCAGAACTGCCTCATTAAGCTAAAGCTGTTCTAATGCCTGTAGAGTCCATGTAAGGATTCACACATTGTTAATATACTTCAGGTACTCTGTATATGGATAACAACTATTTCTTACAAACTATTTACCGTGCAGCACTGGAAATAAGGTAGGTTTTCAAAATCACAGTAAAATCTGGGTTAGTTAGTAGGATAAATTGCATTCTGGGTTACTATCAAACCATTATTTTTGTGTTATTTGCTTTTTTTTTTTTTTTATTAAATCAGTTTTAGTGATTGTTTATACCAATACCTAACCCAACACTTAATCATTGACCAAACTTTATCTGGCTATGAATACTGAAACTCAAAAAATGTAAATGTTGCCAAGTGAGCATGTATGTGTGTGTCAGTTAGCATGTCTGTAGTGAGCATCTTTGAGTATAGCAGTGAGTTTGTCTGTAGTAAGCTTGTGTGTGTGTGTGAGAGTTTGTACTAAGTTTGTGTTTTTCTGTAAGCTTGTCTGTGTTTGTCAATGAGCGTGTGTGTGTCAGTGAGATTGCCTGTCTGTGAGCCTGTGTACCAGTGAACTTGTGTCAGTGAGATTGTCTGTGCCGGCATGTGAGTATGCTTATTTTTTATTTATTTTTCTGAACGGACTAATATTTATAATTAAAAAAGGAACATACCAATAGTGTGTGTGTTTGTGTGTGTGTGTGTGTGTATGCCAGCCCTCTAAGCCACGGTAGTGTGTGTGTGTGTGTGTGTGTGTGTGTGTGTGTTCTCTCTCCCTCTCAGAAGGGTTAGGCTGAGATTGTTGGGGTGGGGGCTTTCAAGAACAAAAGATAAAAGGTGGTGATCTGAGAGAGGGAATGGAGTGTTACATAGATTAAAAAGCATACATGCATCTAAGAAAATAAGATCAAGAGTATTGACTGATACATTCTTGGGAGAATTTCCCTACTGGGATAGCCAAAGGGAGGACCAAACCTCTGTGTCCACCAAGTCTGGGTACTTTCCAGCCGCATAGCTGACCTCTCACCTCACCGCAAGCTTCCGGGTCAAGTCGTTTGTTTCCTGTACCAGTCAAATCCACGAACCGTGAGTCTGCCTGTACGGGCCAAATCCATGAACACACAATTGTTCACACGTTTACGTCCTTACATACCGTCCATTCTGGACTTTTTCCCGTTCAGGACTTAAGTCAGTTCACCTACTCCTGCCTGCTCTTTGTTCCATTCCTATTCGCTAGTTTATTTTCGTCAAATTTCTACCGAACTAGTCTCCAGTCTATCTCAGTTACATGCTGCCATCTAGCAGCCACCACAATCATAGTACCAATTCGTTAGTTTTACACTATTCCCTGATACATGAAATGTCCAGGTTCTTTTTTGAAAGTATTTAGCCTGCTACTAGTTATCCTTACATGCCCCCTGTATTTCGGGTATGTTTGCTATGTTTCTAGTTATTATTTACGATTGTGCACGGATATTGTCAGTTTCCCATTACTAATTCAGCTCTGGTAAGCGTTTAATATTCTCTACGTATATAGCATTACCATCATATATCGGATAGGTCTTATTCTATCACTCATGGACTTGGTACTGTTCTGAGGCAGTCATCATGTTCACATTTGTTACCATGTGTTATGGCCAATCTGTATACTTGCTCCTTGATAGGTATATTACTTATCTGGAGGATGATCACTTATTCGCTAAACCTTTTTTGTAACACGCCACACTCCTATGTTCAGTATTTGTATCGTCATGTACCAGTAGTGTACCAGGCTTTACCATACCATCATATGTTCCCCCTGACTTTACATCAAAATAATCACGTATTATGCACTAAAGGTTATTTACTCATCGCTGCTATATTCTACTCAAGCAAGTTCGTCATCCTTACCGACCCTTGCTATTCAGGCATAGTATCACCAAACCTACAGCAACTCCACTCTAACTGTTCTATGTTACATCAGCTAATGCTGGCACGCAATTCCTCCGCCAACCCGTACACAGGCCCACGCCCGGGGATCCTTAATTCCCCACACATACACCCCCCTTCCCATGCTGGCATGACATTAATTAAATTTTCTAAGTCCTACCAGGATAGCTCAAAACTGCCCTCATAGCTTGGTTTTCCATATCCCCCTATATTTATTTTAGCTACAGAAGTTACAGGACCAATTAGCGGTCACTCATGACTCTGCCTATCCCCCATTATTGTCGCAGTATTGGTTACACTCCCCATGGTCTCTGGTAGTGGCCTAGGAACCTCACCCTACTCACTTATAGGGATATTTGATTTATGTCCTATGAATCTTGTACCCACCATCGAAGGGGCAGGATTCTAACAACTATGTCCTTAGGTTACCTATTCATAGACCAGCCTCAAGAACAACCACTCTTATTATACAGGCGTATTTTGTTCACAGTAAGT